ATTTTGAAAACATAAATATACAATAGAATATATATTCAAATACAGATTTTAAGAGCTTGGTTTTTAACCTGTTTTTCAACCAAAATCCACTCTATTAGCAACTAATATAATCTAGGAACTTGTTACGGGATGGATGGATTGTGCTAATTGAAACGTGCCTTAGAATAAGAAGAAATAGCTGAGGAGCTATTTCATCTGTTTGTACAAAATTCTTTTATATATACACTAAGCTAGTGCTAGTTTAGTACTTAGCATGCGAGGTCTTAGGTGCCAACTGGTACCTAAAGCCGAGCTCTATAACAGGGTCTTAGTTTTATAACAGAAGCCCCCTGTTACAGGACAGACCCGCAACACTTGCTGCACGTGACTGCAGCCTCTTTATCTTCCCACCGGACCTCTGCAACCTTTCTGTTCTCTAACTATTCCTTCTTGTTTGTACGGCATGCTTAGGTTAGAACCAATCTAAGTTCATCCCATAACAAATAGTAAATAAAGGCAGAATACTACTATCTAATTTTAGTCTAATTTTGATATATTCCTACTTAATTTCTACTTTAATTAATTTTTTTAAAACCTGGTATGAATATAATAGTTAACTATAGTTACCTGTTCTATCTAATAGTTAATCTAATTTTATATTTTAATTTAACTGCTAGATTATGGCCAGGTTAAGGTTAAGATATAACAGTCAGATTAAGCCACTCTAATCTTAACTATACTAAAGCTTAAATCAATGGATTAAATAAATCTTAACATTAAAAATAGTTAAAATAATTAACTGATTATTTTTTAGCTATACTGCAGTTAGATATTGTAAGAGAGGAACAATGGGATTCATTCAAAAACAATAGCCATTCGGCCAACATTACCCGCAGTCGCTATTCATCCCATGAATCGGCCCTAATTGATAAAGTCTCGAGTCACCTCTAACTGCTAACAAGTTTATGGGGCAAATGTGATTGGATCACCTGCGCAGAATGTTTGCCGCTGTGTCTAGAGGGCTTCCTTGGCAGGGAGGCTACCGCAACCCAGCTTAGCCGCCACTATTAGGCACTATTTTTAAGCGCTTTATAGGTCGGTCGCAAAAGCAACAATTTTGTCTATAAAAAATAGTATCAAGAAGACATGGCGGCTGTCAAAGGAGTCACAGATCATATTTAGTATTGAGATGGCTCTTCATCATAGGTAGGGATGGATGTATTAGTGACTATGTTCCCAGCAAAGTTTCCAATGCCAATGCATCCGGTCGTCCTTTTCATGGAGGTGGATGATGACGATTCTTTCTCTAGTGAATATCGAGTACAAATCGGCAATTGTGTTAATTATCTTATCATCTCTCCTAATACCTTTGATAAAGACAGGCTCTCATTCTCTGTCCAGTCCCTGCCGGCGCTCCCATGGAACGGTGATTGGACAATGGCTCACATATCGCGAGACGATATTAGCGGCGAGCTAAGAACTTCCATCTCGACCCGACCACTAGCCGGTGTGAGGTATCAGCGGCATGACATCATGGCCGATTGCTTGGATTTGATGAATTCCAAAATGCTCACAGCAATGGCCTTCGAAGCTGTCCGATATTCGATAACCCCAAGCTCCGACCGGTTGCCAGTAACCACCGTTATCGCTAAGATTGCCCGTTTTGAATGGGAAATTCCTCGAATCGAGCGCGAAAGTAGAGCCTATCAGCTGCTCGATGGTTCCGGGCTGGCACCACCCTTCCTCGGTCACATTCGGGAGAACGGACGTATCATAGGGTTTCTATTAAAGAAGGTCAAAGGATGCCATGCTACTATCCAGGATTTGAAGATCTGTGAAGCAGCTCCTGGGAATTTCCGCAAGTTGGGACTTTTGCACGGGGACGTGAACCGGTATAACTTCCTTGTCACACAAGAAGGCGTCAAGCTTCTCGACTTCGAATGTTTCCAGGTGAATGCGAGCTCACAATCAATGCACAGGGAACTCGGTAGTATACGCATGAAACTTATGGAGATTTCAGGGCGTGGTGGAGGGTTTGTAACCCAGGATGATAGCAATTAAAGTTAATGTCAATGCGCGGGCGCATGATTGCCCTTGACTCCTATCCTTGCACAGTAACCCAAGAAAGATTACAGGTCTGATCCGAGATAAGATGAGCAGTGTCGGATCGCGCCGACTAACCGGGAAGACTGCCGGCAAATGTCGGCTCGCATCCGACCGTCGCTCCTGCTTCGAAATTTTGATCGCGACTCAGTCAAGCAATGCGGGGCCCCAGACTTTGCAGGTCCGAGGATGAGTTTACGTCATCACTCATTGGCTGGGCAGTGATGGAATCCCGCTAGAATCCATTGACATATAAATGTTGAGATGCCTCGCCGATTTACTTGACCATTTGGCCTATTTCATTGCCGCGCACTATCACTCCGCCCACAATGATGGACAAAAAGGATCCAGAAATCGATCCCTCGCAACCCACTATCGTCAATGACGATGTCTTCGGGGAACTCACCGAGAGTGGACCCAACTACCGCAATGTGGATTCCCAGAAACCCAATGTGAAATTTGAAAACTGACCACCGGTCTAGGTCGGCTTTCTAGGCACTGTCATTCTCATGATGAAGACTCAGATTGGTCTGGGCGTGCTAGCCATCCCATCGGCCTTGAATAGCCTGGGAATGGTTCCCGGTTTGATCTGTTTGCTTGCGTTTGCCATGATTACGACTTGGTCCGGTTACGTCGTTGGGACGTTTAAGCTGCATCACCGCGAGGTGTATAGTCTGGATGATGCTGGTGCCATCATGCTGGGTCTGCCAGGCCGAGTGATCCTGGCAGCCAGCTTCTGCCTTTGTCAGTGATCCAGTGATCCAAATCCGCCTTTCCATCAACCCAACCTAATGCATTCCGTTCCAGACTATATCTTCAACAGTGGCTCGGCTATCCTGGGACTCTCGGTCGGCCTCAATGCTGTCTCATCGCATGCCACCTGCACTGCTGTGTTTGTCGCTGTCGCAGCCATCGTTGGATTTGCCTGTAGCAGCATCCGAACCCTCGGCAAAATCACCTGGCTAGCCTGGATTGGTTTGCCATGCATTCTCACCGCTGGTATGAGTGATACCTATACGGAGCATTGTGATAACAAGATCAGCTAACGCTAGCCCAGTGATGATCGTGACTATTGCGGTGGGCGTTGAAGATCGCCCAGCGGGGGCACCAGCAGCAACAACCGGCCGCTGGGCCTCGGATTGGAAAGCCTTTGGCCATCCCTCGTTTTCCGATGCCATCGCCGCTGTTTCCAACCTCTTGTTTGCCTTTTCTGGCACCCCGGGATTTTTCTCCATTGTTTCCGAGATGCGAGATCCTCAACAGTACACGGCCGCCATGATTACTTGTCAGGCGGCTGTGACAGCTGTCTATGCAGTCATCGGCTGCGTGATTTACTATTACTGTGGCAGTTATGTTGCCTCGCCAGCTTTGGGCTCGGCTGGCGGCGTGATCAAGATCATCAGTTATGCCTTCGCCTTGCCTGGACTCATGGTCACCATGACCATTGTTACACACGTTAGTCTACCCTGTGGTCACAAGTTTAACAGAGGGCCGCTATGCTGATTACCCCGTCTCATGTTCAGATCCCGGCCAAGTTCATCTTTGTGCATGCCCTGCGCGGGTCCCGACATCTTACCACCAGCACCCCTACTCATTGGATCAGTTGGCTGAGTTGTACTTTTGGGATCACTCTCGTAGCGTGGATTATTGCGAGCACGATTCCCATCTTCAATGACCTAGTTTCGCTGATCGGCGCTTTGCTAGGTCCGCTCATCTGCATCATTCCGATGGCGGCGATGTGGCTCCACGATAACTGGGGCAGGGGCGCCGGGGAACAGTCGAGGACCATTCCCTGGATGCTCGGAGTGATGTGGACCGTGGCCTTACTCATTCTTGGGGCTTTCCTAATTGTGGCAGGGACGTATGGTTCAGTGACGATGATCATGACCTCCTACCGTGACGATGGGGGCTCGGCGGCTTTCTCCTGTGCTGATAACTCGAATTCGTCATAGACTATGTAGAGTACATTCCGAGCCATATGAATCCATGAATGCCGTCTCTCGACTCTCTTGGACTCTTTACGTTGCCTTGCATAGTTGCTCATCATTATATATACTCTCCCAATTGGCAAACATCCCCGGTCTCGCATGAAGTAAGCTGGTTCCTTAGCGGGAACAATGCATACTCTACTCTCAATAACAAGAGCTTCGCTGCACAAATGTGCAAGCGTGTAGGAGTAAAATTGTTTTGATGTGGTTCGACGGGTGAGAGCCACATAAGTGAGCACCAAGCGGGGGACCCGTCGAGAAGTCCGAGATGTCTACATGCTTCGGATGCTTGAAGGGATCAGTCCAGGGATTAGATATACATACATCCGGACATTCCGTTGGCAACAGATACCTAACGTAACTGGTCATTCACTCTCGTAGTTATGATACAATTCTCCCATCTATAACCTACCACAACGGCGATCGAATCAACATACCTCGGCCGCGAGCCATCGGATGCGTAGCCTCGGCAATGGCATATCCCTCTCTGATGGACATGTTGCGCTTCTGTTAACTTGGGGACTGGCAGTTTGAAACAATATCTTATATTCTTGGTGGTTTGTTTGTTGGTTGAACTAGCTGAGATCTCAACTCAAGGTGGGCAACTCGCTTGCTGAATCGCTTAGATCACGTGGCCGAATTACTGAGGAACGCCGATAGGACACCTGTACACAGATACCTAGGTTGGCATCACTGCTAGACAGACGGTTTATTAACAACCTACAAGAGGAATGCACGTTGTTTAACATTTGTTCTTGAAAGCTTGACAACTATCGCGTTGTTGCCGGATTAGCCGCCTTATTGTCCTTCTTCTAGCTGCACACAGCGGCGGGCTACCCCTTGAAACGTATGTTGATAGCGACATAAACTTATGCTACGCTGTCAGGTATGTATGACTAATCCATTTTATGCCACTCCGGTCAAGACAAGGTCCTTGACTCACATATGTACAAATGAGAAGCAACTGAAGACCAACAAGAGCAATGCCACTATCATGTAATGAGTCATGGACTGAGCCATTCACTGAGTTGACACTGCGGCACCTCATCGGGATTCAATTTCCCCTCTAATCGGAGTATACATATCATGATCATGGATTCATCGGTGGATGTCGCATTCACCTACTGTATTGGGAAGTCCACCGGGTACATGCACCCGATGCAGTGAAGATGTGGAGGTACCGGATGGCTCGCCCGGCTCTCCTTCGGATCGGTGTTCCGACCTGCTACCGAGTATAAACCCTTGCCAGCACCAACTCATTCTCACTCATGCAACCTTTCCCCACGCCCCACAAAAGCACAACCACACAATCGCAATGTCCATGTATCTCGAAGCAGAAGCAACTACGAGATACTACCTCAAAGTCCCCAGTCCAGTCTCCTGGCCTTTCCGACGCAGTTTCTCGAGGATCATCTCTATTACGAAAGAACCGAAATCGGGCATTCCCACCAGCGTTGTATGCGTATAAATTTTCGATATAGGATCTGCATGCTGATTTTGATTCTTGCTTTAGAGAACCGACTCGATGACGTCGACCGTTTCAAATCACTGCCAAAAGCTCGATGGAGACAAACCTACTCAACTGTTGATCAAAAATCGGACTCGCCGTCATCCACGATGCCAGTCATGAATCCTGATACCAAAATAATCTATTCGGATGAGCCTCCCACCCTGATGTGCTTGATCTGGATCCACTCGCTACATCACAGATTCTAAGTTCGGCAGGGCAGTGGAAGCTTCAAAGCCGAGTTGCACGGTCCGCACAGGCCACACGGAGCTAGCAACGTACAGACTCCTTGTCAAAGTCTCAATGGCTAGCTTGTGACCACCTTCCATGTGAGGGAGGCCGGTCCTCCCCGGTGGTTCTGGGAAATCACGAAAGGGACGCATGTCCTGGATTGAGTGGTGGAGAAGATGCATGGCTATGCTTGACACTATGCAACCAGGTGCAAGCGGTTAGTCAGTCCATATGAAGAAGACGCTATGCCGTCTGTCGAGTGGCGATTGCTTATTGATATGTTTGCTTTGCAGGTGGCTGGCCTATTATGGCAATAAATCGATATGAAATATGGTTTGCCAGCTCAACATATAGGTAGACTGCAGCTAAAGGAAATCCGGTGTTCTTAGCCCCCCTCCATCAGAAATCTATCCATGGTCTCCTGAATCAGAAGTAATAAGTTACATTCTGCATTGTTTAAAGTACTCTAATTGTGCATCAAGGAGCCACAGTACCACGTAAGGGTTACTTGCGACTGGAACACGACTCGAATCAGGCCTGCTTATCGCCTAGGTAGCCACTCATGGAGGCAGGCGTCATCTCACACTGGCTCAACCACTTATCAATACATTTTGGATTTATTGGTGGGCACTCATTGAGCCGTGGTAGATGCTTATCAATCAGTGTCGTTTCCAGTATGACAGAGCCTTGATGGGAGGTATCTGCAAGCCCCTCGAAGGAGTTAAGTAGTTGATTGCCGGCAGCAGGCTCAGTACTATTTCCTTTCTCCTCTAGACTTGTTACCCACTCGCTCAATGGCACGACTTTCAATTTTGGGTTGAGCAGTACCAGTCGCGCTGCTAAGGACGAGACTAGGTTGGCATACTGAACGCGTTGGGGATTGACAAGATGAAAGTACTCAGATTCTTGTTCATTCTTGTGCGCGTACTGTTTCTCAGACAAGCTGATGAGATCACATAGAAGATCTGCTACGGTGTCAACCGGCCAGTCAATCTGACTGGCCGAGCCCAGGGTGTCTAGCAAACAGCCCAATGCAACGGAACTTGACAGCAGCGTTGGGTTCCAATCCCGAATTGGCCACGCATGAGCTTCGCCTTTTCTCCCATCCTGGATTGGACTGACAACCCGACCTAGACGACAGAATGAAACTCGCATGCTCGCGGCTTGGACGGCTTGATCCAGCAACCTGGCCGCAACGACTTTGCTCAGGCCGTACCCGGTTTCAGCCATCTGGGGGGGCGGCAAGGAGGTCTCTGGGGCTGCTGTCTTGTGGTCCCATTGCTTTACTGTGGCAACGGAGGCAACGGAGGAGAGGAAAATAAGATGTACCTTATACCTTGCCTTGTGAGCAAAAGTGATCAGACTTTTGACCCCTGCGATGTTGGGCTCAAAATACGCCAAGGGGCGACTGAAGTCCACTGCCCATTGACAATGTAAGATATCGGTCATACTTCCTAACAGCTGCTGATAGATCTCTCCTGGAAGACCCAGGCAGCGCCCGCCCAGGTCAGTTTTTATATGCTTAATATGAACCTTGGAAGGATAGACCTCATCAACCGCATAGTCCCGGGTCTGCCCTCGATCCAGGCAGGTCACATGGCTAATATCCCCATGATGTTTGATCGCATCGAGTACATGCGAGCCCACAAATCCTGTACTTCCGGTAATAAGAAGGTGTCTTTTACCTGAGACTGAAGAGGCGAGGTAATCCTTATTGGGGCTTCTGTTTAGCGTCTGAGAGTGCCTAGGAGACTCATAAGCAAGTAGATTGTAGATGCGGGTGAACACTTCATACCTCTTCAAAACAGAATCAAAATCCTTAGTCACTTTCCCGCCCTTTAGATGGGAGAATCTGTCGGATAATTTAGCCTGCCATTTCTTTTGGCGAGGGGTTCTCGTTGACTGCCTCGACAGGAAACGTTCGTCCACGTTTCTGACCGCCAGTACCTTTGAGACGAACGATGCGAGAATCTGTGCGTGTTTGAGATCCAGCCCAGCCCCAAATATATTTGTTGTCACATTGAAATTGACTAGCCCTGATTCTAGCTTCCCAATCCGATTAACCAGACCCACTGCAAGAGCATGCTCGGAAGACAAGCAGAGGCTAGTTTGACCGAGGTTGGAAGGCTTGGGGGACTCGCTTAGGCCAAAAATCCTCTCAATCTCAGTCTTGTAGAGCTCGAGCGTCTTGTTTTGATGCACGGAGCCTTTCCCTGTGCGAATAAACAATTTGCTGGGACTCGCTATTACCACCATTCCACGGATGGAAATGATTGTACACCCAGTAGGTGGGATCGGTCGGATATTGGATGAAATGACCCACACTCAGTACTTCCCAAGCCGTTGAGTAGACGAGCTCTGCACAATAATGTCGCCTGCACCTTTGAATATGAGCCTATGCCATGTCAGTCAGAGCCGCTGAGACTTGTGGAGGTCACATACCACCTCCGCCAAAAATATACCGCAATGTCGGCACCGCTTCCAGTAGGTCAGCATTCCACGAAAGCTCATCAAAGATAGATGTCGGTAGCAGGACGCCGTCCAGGTTTGAAGCCTTGAGGGCTGTTCTTAAGGCCGCAACACTCGGTGGTTGTCGAGGATATCCGAACAAGAGCGACCAACCCGCTAGGATCAGATAACAACTGAGGCCGAACGATTGATAGGTTTTGATCGCCGAATGTGCTTGGGTATATGCTCCGGTTCAGACCATGCTTCGGCCGACCGAGAAAATCTGGCAGACTTCAAAGACAAGACCACGGGGCTCGAAGAAGCCCTTTCAGAGGAGAACACGACAGCCTCGGGACTGAGTGTCACTTATCCCCCGAATATCTTGGTGACCGCCACCCAGATTCCTCCCTCGCAGCCAGTCAAGCATGGGGTCCTCTACTGTAGCACGCCTCACCTTGCTAAGAACATTGTAATTGGTCGACGTCTGCCCGATGTCCTTGTGCTCTGTCAAAGTGACTCACAGCCATGGTATCTCCAAGAAAGACTCCCGAGCACCGGTCAATGGCACCTTCTTGTTTTCGGGGGCGACATCAGCAAAGCGTTGCAATTGCAGCGGGTGGAAGCCCGGGCGTGCCAACTCACGCGCCCTAACTCCATTCTTGCTCGGCTCTGTATGCCAGGGGCGACAACGTCCGTGGAGTCAGTCGCAGTGTACTTGATCCATTCCGCCTCTAGGTTCGATGTCCAACCTTCGAGTCTGCCTCCAATATTCCGCCCCTTTGACGATCGGAGGGGCCGGGAGTATCGGAGGGTCTTCGCCGACAACGAGGGGTTTGCACCGGACTGTGGCATGGCCTACTCGCTCTATGATATCGCCCCTGAGGGCTGTGTGGTGTTGTTGCGTCCTGACCAGCACTGCTCCCTAGTTCTTTCATTGGAGGACGCAGACATGCTAGAACGATTCTTTTCACTGTTTGTACCGATGTGAATGTGAATAGAAGCGAGCGATAGTTGGACCCGGGTATCAGAGCCTTTAATAGTACACTATACTATACTACAGAATCGGCTTTCCCGCGGCAATTATTAGCCCCGTCTTAGTCTGTACCCCTGGACAAATTGGGATTGCGTTCCACAATAATCTGACGAAATCTTTTCCCCTCAGACCCTGTCCCCTTTCTAACCATTAACTTATCTCTCTCAATGGTAGGAGTTCCTCGAAGTCGCGGCTGTCGAAACTGTCTGCAGCGCCGCATCAAATGCGATGAATCCAGTCCGGGTTGTAGACGATGCCGCGACCGAGGGGTGTCCTGTCCTGGTTATTCTCGAACTCTCAAATTTTGCCCTGAAACCCCTCATATCTACAAACCTCGACCTCGATCAAATAAAGCCCGTGCCAATCAAGATATCCCCATAGCATCCGCACCAGTTCTCCGGCGCATTCACCCCCGTGGGCTCCCCATCGACGAACTCCTAGCACCGGCCCTCACCCACCATGCTTTTTCCACCCAACACGGAGAAATCTTTTGCAACTGGATTGCCACCAACTACTCCTGCCTCTATGCTACCTACGAGACCCATGTAGCCCTCGATCCGATGGTCTACATGCGCCATGACCTGGCCACCGCTCCCGCCGTGGTGCTAGGGGCAGTCTGCGCCCTGACCACCCTGCACGTGGCCACCGTCCACGCCGACCGTCATCAGCGTCTACTGAGCTGGGAGCGCTACGGCGACGCCTCGGCGCAACTGCGCACTACCCTCGCACCTCGACCTACGGGGGTGGTAGTTGTCACAGATGAGATGCTGTTCGCCGCCATCCTCTTGGGTCTGTATGCCATGACGGATGGGGCGGGGTCGGCGGCGTGGCTGGCGCATACCCGCGGCATCTCCGACATGTTCCGATTCCGCGGTCCTGGCGTCTTGACCAGTCGCATCGGCCGCCCGCTCTTCGTCGCCTACCGATCTTTCGTCCTGGTCGAAGCATTTTGGTCGCGTCGGGCCTGTCCCTTCGACACCAGAGACTGGAAACACGTGATTGTGCGAACGGCGCTCGCGATGGAAGAGCCAGCCGTCCGGCTCTGGGAGCTGGCCTCCTGTGAGATCTTTGCATGCCCGGGCTATCTGGCTCGCGCGGAAGGAGTGCTGCGCTCACGGGATCTCCCCATCAGATTGGCGTTGATGGATGAAGCGCGCCGAAGCAAGGCCAACCTGACTAGTCTGGGCTCACAGCTGGCCTCCTTGTCTGTTCGAGGCGAGTTTGTGCAGACCAATCTCAACAATATTGAGTCCGCGACCCGCTTGTTGACTGGTCTACTCCGGATGCTGGAGCACACTGAAGGTGGTCTCGAAGATCCATGGGCATTGCTGGATTCAGCAAAGATGATTGCTAGCGATACTCAGAGCGGATTCGATTCGGTTGCCATGTCTATGGGCCTGAAGGGCCTCACTATTTAGTTCATGGCTGGCTGGCTTTGAATGCAGATTTGCCGACCGTAGATAAGATAAGCGTATCCGATAAGATTAGATAAGACAATGACAATCTGGTCACGTGTGGCCCGGTCGCTGCGTCGGGTCTCTCGGCTGCCACAACTGACTGGTACGTTCAATCTTGCATAGGCCACTGTTGACTTTGAGGGGTCGGGTTACAGCAATCGAGTGGCTCAGTATTCAGATACTCTAGTGAGTTGCTACTTGTCACCATTCGTTCGATGTGGTGGCGTAGTCGCGTTCGAGAAGTCTAGTTCGGAACATATTTTACTGACACCGTTCTACCACATGCTCCCACCCACTATGTTCCGAATTGAGAGATTCTTCATGGTAGTCTCGACTTGCCCGCCATTCTGCTGGCAGCCAATGCAGCCGATAATCCAAACTGGGAGGAGACTCCGTTGATCCGGTGGGTCGAGTTAAGGTTCTTCACCACCACAAACTGGTAGCAAGTGGCACTACCCTGGCGAGAAGCAATGACCGACCAAGCAAGAAACAGTTCCCATATCTATAGTACGATTAGTTGTTATGCATGTCTTCTAGCAGTCTCAAAAACGTACTCTAAACCATCGCTGACCATATGTGGCCTTGATTGTCTCGGCGTTCCCAGTCCAGTTCCGATACCACCTCCAGAGAGTGCCCGAGTAGTGCACCCCAACGGTATCGATACTGTTATTAAGACTGGTTAATCCCCATGCCACACCAATGCTCGAGTCAGGTACGGAGAGCACACTCACCTTTTGATCTCGAATCCGGCCCGCTCCATGGCCAGGACGTAATACCACAACGGGGTCGAGGCATCGGCGCCGCGAAAAATGTACTTGTTCAGATACAGGCCCCAAATGAGATCCTCATACTGCCACGCCTGCCGCAATCCCGAGAGCTGAACATACATGGCCCCGTCATCCTTGAGCAGGTCGTAACACTGACGGAAGAAGGTGGATAGCTTGCGAACGCCGACGTGCTCGCCCATTTCGATCTGGGTGATTTTGTCGTACTGGGTCCGGGGAATATCGCGATAGTCCATGCAAAGGATTCGACTCTGTGCCTCGGAAACCCCGGCGGCCCGAAGTGCCTCATTCCCCCAAGCCGTCTGATGCTGCGCAATGGTGAGACCGGTGACTTTGGCCCCGTAGTTGAGACTCGCAAACTTGGCTAGGGTTCCCCAGCCACAACCGATATCGAGCATCGTCTCCCCCTCCTTGAGACCGAGCTTCTCACAGACAATCGCCATCTTGTTATCCTGCAATTCCTCCAGGGTTTCCTCTCGGTCTGGATCCGAGATGATCCCCGAAGTGTAGACCATCCGGGGACCGAGGAACCAGGCGTAGTGATCATTCCCGCGGTCGTAGTTGGGCCGAATTTGCTCCTCATCCTGTGACTTGGTGTGGAAGAGGACGTCCCGGGCGAATGTCAGGAGGATATACTGGAATAGCTCCCAGGTAAACCGAAAGTTGGCCCAGTCGTGGCGGTACTCCATGACATCTAGACAATCGCCGTTGAATTCGACCTCACCGTCGAGATACATCTCGCAGAAGGTTTGCAGGGGCACTTTGATCCGACCGTGCCATTTGGCCCGATCCGCTTCCTTTTTGAAGGTGACATATTGTTCGATGGGCCGACCGGGTAATTTGACTTTGGTGTTGGTAGGAGGGCTACAGCTCGAGGTCCAGGTCCAGAAGGCAATGAGGATCGGGAATAGAGTGACCAGACCAAGGCACACTCCGGTCTTCATCCCTCCACCGATTGTCCATGTCAGGAGCGCGGGGATTCCCACGAGAGCACTGATCAACCAGAGATTGGAGAAGGATTCATTGCCAGGTCCGTCAACAGGTAGCGGCGGGTTGTGAAGGGCTGGGGACTAATCATGCGTCCATTAGCATGCATTCTTATGGGGACCTAGTAGTGATTAAGAAGACTGACCGTGGTTAGGGCAACTCCACCGTTCTGGTGGTGGTCGTCGGGAGTGAAGGCCGAGGGCTGGGGTGGTGGAGTGGGAATACACTCGATGTCGTGGGGAAGATTGACATTCTTTGGTGCAGGAGGGGACATCTTGTCTAAGTAGCCGAGAGAACTGGAATTCAAACAGATTCTGACATGGTGAATGGAGGAAGACACTGTTGTTTTGTTGTTTTGGTGTTCAGTCATTCTTCCCCCTTCGCGGTCCGCGGGTCCCGAGCCAAGGAGGTTTCTGGCTGGAGACAGGGCCCAAGGATATAGGATCTACTAGCTTACGACAACCCATCAACAAGCCCGGCTAGCTCAATCGGCAGAGCGTGAGACTCTTAATCTCAAGGTTGCGGGTTCAACCCCCGCGTTCGGCTATAGAATCCGATTCTTTCTTCCTTCACCCCAGCCGGGCTAGCTCAATCGGCAGAGCGTGAGACTCTTAATCTCAAGGTTGCGGGTTCAACCCCCGCGTTGGGCTTTCCTTTTTGCTTCATATTTTTTCTGTTCCGCGTGGTTCCTGGAGCACAAAACCTGCATAATTACTCAGCGATCTGTGCAAGCAGGCTATGCTTATCAGTAGCGGCGGATTTCACCATCTGCAAGGCGTTTTCGCCATGACCATTCAGAAGATGGCGTGTGACAGCCACCCGCTTGTGTAATGCTGAATATCCAAGCGTCGCTCTTCTGCGAGCCTTATATAGGTCGAGATAAGCCTGTCCCGCGGCTTGCTTCTCTCCCTCCCTTCACCACCTTCGAACAATTGTAGAGACACGATGGCCTCGCTTCGCAGTTGGCTGGCTATCCGACTGTGGGGGCCCGAGCCCAAGACCCGCGCTCTGCTGGCTAAACTCGACATCACTCTTTTGCCCTACTTCTCCTTGGTTTGGTTTCTCTTTGGCGTCACCCGATCCAGCTATTCGTCCGCCTATATCAGTGGGATGAAAGAGGCGCTCGGATTCCAGGGCAAGGAGTACAACTACATGAACACTGCCTATCTGGTGGTGTATGCGGTGTGCCAGATGCCCGGCACCAGTCTATTGACCATCGCCCGCCCTAAGTATGTGTTTGTCACCGCCAATGTGACCTGGAGCGTCTTGACCCTGATCACCTACAAGATGACGCGGGCCTGGCAGGTCATCTTGCTGAATGCGATTGAAGGAGGCTTCTCGGCCATTGCCTAGTATGTCCACCCCCAGTGCCCAACCCAGGATGAGGGCATGATGTTTGATGCGCGGATGCTGATACTGGGACCAGTGTCGGCGCCCAGTTCATTCTCGGCTCGTGGTATCAGAAATCCGAGCTCGGGATGCGGGCAGCAGTCTTCTGCGTCTTTGGCCATATCGGCACAATGGCTGGGGGATGGATCCAGGCTGGTCTGCTGGCGGCACTGGCGGGCAAAGGGGGTCTGCCAGCCTGGAAATGGATCTTTATCATTGTTTCCGTGATGACCGTCCCGGTTGCACTCTTCGGTGGGTGTGGGCATAGCTCCCAGAAGTTTAAAGACTACCTAACAACTTGTGTCTAGGCTGGGTGTTCATTCCCGACCTGCCATCCCACCGGTCCGCCTGGTATCTCACCGAGGAGCAGAAAGAGCACGCGGTGACACGACTCGGCCTCGTGCGCAAGCAATCCTGGGATGCCACCGTCTTCAGGCGTGTCTTGCTCAGCTGGCAATTCTGGCTCTTGCCGTTCATCTTCATGCGTATGTTGCTCCTGGTGTCTTCCTTCCGCCACTCAGACTCCTAATAATCGGCCAGTGTACTCCCTGTCGGTGCAAGAGGTGTCCAACAATGTAATGCCCTACTGGATGGCTTCCAGGGGCTACTCGACCATCCAACAGAACAATTATCCTACCGGAATCTATGCCGCCGCCATCTTTGGCACGGTACTCTACGCCATCATCTCCGACCGACTCCAGTCACGCTGGCAGGTCTCGCTCGCAATCGGCTTCACTTTCGTCATCGGCTCCGCCATCCTCGTCTCCAGCCCATCCACCGACGCAGGATACTTCGTGGCCTTCTACCTGATCGGCACCACCTATGCGCCCCAAGCGATCTGGTACTCCTGGATGGCCGACGTGACCGCCCATGATCTCCAGCTGCGGGCCATCACCACCGGGTTTATGAACTCGTTCGACTTTGCCTTCGTCACCTGGTGGCCGTTGATCTTCTTCGCGGCCGACGATGCGCCCAACTTCCACAAAGGGTATATCGCGAGTTTGGTGACGGGGGCGTTGACCATCCCATTTATTGGACTAATTGCCTATCTTGAGAAGCGAGACCTGGCGAGAGGGAGGATTGGCGTGACGACGAGAGAGCCTCCTCTCATCGATGAGCGGAGAACCTCGCGCGAGGGAAGTCCGAACACTCCAAACAAGATGGGCGATGACTCTATTGTGGTGCGACCGGCTGAGGTGGGTGTTTAGAGGACATCGACGATGCTGGATCCATGCTATGATCTTAGCACCCGTATGTAGATAGAGGACTGGCAGCCTTGCTACGAGTAACGTAAATGCGACCGGTCAAAGTTGTGCTGGTTGGATTCATGCATTATTCTCTCAGTACGTAGCACTGCCTAACCTACAGCTTAGAAGGCATCCCCACATCCTCTTCCAAGCTCTGATTGACCGCCGCCAAAGCTCCCGTAAGATCGGCATGAAAATTTGGCCTATTGACACCACTCAATATGGCGACGCGTCGCCGCGGGCCTGCAGACACAGCCTTCCCTGTGTATAGAGCTGGTGGCGTCGTTGTGACGGCATTCTCAATATCCGACGGCAAGTCTGATTCATCCAGTGCAGACTGTGCCATTGTTGTGGTTCGCATGCCTTGCTTATCAATCCAGCCCTTGCCACTGGCTTGAGACTCGGCATCGCTTCTACGCATCGTCCCCTCCATCTGGCCCTCATCCCACTCCGCCAGATCTATCACCATGCCCGGTGCGGCCTCCGGGGTCAGAAGTCGCCCAAAGCCAGCAGCCACCAGGGCACGCTTGGTCCATTTGTTGTTCACATGCGCGAAGTGCCATTGCACCGAATTAGGGGCCGCATACCGATCCAGCTGTTGGCGGACGTCAATCAGGTTCTGGATGGCACTGATATCGACATTGTTGACAGCGGAGAAGTCAAGAATAATAGCCCTAAGTAAAGGCGGGGAGGCAGACGGGTCCTCCACGCTGGACTTTTCCGCACTTTTCCTCGCGCGGGGACCGGGGTCGTTCCACGGCCTGTCCCCAGGCTTGGCGTACCTCGCAGGATCAGTGCGTCGGGTGCGATCGAAGATGTGCTGGACGAGGTGGTCGGTGTAATGATTGGCATTGGGATAGTTGAACCCGTCCGAGAGACGGTAGATGAACACCCCCGGCGTGGGTTGAACCGGCTGGATCACCGGGTTGGAGCCATCCGCGTGGGAGACCGGGAGATAGAGCGATCGTGGAGCAGATTGAGTGTAATCATTCTTCGTCAGGTCAATCGTGCTGGAGTCATCCAACAAATGGTCTCCGATGACGGAGTGGATTTGCACCTGCCCTAGAAACTGCCCGCGGGCTTTGGCGATACGAAAGAGTAGAACCGCCAGGGACATGCAGATCGTACAGTAAATTCCGATCTCAATGGTCGAGAAAATAATGACTATGATCCCCACCAAACAAATGATCGCGTCCAGGGGGGCGACCTGCCAGAATCTGTAGATGGTGCTCGGTGGGGCGATAAGGTCCCCCACCGCGTGCACAATCACGGCGGACAGAGAAGAGGAAGGGATGAAGAAGAACAGAGCCGGCAAGGCATAGATAGCCAGCAGAACCACCACAGCAGTGATCACACCGGCCAGAGGCGTACGCACACCGGCTTTAGCCTTGATGGCCGTGCGTGAGAAGGAGCCGGTGGCGGGATAGCCCCCGAGGAATGGTCCCAGCAGGTTCGCAATCCCAATGGCGATGAACTCTTGCGACGGATCAATGGTATAGTTGTTGACGCGACCGAATGATTTGGAAATAGCAATATGCTCAATCACCAACACAATCACAGCGGCTGGCAGCTCGTGCGCAAAGGTTCGAATGATAGCCACGCTGATTTTGGGAACTCCAGCGTGCTGGAAGCCGTACGGCACCTTGCCCAGCAGCTTAAAAGCCGGATTATGGCGACGGTGCAGGTTGACCGCCGCGCTGACCATCGTGTAGAACAAGATGACAAACACAGTGCGTAGGGTAGAGAGGAAGAAGAAAACCTTCGCCTTGTGGGGATATTTGCGGGAGCCGTAATCACACGCCGACCGGATGCCATACAGCACGGCCAAGGCAGTCAGGCCCATGGCGGCGTCCATCTGGGAGGTCGGGAGATAGCGCAAGGTATCAATGATGACCTTGTATGTCGCTCCGCGAGTCGAGAAGCTGGCAGTCTCGCCGAGAACAGTCTTGATCTGCCCAGCACACACGTTGATCGCCGAGCCGGTCATGAACGCTGTGATGGCTGGCAGGGGAATGAAATCGACGATGAACCCGAGACGAGTCAGTCCGAGAAAGGTGACAATGGCACCACACACAATGGCTAGAGCTCCCGCGATAGTGGTCGCCTCGATGTCGGGGTATTTCTCTTGCGTCTCGATGATGATTGTCCCGACGAGAGTAGACATGACTGCCACCGGCTAAGAGAGTGGAGGATAAGTCAGTCAGTCAGTGGGTGTATGACATTCTGAGGTCTTTTCTTACCCCGATGGTGATATCTTTGGAAGTGGCGAAGAACCAATAGATCAAAACCCCCATGAAGGAGGAGTAGAGCCCATATTCCGCCGGCAGCTTAGCCAGGATGGCATAGGCCATGCCTTGAGGAATCACCACCGCACCGACGGTGATACCTGGAACCACCATCAGTCAGTCTTTCCAATCCTTGTGGTAGGCCATAAGCCGCACTTACCGGCAATCATGTCCCCAATGAACCATTGCATATTATATGACCAAATCCATTGCCAAAAGGGAAACATGTTGTAGAAGTAGTGGCGGACGGCCCGTCCAGAGGGCGTATGCTCCCGCACCCAGTCGCCGAGGGTAGGTTCAGGCTCGAGATAGTAGTCGACATGTTCGTTGGCCGTGCGAGGACCAGGCTTATAAGAAGGAGGGATTGGACTAGAAGGTATAAGTTCAATTCCCAATACTTTGGCCGCAAGACGGCCTACCTTACTCGACATGATCCAAGCCTAGCAGGTGAACTGCACAGAGAAATATTGGACCGGGCGATGGTCATGGTGCGGAGTATGGTGTGGCATATAACTATATCAACGTACATCCAGCAGTGGCAGCATTATGGGGCGCGATGTCGTGATTTTAGTTCCTCCATGCTCATTTGGTCTGCTGGCCAGCCCTACCAGGGTCTTAACCTGCTTCCTCGTGGATTTGACTCCTGGCCATTCCTGGAATAGCCGAGCGACGAGACGTCGAGTACAATTGGCTTCTCGGCTTCGATTCTCGTGGGAGGATATTGCAATTCTACGAGATCTTCCCGGCCCTTCCAGGAATGGTCGCTAGATGACACTATCCCATGTTCTGGTAGCGTGTGGCGTGGGTCGTAGCAGGATAGTCTCCAGTCCGTCGATGTTTCGGGTTGCTACGCCCACACCGTGGTCAATCTAACTCAGTATCTCAATAAAATCAGGCTATACATGTTTCATTGTGGCATACTCAGGGTGTGATGATCAGGCTCGTCATAATAATCAGCTGGCTGGCTCTCCAGGAGTGTGGAATGGGTGATAGATAGTCTAGGGCTGGGTGACGGAGATAGATAGGGCTGACCCACCCGTAGTAGGGCTGACTCCATTTCTTCCCCCCCCTGAACCACACAGCATCAGACCACTCACACCAGGTGTTTTCGTTGCTGCCTAAACTGGGTCCGCCTGCATGTGAAATACCTTCTTTTGACTGGACTGACGGGTCCGATCCCTACCCACACCAGAATGCTTGTAGACTAGTTGTCACCTTCGTGTTGCCAGGAGTCTATCTTGTGCTCGACTGCAATAGCTTTGAATTATCCACAATCAACACGAGTATCTGGATGGTCAAGAGTCAATCCATCATAGCAAGATCTTTTCCAGTCAAAGTAGCTACTGGGGAAGCCATTTAGCCGTTTTGCTATCCGATACGAAAGTTTGAAGGGCATTGCCCGTATTGCCCCTGATTTCAACCCCGAGAAGTTGAAATGCAAAGCTACCGAGTTTGCTACTGAATCATGCTTCAAACATGCTTCGACTCCACAAACTTCGTTGAGACTGCTGCAACAGCACAAAGCATCAAGGGAATATGATAAGCTAATTTCATTGCGAAACTTTCATTACAAACAGACTAGCCGTGCCCAGGCAGAACTACAGTCGAGATGACACAATCGACTGCTTCTTGAGATCAAACCGATCCAGGTTCATGACCTTGTCCCAAGCAGCCACAAAGTCCTTGACAAATCGAGCTGGACCATCTACACTCCCATAAACCTCGGCGATCGCCCGCAGCTCAGCATGCGAGCCGAAAACCAGATCCGCGCGCGTGGCGGTCCACTTGCGCTGGCCGGTCTTGCGATCGGTGCCCTCGTACAACTCCCGGCTGCCATCGGTCGCCTTCCAGGCCGTACTCATATCCAACAGATTGACAAAGAAGTCGTTGGTCAACTGGCCCGGTCGGGAGGTAAAGACCCCGTGAGATGATCCATCGTAGTTCGCGTTCAGCACGCGCAGACCACCGACCAGGACGGCCAGTTCCGGCGCAGACAGGCTGAGGAGGTGCGCCTTGTCCACGAGGAACTGCTCTGTGCGCACGCGCGGGGTCGAGCGACCGTAATTGCGGAAGCCATCGGCCACCGGCTCCAGATGACTGAAGGATTCGACATCAGTCTGTTCCTGTGAGGCATCTGTCCGACCGGGGATGAAGGGGACCTGAATGTTATGGCCCGCCTCACGAGCCGCCCGTTCAACGGCTGCACTGCCCGCCAGCACAATCAGATCGGCCAGGGAGACCTTCTTTCCGTTGGGAGCCGAGCCGTTGAATTCTTTCTGAATGGATTCGAGGGCGCTTAGGGTCTCCTGCAGTCCGGGCTGTCGGTTCACCTCCCAATCCCGCTGGGGCTGCAGACGAATGCGGGCGCCGTTGGCACCGCCACGCTTGTCACTGGCCCGGAAGGTCGAGGCAGACGCCCACGCCGTCGACACCAGCTTCGACCGGTCGACGCCACTCTTCTCCAGGATGGTGCGCTTGAGGGAGGCTATGTCGTTGGCATCGATGAGAGAATGGTCGACGGCAGGGACGGGATCCTGCCAGATTAACTCTTCGGTGGGGGCCTCAGGTCCAATGTACCGAGTGCGGGGACCCATGTCACGGTGAAGGAGTTTGAACCAGGCACGGGAGAAGGCATCGGCAAGCTGATCGGGGTTCTCGAGGAAACGACGCGAGATCTTCTCGTAGGTGGGGTCATAGCGGAGGGAGAGATCGGTAGTGAGCATCGTCGGCCGGTGGCGCTTGGAGGAGTCGTAGGCGTCCGGGATAATGGCCTCGGAGTCCTTGGCCACGTACTGGTGAGCCCCCGCGGGACTCTTGGTGAGCTCCCAGTCATAGCGGAACAGATACTCCAGGTAGTTGTTGCTCCACTTGGTGGGAGTCTTGGTCCAGATCACCTCCAGGCCACTGGTGATGGTGTCGGGGCCTTTGCCAGACCGGTGATTGTTCTTCCAACCAAGACCCTGCGATTCGAGGCCCGCGCCTTCAGGCTCTGCCTCCACATTGCTAGACGGGGCAGCCCCGTGGGTCTTGCCGAAGCTGTGGCCGCCAGCGATGAGGGCGACCGTCTCTTCGTCGTTCATCCCCATGCGACTGAAGGTGACGCGGATGTCCCGAGCCGCAGCCACGGGGTCAGGATTGCCATCCGGACCTTCGGGGTTGACATAAATGAGACCCATGTGCGCCGACGCCAAGGGCTTCTCCAGGTCTCGCTTGTGAATGTCGCGATGGGGGGACTGATCGCTATCGACCACCCCCTCGGCCGCCACACCGGGCTTGCCATCGGAGTATCGGACATCGTTGCCCAGCCAGGCTGTCTCGCCACCCCAGTAGACCGACTCGTCTGCCTCGAAGGTGTCCGGGCGCCCTCCAGAGAAGCCAAAGGTCTTGAAACCCATGGACTCAAGGGCAACATTGCCCGTCAGCAGCAGCAAGTCGGCCCAGGAGATCTTGTCGCCGTACTTCTGCTTGATGGGCCACAGGAGCCGACGAGCCTTGTCCAGACTTACGTTGTCCGGCCAGCTATTGAGGGGGGCAAACCGCTGTTGCCCCTGACCTCCCCCGCCACGGCCGTCGAAGACCCGATAAGTGCCAGCACTGTGCCAGGCCATGCGGATAAAGAGACCCCCGTAGTGGCCGAAGTCGGCGGGCCACCAGTCCTGGGAGTCGGTCATCAGGGCATGGAGGTCTTTCTTGAGGGCAAAATAGTCCAGGCTTTGGAAGGCAGCGGCATAGTCAAAGTCGGCCTTCAATGGGTTGGTGGTGGAGGTGTGCTGGCGGAGGATGTTGAGCTTCAGCTGCTCGGGCCACCAGTCGGTGTTACGCGTGCCCCCGCCGGCCACATTGGCCTGTGCCTTGTAGGGACACTTAGACTCGCCCATGATGATGATGGTAGTATTGGGGTTTCTCAGTCAAGAGATCTGAGAAGGAGGATGCCAAGATGCAGTAATGCAGTGGTGATGATGGTGATGATACTGAAGATGAAGATGAAGATAAAGATGAGAGAATGGATGGATGGGAATCAGAAAAGAGGGGAAGAAACCCGACCCCGCACTCTATACTTATACCTCAACAGTGAATGCAGTCCGGTAGGACAGCCAGGCTGGCCAAGACGGCATGAGTAATGGACAACTGCCTCGCCCTTCATTTGCTGACTGACCACCGAGGGCCAGACACGTGGTGGGGATGAAGCCACCCTTCGAGGCGGGGGATCATCGGCACTGACGGCGGAATTGGTGAATAATCCTCATTCTACCACTGGGTGTCGACATCATCACTTTACGCCTGCTGACTTGATTTGACCCCGCAACCCATGGAAATTCCCTATATTGGGGGAGGGGGGGATCAATTGGCCAGCCCTAACTGGCTGACTGGCTGACTGGCTGACTGGCCACTGGCTTCGTAACACACCCGGGTCCAGACCCCCTTTGACTAATCAGTGGTTAGTCATCCGCTTAGTGAGGATCCCTGTCTCGACTGAGTTGGATATATGAGGATCTATCAGGCGTAAGGTATGGATGGTATCATATCCTGAGTGATTACGGATCAGAGTACTCTAGGCAGGTCCATGAATAAAGATGTGGTATGGGGTATATGATACACATAATTCTAAAATACACCGAGCCATGCTCCAGCTCCCTTGAACATAACCCCTCTACTTGCTCTCCTCCTTGGCCTCACTCGCCAGCTTCTCGATCTGGTCCTTTCGCTTCTTCAACACCTGCTGCAGCTCCTCGACCGTCTCCTTGAGCACTCCCTCCGCCTCCTTGCCCTTCTTCTCACCCACCGTGCGCAGAGACTGCAGCTGGTTCAGGATGTCCGATCCGCCAGGGACCATCTTACTCCACTTGTCCAGGTCGAAGGAGCTGTTGTTCTTGGCCTGATCAATCTTCTCCTTGACGAACTTCTCCACCTGCTCCGTCTTGCCCGACGAGGCCGAGTCCTTGACCAGACCCCACAGCTCGCCGAAGTTGCCCTGCTTCAGCGCATCGGCGTTGTTCTCCACCAGCTCCTTTAGCTGGGGGTTCTTGTCCAGGTACTGCTTGCTTTCCTCCAGGCCCTTCTGCCACGCCTCGTCGCCAATCTTCTGCAGCTTCTCCTTCTTCTCCTGGATCAACTGGCGCACCTTCTCCGCCGACTGCACGCTGAATCCCTCCTTGGCGATGCTGGAGACCTGCTCCCAGGTCTTGTTGACCTCCTCCTTGGCCTGCGGGCCGTACGCATCGCCCATCTGCTTCAGCTGGTCCCAGCTGCCGCCGACCTTCTCCTGCAGCCAGGGGTGGTTGTCGAGGATATCCTCCGCCGCGTCGCCGGACAGCTCGGCCAAGCGACCGAGGTGTTTCTGCAGCACGCGCAGGGCCTCGAAGGCGGTATCCGCATTGGAGCCGCCCTTCTTGGTCACGGCCTTGATCTCCGAGTAGGCATCGCGCACAATCGAGTCAAACTCGCTGCCGTGCTTCTGCTTGATCTTCTCGAGGTCGTCGAAGGCGGTGTCGATGTACTTGCGCGCGCCCGGGATGAAGCCGGCGTAGCTCTTCACGGTGTCGCGGAGCCAGTCGAAGGCGCGGTCGGGCTCAGGTACATGCTCAACGATCCCCTGCTTGACCTGGTCGGCGTAGTTCTGGGTCTGCTTGACCGTCCTGACCACCGTACGGGCGCCAGAGAAGTGGTACCAGGCATATCCAGCGACGAGAGTGACCGCACCGCCAGCCAGACCGCCAACCAGGGCGGGGTTGCTGCTGCTGCTACCATTGGAGCTAGATTCTGCGGACGAGGACTGGAACCGGGCGTTGGAGTAGCGGTTCTTGAGGGGGTTGGTGCGTTGCTGTCTGAGGCAGCGGGTCGCGACTCTGGGGGTTCGGTTCATCATGATGTGTGGTTGTGAGGGGGTTGGCAAAAGAGTCTTTTGTGTTGTAGAAAGAAATTGAGGGAATAGTTGAGGTGGCGGTAGTCAAGTGATGGCTGGTAGTTCGTGATTATAATAGTCTGAGAGAACACCGCACCCGGGGCAGATTCCCAGGACTATAAATGCAGCGATTCCGCAACCGTCAAGACCCCGTCGAGACCCCGTCAAGACCCCGTCAAGATGACGTACGCCCAGAGTTACGGGCCGCTAAGCCGCATTGGGTCCATCTCAATCTCGCCAAGACCCGATCTGGCTCCGGCCCAGCGACCCGGTGCCCACGACGTAATCATTCCTTCATGCTCGCTGTCAAGGCAGAGCAGCTACGAGTGACAATCCACAACAAACCTTTACACGACACCCACGTCATGCTTCAAAGCCAGGAAGAATAGATGAGACGGGGATTTCCTGTGTTGGAGGAGGCCGTACCTGACGCACGGACACATTCCTATCCAATGATCTCGACATTACCCAATGTGCAGGAAGCATAGCATAACTTAGTCGGGTATGACGATCGTGGCTGTTGAGGCGGACCCCCCTGAGTTGTTTGTGGATGGGTTGCTGGTAGCGGGAGACTTGACTGCCATCTGTCGGGAGGCAAACCTCCTTACGAGTGTCGGAAGTATGTATCACCGTCACGAGGGCTATGGTAATGACATGGATTTCTTGGAGGATAAGACAACGCTTGGGACAATATATATAGCTGCTGGTGGCAACGAGTAATAATCATCCCAACCGCTATCTGTATCATAATGTCAACAAGACATAACGTTTGTGGCCACGGCTCCTCCCGCTGCAGGGGACTTGGCCATCACCAATCATAGCAACTAGGTCCATGGACGAGTTCGATGATACAATTAAAACTGTCTTACATACAATGTTATTTGGATGATTCTTGCTCGGATTAGTTTGGAGGTAGACCCTGCACCCGAACTGTGTGCCTGCTGGCAGGATCTGAGACGGACGAAGATATATATTCTGCCAAGCCAAAAAAAAAAAAAAAGGGTACCCTCCCTAGCGAGCTAGTTTACAATTTTGGAGAAAACCTCGCCTAATGATCAAGGTGCAAGAATATAGAGGTCATGATGGGTAGGATTATATACACTCATAAAAAAAGTCTTTGTCAATTTGATCACTTGAGCCGAATCTGGATTCAGCGATTATCGAGACCCTACCAACTTCTGAATTATCTCGATGAGCTCTGACAGCCTGGCCAGAGAGGGCCGCAGTATCGTCTCGTGTACGCAAAATGGTCTTATACATCTTGCATCATTGTCTCTCCCATCAGAGTCTACCATACAGTCATGCAACTGCTGATGCTTCCAGTGTCAGCATCAGCACTACTACGAAAGAAATTTACATGCACAACAATCCAGGAAGCTATCGTGTCTCATATTGACCTGCAAAGATATACTTGCGGACAGAAGCCGCCACGACTATATCTAACGAGTCACCGATTGCCTTTCTTGAAACCCGCTTCAGCGTCTCCAGCACTGCAGAACCTGCTGCCATGTCCTCCGCAAACCGCGCTCGCACATGCAGAGTCACCTGCTGCTGTGTGCTCCACCACGATAAGTCGCCAGGATGACTTAGACGTAGGAGATAGTGACCGAGGAGTCGCTGTTGATAGTGACATCGGTCACAACCTTGCCGGACTCCTCGATCTCGATAATGGTGGCGTCGTCAAGGCCGACGCTCTCGCCGCCAGCGGCCTTGGCGACGGCGCCGGTGAAGGTCACAGTGCCGAAGTCGACCAGGTTAACCAGGGAGCCATTCTCCTCGAAGTCTATGCATAGGGTTAGTAAGGCGAACAATTTTGCTATTTAACTCACCACTCAGACTCAGACTCACCTTCAACGATCCACTCAGCATTCTGACCACCAAGCTTGGCACTGGAGTAAGGAGCAGACAGTTTCTTGGTCACAGTCTGGCCAGTGCTCTTGTTCTCGATGATAGCAGTACCGCTGGTGGAAGAGGACGACTCAACGATGGCGACGATAACATCGCCGGCAGAAATATCGAGGCTGCCGCTGAAGTCGTAGGCGTAGTCGGGGTACCACTCGTACCAGGCATCGTAGGAGGCGCGGCCATTGGTGAGGGTGAAGTCGATACCGGTCTGAAGGATGGCGTTACCGTAGGTGTCACCGTCAATGCCCACCCAGGCGGAGGCGGCACCGCTGCCGGTGCCGGTGGGCTCGGGGACAGTGAAGGTACCAGTCACAGCCGTGTAGGTCGCAGCAGCCGAGGGGGGGCTCTCCAGCACGGCACCGGACCAGTTGGAGCTGTACTCAACGTTGGTCTGGTTCTTGACCGTCGCGGGGCGGTTGACAGCCTCGAGAGGGCGAGAGCCCCGAGTACCAGAAGCGCGAGCCTTGACACGAGCTTCGAGGCCGCGGTTGGGGATGGCGGCGACGGTACCAGCGAGGATGCTAGCAGCAATAGCGGCGGTGAACTTCATTTTAACGGTGAATTGGCGAGAAACTCGAAGTGAGCAGTTGAGAAAGTTGGAGTATTGAAGCTAGAGATATCCGCGATGGAGCAGAGAATAGAACTGGCTGATGGTGATGGAGAAATAGCATTCGGAAGGGCAATTCACCAAGTATTTATGCTTCCCAGAACGAGCCCTCCCTCCTCCCTCCTCATCCTCGTCCTCGTCCTCGTCCTTGTTCTGAGAGATATCCTCATCGCATCATTTCACCTCATTGTATCCTGGTCATCGCACGATGAGTCTTGAGAAGACCAGAATCACCAGTTGAGACTGTTCGCGATCGCAACGCCGCGGTAGAAGATGTCGACATGCATCGGACTCCGGTGGACCAACGCGATGCCTTGAAGAGTTCTGCAGGCTGAAGACTGTGAGGACTGTCCATGCAGGGTCTTGGCACTCGCCTTAGCGCAGAGGTTGGCGCACTTCATTACCTTCAATATGATCACCACATCCATTGCGCCATTGACGTGAGGTTGACCCCGTTGACCCCGACTTCCCCGAAATTAATGCATGCGCATGCCAACGGCATACTCGCCATGTCTTCCGATCAACCAAGACACTATGCGCGGATTTGCAGCTGTTTATCGAGCTGACTTCGAGGACAGAGAGATAGGAGATGCAGAGAAGAATTGCAGCCCCTTGGTGACCCGGTCGGTGCTGAATACCTTGGCAATGGCGTGTCCACCCGAGGGGCATTGAAGCCAATATTTGCCAATATTTTAGGGGCGGAGTTCAGGGTGTCATCCGCCGGCTCCTGCAGATGAAGTGCCTGCAGGATTAATCTAAGCGTGCGGGGTGCAATGGTCGCAATGGTTGTTAACGCGGTTGCGTGATTTCACATACCGGATGAGTTGATGAGGAAGCTTGCAGCATTGGGTTGGATTATGCAAGGGTTATGTAGAAAGCAAGCGAATGAGTCAGCTTCTCCGTGCATTTATCTCGTGGCCCTGGAACATTCCTGAGTAAACAATTCAAACAGCTCAAACAATATAAACAATACCAACAATCCAATTAGGTCAAATGAGTTAAAACAGTATAAACAACAACAACAACCATCACTTACCTATGGCTAACCTTAACTTTGACTACTCCCACGGCTTCTGTTAATCTATACATCCACTCCCTCACGCTGCTTGTTACCTAATCTTGGAAATCGAAGCGGTCATCCCATTTCATTCACAATCCCAAACCTAAGACCCCGTTGCTACTGCGCGATCAAGTCCCCCGCAGCATCCGCTCGATGCGCCCACTCAGTCAAGTCCTGTCCTTGGCAGCTTCGCAATCCGCTCCTCCCACCCAATTTCCCGATGTCAACATCTCCATTCGCATCTCTGACTAGATCCCCACTGATGATGGTGTCGGAACGATGATGAAGCGGTTGAGATCCATCGCCGTCAAGCCAGAACAAAAACCACATCCCCATCGGAACCTTCCGACGCCGCTTTTCCGTCTAGACCAGCAACGGCCCTGCCCCCTCGACTATATCGATTCGATAGAATGTCCGACTTGTGGAATCGGTCTTGCAAAATGTCCAGTTCTTGTATCTTGAGTGACCTGCTCGATGACATCTGCTACACCTCAACATCAAGATGGAAGATTGGGATATCAGCAAACCGCCTGCTCCTCTCCCAAGCATTAACCTCACTCGACTCGGCCCAGGGTTCTCGTTCTTGCTGCTTCTGTCGCGGAGAGGTCAAGGCCCAGGGTTAATCCTTCTGGTGCCCAACACTGATCACTCGCTGGACATCATTGATGGAGTCCCATCACCCCTGATCAAATGGGCGGAGGAAGGATATTCGGTTGTTGAACTCCAAGAACAAGCTTTGGCTGGTGTTAGTGGTCATGATGCATTTACCATCGCCTTGGACGCTTTGGCAGCTAGCAAGGACTGTGACAATGGAAAGATAGGCTTAATCGGTATGTCCATCTCCCCTTCCGTGAAACAAGGAGGTCGACTCCTGGCCCGGGGGCAAAGGGTCGTACTCAACTGTGGACTTCCGTGGCCACAATCATTCCTAGCCTCCCGAGCATCGTCGCGACTGTGATATATGGATAGGCTGGGGCTAGACTCCCAAGGGCCTGTACTCTGGCCGCTCATCCGATCCTCTGCCACCTTGCGGGCACAAGACCCAAGCCTCAGAGCCGCCAGACCAGCCAGCCCTCCTCGAAGTATTACTACCCCACCGCCAAATCCTTTTTATTTGCCGCGCCCTTCACCGACGACTTTCTGTATGGCCCGGAGTCCATTTCTCAAACTCACAGTCTGTCTTTTTTAAAGCCTTTGATGGCAGGCCCGTACTTTGATTTGGAGATCATCTGGGACGAGCACACCTTCTATGAATTCACCGACCGAAGTGTGGAGCACACTATGAGTACCATGGTTGCTCAGCCATACGTGAAGCACGTTCCGACGGTGAGGATACTAATCTCTCCTGCGAAGCCTCTTCGGCTGAACTTAGAAAGAGACTGATATCCCTAGCTTACCGGCGGAATTGGTCGCGAATCTCTTACTCACTGCTACCGGCACAACTTCATCTTCAACAATTCTGCCGATACTGAGATAGAGCTGATTAGCCGAAGCCTCGGCATTGACCGCGTCATCGACGTGTTCATCTTTAAATTCGCCCATGAATGGGAGCTGGATTGGCTGTAAGTCGTTCAATTCAACTCTCTTGCCCCAATACGTTTCCAATCCCAGGTCCACTACGTCTACTCTAATACCGATCACTAATCTCCGGGACGCGTCTGCCCGGAGTGCCCCCAACGCACAAACGCGCTGCAATCACCTTCGCGGCAATGGTGAGTATCCGTGGGGACCGACTGCACCACGAACACATTTCATGGGATCAAGGTACCGTGCTCGCACACCTCGGGCTTATACCGGCTTATTTGCCTTTCCCCTGTCCGTTGCCAGATGATCGGAGGGTTGAGTACCGCGTGCCAGTGTGTGGGATAGGCACGGCGGAGAAATTGCGAGATCACACGGTGGTCCCTTCGAACCAGCTCTTCGAGTATAAGGTGCGGGAATACTTGGAAGAGCCGTGAGTCACTGTGTTTAAAGAGCCGCGCCCCATACGGGAATCTTACGCTCAATTATCAACCTTCCACGTCAGTAGATCATGATGCCAGGATTCTCAAAAATGACTTGGTCAACTCTCTAATGAACAGGCAAGATAGCGAAATGCGCAATGCGCGTTCGTAGATCGCACTATTTCGCATACTAATGGGGCGGGCTACGTTACAATGGTTGTCTACATAGCACATCGGGGCCGACTTCTTCATTGGCACTGGAGGCAAGCTCACGATGACCTAGTGTGTGGTATGTCGGGACTAATGGCCAAGCACTAAATCAGCTAGACCTGGAACCCCGATACGCTTTTCAGCAATTTTCGACTCTGCAGCATCGGAGGAAACAAATATTCGATGGAGAACTGAAGACCAATCCACCCCTTCAAAGCTTCGCACGGCTGTCTAGTTTATCCATCTTTGCGTGAGTTCTGACAATGGCCCTGTAGTTTGGAAAAAGCCCTTGTGGGTCGTACTTCTCGCGGATCTTAAGGAATTTTGCGAGCGCGGTATCACTCAGAACCCGAGTCTGTGTGCAGTGGTCAGTTTCTGTAGCTAGACAGGCTAAGGCCAGACAAAACGTACACTGGCAGTCTCGTTGTTCATATCAATCTCGGTGATATACTGTCCCACAGCAACGGGGAAGGCTCGCTGGTAGCGGACCCTCATGTGATTCCAGAGGGCGGGCTTCGATTGCGCCTCGAGCAACTGGAGGGACTGCCGTCAGTTGGGTACGGCTGAATGAGCACCCCTAGGTCTTCACGTACCTTTCATACCGGACAGCTTGATTCATTCATGATGGCGTTGATCTGCTATTTGTCTTGGCGATGGTTTCCCAAGAAGCCGTGTTTGCGGGCGAAGACCTCCTCGAAGGTTCTCCGCTGTACAGGCTTCATTTCCAGCATATGTTCCCGGACAGCGTCGGGAATCGCATCCCACGCACTCTTCAGCGTCCGGGCTTCGAGAAGGTTGCCCGAGACCAGCTAAGCCCTAAGTCATGGGCGTTCAACACCGGTGCGGCGAACGACAATCTCACGCGAGGTGCCAACCAGACGATGCTGCAGCGGGTCTGGCTGCGACCGGCGATCATGCGCGACATCTCTACAGTGACCACGTACTGGACGTTGCTAGGCTGTCAATTCACGGTGCTCGTATACACCGCGCCGGTGGACGCGGCCAAGAGTGTCTGTGGAGAGGCTGAACTTCCATTGGCACGGGCGGCGTATAAGGCCGGAATAGTGCAATGCATCGCTACCACCGCCTCCCATTCCCTCGCCGAGACCCTCGATGCAACTCCCGAGCAGGCATAGCTGCAGTTATACATCAACAGAGATCGGAGAGAAACGGAGGCACAGATACGGCAGGCCACGGCCTCCGGAAAGGTCAAGGGGTTTCTGATTACGGCCGATCTCTCAGTGATGTTCAAGCGAGAGGCCGATGAGCGGCTCAAGCCAGGGGGAGGCAGGGGGCTGGTAGTGAGTATCAACGAGCAGCAGCAGCCGCTGGGGGGCCCATCCATGAATGCGAATGCTAGCTTAGCGAAGTCGAATAGCTCGTTCATTGATCCTACTCTCAACTGGCAGGAATTTCCCTGGCTTCGGAGCATCACCGAACTGCCGCTGCTGATCAAAGGAGTTCAGCGGGCAGAGGATGCGCATCTTGCCCTGCATTACGGTCTCGACAACATTGTGGTCAGTAACCATGGTGGCCGCGCCGCCGACACGGCGCCCCCATCCATCTTGACCCTTCTTGAAATTCGCCGTAACTGCCCGGAGGCGTTCGAGGAGATGATCTTTCTGGTCGACGGAGGGTTCCGACGAGGGTCTGATGTCGTCAAAGCCGTCTGTTTGGAAGCCTCAGTCGTCGGTCTGGGTCGACCGTTCACCTACGCCTTGACCTACGGAGAGCCGGGAGTGCTTCATGCCATCGAAGGTAGATAAACTTAGATTCACAATTAGTCGACGATGCTAACAGTCACGATGCATTTATAGTTCTGAAAAAGGAAGTCGAGACGGCGATGCAGCTGATAGGATTGACCGACCTGCGAGATGCCAGCCCTAGATACATCAACACCGCCACCTTGGATCGCTTGTTGCCACCAAACAATGGCCGCCCAGAAGCGCTCGCAACTGGCTGGACGAGAGCGAAACTGTGATGGCGCGGATTTATTCTACTTTACATTTCCCTGGCTTTTTCTTCTGTATCAAGATGTCATCTTCTCGGCAGCCAGGTGGGGCGATGCGCTGTAAGCATGGAAGGTTATCCCAGGCGGACTGTAGCTTTGCACCCTCTCTACCCTCTGTCTATTCAGGCCAAAATACTTCTTTTCCATCAGGCTACAGTTCAATTGCAGAGAGCCATAGATCATCGAAATGCAGCTTCCGATACGGGACAAACGCTGTTCGGAACTGACGCGCCACCGCATCTCTTCCGATGCGGACATGTAGCTTGCCAATGTAGCACTGCATTAGAAATAACGCTGAATGAAACATAATGTTTCAAAGAGTACAGTGTCACAAGGTCACTATTTCTACGGTTCTTGCGTTGAAAAAGTGAGTTTCGCATTCGCCGAAGACGTTGTACCTGCCCAGATGCGTGTGAGATCTCACTGACTGAAGTGGCCAGATGGTGGCTTAATCGATTGCTGATGGGTTTGCTCGACTAACCGGCAAGCTCCAAGCGGTCATCGTGCATGTCGATGTTGGAACTCAAGCTCTGAGCTGTGCAGTTCACAATGCCTCTGCCGCCTACTGTCCGGTTCTTATTTTCGCAGGCCTTGCGCCCTTCACCATCGATGGCGAACTGTCCGGGTCTCGAACGGAGTATGTGCATTGGCTGCAGGATGCCAAGGAGCAACGCCAGATTGTCTCGCAATACTGTCGGTATACCGGGGAGATCCGCAAGGGAAAGAATGTCAAGCAGATGGTAAGTCGGGCGATGCAGTTGGCAACGAGCGACCCGCCTGGACCGGTGTGTCTGACGGCAGGGCGAGAGGTGCTGGAAGACAAGATTGAGTCCTACACGATTGAGCAGGCTCATTGGAGTGCCGTTTCGCTCACCGCGCTGCCACAGAACGGGGTGGAGACGATCGCCACCCTCCTGGTTTAAGCCCAGTGTCCTCTAATCATTATAAGGCACTCGGGCAGAGATCATCAGGCATTGCCTGCACTGGTTGACCTCGTTGATGGTGCCTGGGGTGCGCGTCTTGGACTCTCTTAGGAGTGATGTGAGCCTTCCCCTTCACCCATCCGGCTTCCTTGGGGTTGGGAATCGGAGCCCATGAAGCCATTCCCACGGCCGACTTTATCCTAGTCGTTCATGCGGCAGTCCCTTGGATTCCCGTTCTCTGTCGTCCCTCCCAGCAGGCCACGATTGTGCACATCAACATCGACCCCCTGAAGAACAACCTCAACCTGTGGTACATCAATGCTTCCAAGACCTACCATGCAGATGCAGCCACCGCCTTCCTCCAACTGCAGTCGTACATCGCGAGCAACGAGGGCTTTACCCCTATCCTCGCATCAGCCGCGTATCTCAACCGCTGTGCAGCTACCAAGAACGCGCACCATGAGCGGCTGGCCGCCCTCGCACTCGCAGCTGCAGACCTCAAGAACCCGCTGGCTCTAATCAACAGCCACTATCTCGGCCGCCGTCTGCGTGAGACGTTACCGCAGGATACCATCTGGTGCCTCGAGACCGTCACCAATGCGATGCCCATCACCAATCAGCTGCAGGGCGCCCCGGGACATCTGGTCAACTGCGGCGCTGGCGGACTCGGCTGGTCGGGGGGCGTTACCTTGGGCGGTCAGCTGGCGTCCGATTACCTGGCGGGTGGGAATGGCAAGGGCAAGTTTGTGTGTGAGATTGTAGGGAATGGGACATATATGTTTGGTGCTCCGGGGACAGTCTACTGGATTGCTCGACGGTACAACCTGGCGACTCTCACCATCGTTCTCAGTAACAACGGTAAGTAAGGGGCGGCTGTCCCGTCAATCGTCGCTCAGGTGGCTAATATGTCGAGGTCAGTGATTTTCCTTCCCGTGCCTGCCTTCTATACCAAGCCCCGGGGGTTGGATGATCTTGTCGATCAGAGTGTGATGAGAATGTTGGACAATTTCGGGATCACTCTAGAGACATCTCCACGGTGGAATGGGTTGCGGAGAGACCCGTGAGCGCTATGGCAGGCTCTGGGGCATCTGGTGTACATAGCCTACCAGCGGTACGTCTATTCTATAGGAATTGGTAGACGTGGTGTGATGCTCTCTGGTTATTTAGGTATTTACTTGCCAGGTAAACAAGCATCGTTCATGTCAAATTACTCAGTGCTATCGTCGAGCACCAAAGAAGCTGCTATGCTACGCTATGCCTATCGATGAGTCTCCCAATCAGTGATTTCTGGGACACATGATAACTTTGGGTAGGGCCAACCAAGCCAGTAACTCACTGGATGAAGCATGCTAGTTCTGCCTCAGGCAGCAGCGAATAGCCAGGCAGCAAGGCAGCAAAGTCGTAGCGCACGTGATCCCTACGGTCGGGTTTCCATCATCCATCGTTCGTTCGCCATTTCTCTCTCACTACCACCCACACCACCACCATTCTCTCTCTCTCACACTTAAGACGACAAACCCTTCGCCATGGCTGATGTAACCGAGCTCGATGCTTCCCCTCTTCTCATTTGAATTGGTAGCAGCTCTACTCTATCACTCGACACCACACTGCCAGAGTTGCAAAGAAGCAATGAAGATTCTCTTCTCCACCAAACCAATCCCTACTGACAGATACTACCTAGTAGTCTCTAGGCCATCTCGTCTCTACCTCTCTGTCTTATTACTCTAAACCAATCTCATTACCAGCTTCCCAGTTCCCCCCCCGATCCCTACACCAAGGCCCAACATTTTCCACGAAAACCGCTCGTTGCAAATGGAGCTTTGAGACGAACGCGATCGAAGCAGAAGTAACATGTCTCTCTCGATTGGAAAGTACCGCCTTCGTATCCTCTAGCAGTTTCGCGATGAAAGCCTTTAATGGCTCTCCGCGCTGGAAAGTCCGACCGGCCGTTCGCCGACCCGATTCACCCACGCTCGTATACATCTCCCAATTCATCCCAGACTGCTTTTGCACTCGATTCGGTCGGATCCGACGCCTGGACTTCCTGGCTATACGAGGCTGAAATATGCTTGTAGTTAGGGAGAGGGGTGGGCGTAGGTCGTAGGCGAATGCGATGGATGGTCTGCTGGTGGTCTTCGCTACAGGGTTACTCCCAGATGGTGGTTGATCCTACCTGTCCAAGTGGATGGAAAGCTCGGTGCTTCATCGGGAGACCCTAGTCGAGGAAGTGTCATGAACCTCCATTGCATCTTACAGAGTAATAGTCCGGTCCGTGGTGTAAACGTCCAGTGCAAAATGGGGGCGATATATGATTATTCCGATGCCGGAGCAAGGAAAGTCTCTCCGTCCCACAACTGGAACTGCTCAGCATTACAGGGTACGTCTACCTCCGTCAAAGGTAGTAAAAAGACAAAAGCAACAGTCCATTTCTGCAGAACCAGGGGAATCAAATACAGCAGAATCAAGCAAACAACAAGCGCATAACCAGATCAAACACCAAATCCAAGTCCTGTCCCAGAATCCCGACAACCCCACACCCCTCCGAAGTATCCCATATGTTCCTACACCGCGTGTCCCTATCTACCTATATACCTATACCTATGCCGAAAAAGGAAATCATCAATGCCACAACGGAGGTCGGTCAGTGACCTCTTTTCCCATCTGGTCCTGACCAGACCTTCGTTTCGAAGGACTGCTTGAATCCGCCCGAGAACGGACAGGCCGAGTGGGAGGAGTGGGAGGAGTGGGAGGAACTTGGGGCGTGCATCGTGGCGGTGAAATGGCTGGCGGTCGTGTCAACCGACCGCGTATCGAAGATACTACTCGGGGCTTCGGAGAGCTGCGTGTTGGAGCGGGTGATATACGAGGCCGCATCGTCATGATGCTGCTCCTTGTTCTCGTGAACCGAGTCAGTCTCGTCCTTCATGAACTCCTCGCCGTCGCGGACCTGCCAGCGGGCGAAGAGATCGTTCTGGATCCAGATCACCTTGCTCAACGCCTTGACCAGCGCCAGCTTGAAGGCGAGCGTGAGCTGCGGGTGACTGAAGACCGCCTCGAGGATGATGTCCTGGATGTACCCAAGACACACGCCGATGTGGATGTATTCCACGTGAAAGGCGAGCATGCGATCTTTGCCGATGTGCATACGCCTGGTAGACGAGTCAGCAGGGTTCTCGAGGGGCCAGACAGCCGAGGAGACAGGCAACCTACCCGACTTTGTTCAGGTACTCATAGAATTCCGGCTTGGTAGGGTCGGAGCAAAGCTTGGTCATGTACCAGCGCAGGAACATCCGGCGACGCTGAATGTAGGCGCTGTCAAAGGTGGGATAGGTGGTTTCCTCCTCATCTTCCAGTGATGTGTCGCGTGTGCGAAACACGCGAGCTGTGATATCGTTCTCGAGGAGCTTCGCATATACTTTATCGACCAGGGTAGGCGCCAGCGCCTTGATGTATTTGGATCCCTTGTTTAGAGCGGCGACATCATCTATTCAAAATCTTGGTTAGTCAAGGAGGACAATTCAATTGCCGATTCGATCCCGACAGCACTGACCCTTACTGAATTCTAGAAACTGCTGCAAGTAGTGGACTCGTGCCCCAAGATCGGTATAGAGGGCCTTCCGATCAACATGCCGGGGGACATGGGATGATTTTCCTTGAAGAACCATGGTTGTATGTGTAGATGGGGAAATAGGGTTCTTGCTCGCAATCAATAGTAGCGGCAAATCGACAATCTAATCGGAGGGAAAGCAAAGAAAGACAGACAGACAGACAGACTTAAACAGCAAGTTGACTACGAATCGTTCCATCGAGAAGGGGGCGATCGATCTGCTATTTACGATGAACGGGGCCACTCCGAAATCGAGATTTTCTTCTTCATTTGCCATTTTCTTCAGTCCTCCGTCCTCTGTCGATTCTTTCCATCATTTTTTTTTTGTCATACATTAGTGTACTCCGTAGTGAGCGGAGCATGGCAAATGTGACGTGTAAGTGAATCCCCAGGCAAATCCACTTTGTGCCAGGCTCCCACCAGCAAGCTGGCCCAAATAGGGTTGTGAAGGAGGCGATTTGGGAAATAATAAACGGTCCCCTATGAAATGTACTGCAGTTATGCCGTGAATTTGACTTCTGACATCTGTCACTCGCCAGATTTGTATCCGGCAATGGTTGGGAAGTGGATCTGCAGGATCTGGCTTGGCTTGGCTTGGTTGCTTCTGACGGGGGAGAGGGGGAAGGGGGAAAGAGGCCCACTTCATCGTCGCCATTTTCTTCTCCTTTTCTAATCTTACCGCTCCTTCCAGTCCCCATTGCGATGCATCATTGCATCCCCCTCGACACTAGTTTGATCGTTTTTAGCACGGAGTGGATGCGGCGTTGCGGAACAAGGGATTTTTTTGGCCGGGAATTGTCGCCGAAAGGTTCAACGTCCTCAAATTCCCCAGCAACTCGACACGCCAAGGCGTGCCCTAATGAGCCCAGTGTCCACTGCACCGCGGTGTGAGAGTCCTCCCTCCTGGATGGAGCCCGTCTTAACATAGTCCATTATGATATTATGACTGGATTATTGTGGTATTAACCTTCGAAGTTCATCGGAGCCGGACCGGCCCAGTTCCTCAGGCACACTCATGTCCGAGCAGTAGCACTAAGGGAAACTAGAGCTTCGAGAAGTGTTTGACCCATGGTTCGATCGGCATCGTTGGAGACTTGAGGACTTTAGGAACCGAGTCCGGGAAGGTGAGGCTTGGAAGGTGGAGCGCCCGTTTGCCGAACTGCATCCGTTGACGACTGTGAATTGTGACTTGTGCGTTTGCCCTCGTATCTCCATCCCGGGGCAAACTGCAAGGAAACTTAAAGAACTTAGTCCTCCCCCCCTTTTCTATGTTTCCACCACCACACAAGCAGTACACTTGTAGAAGAAGCGGAAAACTCCTCTACATCCAGCTTCGAAACGACTATTCGTGCTGTTACTGCCTACTGCCGACCGGGGGTTTGAAGTCCCCATGCTGTAGAGGTTCAGCTTCGGCAAAGCTGCTACATTCGCCGAGCATTCCCGGCCGACGCTCTGGATAAGTTGTGAATGAGCGATCAGGCATCCCAATTAAGTTTAGATATCTATCGCATCCAGAATACGAGACAGATGAACAGATAAGTAAAGGGTATTCTCGCTCAGGCCTCCGACGCAATGTGACCTGTCCGTATCTTCACGAGCTCCCTAATGCGGATCGAGTCAACCATGTGGCAGTTCGCTCAAGACTGACAGGGCGCAGAAAAACAAAAGAATTCTAGACCGTCAGCCCCAAGATAGCCCTTGCATTGCATTATCATCGATCCAGTCACCTGGAAAGCCATGTGATAATTATCGAAAATTGATCGAGTCCTGGAATACCGGTAGTGTCATGGGTAGACCAAAGCGTCCTTGCTGCGAGCGGACTGACAGAGATCAACCCGGACTCAATTCTAGATCGATTTTTGAAATTGAGATCGTTAACCAGTGGCCATCTTTCCGCTTCATCGAGCGGGTCCCCCGGCCTCTAGCGGACGTCAGCAGAGAGAGAGAGAGAGATGACATCAGACTCCAGAGTAAAGTTGACGTATGACAAGGACTTGTTTCATCCACCCCGAATTTAATCAAGCCTTGCGGGGGAGCTCTGGACTGTGTGAGTTGAGACGGTCGCTTGGGCGCCATAACCCGCAAATAGCCAGTAGCAAGGGTCGCAATGGAAATTATGATATGTCAGACATCCTTGGTTTGGGTGGAAGCGTGACGGAAAGGCTCGGCTACTGATACAGGCCTTTTTTCGCCAAGTGGAGCCGCGACTGGGTGAAGAAGATCATGGTTGACATCAGGGGCGAGAGTCGAATTGCCTCGGTCGCGTCCGACATCGGCACTCCTCAATGTTGCGAGCCCTAACTTATGCTGCCGATGAGCTTCAGGTGAATCATGGGTTGGCATTGATTTCCAAGTGATCGCAAGTTTCCCTTTCCAACATGATGCATATGCATTATCAAAGTGTCCATCCTGTACAACACATAAACATCAGTCCATTGCCCCCGCCTGGGAGGACGGAAAATGAAGTCATATCCGGCGAGAACACTCAAGACGAACATGTTTTCGGCAGCACGACAAATGGCTGATTTCCAGCACGCAAGATGTCCCTGATCAAGGGCTACAAGTATAAGGGTAGTCTGATCGCAGAGTCGAATTTGCCGCAACGCGAAGCACCTGACTGCTTGCCCACTGCGCCTGCAGTGTAAACCATCATCCATCGTCATCCAACACCTCGATGATACCGTCATGCACGCCTCTGGCATTCCAGACAGCCAAAAGGAACCGCCCAGCACGGCGGCAGACGAAGATCTTCCAGGTTCAAGGCTTCATTTCCCTGGTCATCACAGAGTTTCTTCAGCTTTCAGTTTCACCCTTGCATGCTGCACATGCCAACACCTGCCAACCATGGATACTCTTCCCGACCAGTTGATGGCGTCTGGTATAGACACCAGCACACACGCTGCAAAATAAGATTATGATCACTCTTCACCAAGCCACATTCAATCAGTGACGTCAAGAGTCAAACATGGGGATGGGAAGCTATATAGATGACACTGCGAGTTGGCTACTGTCTGGATTCTCAACCAAATTTAGTCGCATCAAACTCCCACCATTCTCAACGAAATGGCACCACCTGAATACATCACACATCCCGAGTACTCCTCCAAGGTTCTCCTCCGTGGAAACCCCGAGTACGAACGATGCCGCGAAATGAACCCGAGTGCGGCTGGGCCTCGCTATCCCCGTGAAATCCATCTTGTGGAAAGCGCGGCGGATGTGAAGAAAGCCCTCAATCGAGCCACCGAGCTCAGGACAACCGTGAGCGTGCGGTCATCGGGCCACGCCGCCCAATCGCCCTATCTCGTGCAAGACGGCATCCTGATCGACACCACCAACCTCAACCGACGCGTGGATTATGACGAAGCCACCGCCCAGATATCCTTTGGGCCGTCCTGCCGCATCAGCGAGGTGGCCGAGAAGCTGAGCGAAGTCGGCCGCTTCTTCCCCATCGGCCATGCCCCGACCGTTGCCATGGCCGGCTACCTTCTTGGGGGCGGACAAGGGTTCTTCATGCGGAGTCTCGGTGCCGCCGCGACCTTCGTCACCCGGATGGAGATTGTCCTGCCCACCGGCGATATTGTTCTTGCAGACTATGAGCACTACTCCGACCTCTTCTGGGCCGCGCGTGGCAGCGGATTAGGCTTCTTTGGGGTTGTGACGCGGTTCTGGGGCAAGACCATCCCCGCCAAGACGCCCTGGCAACGAACCCTGGAATTCGAGATCAACCACGACAACTACGAGACGCTGCTGACCTGGGCCATCGAGGCCGGTCGGGCCACCCCCAAGGAGCACACGGACCTGAACATGGCCATTGCGTACGCGCAGGACGATGCGGACGCCACCGGCGATGAGGTCCCGCCCGGGGCCTGCTTGCACCTCACGTTGCTGCTGTACTGCTACGCTGACACAGAGGCTGAGGCGCAGACCATGCTTGGTGCCTACGACCAAGTCGACGAGGTGCAGGACTTCATGCTCGACAAACAGCCCATTCAGAAGTGCACCTTCGAGGAAGTCCTGGCCGCCGGAGAAGCCGGTCCGGGGCCGGGCACCCGCGTTCACAACAATAGTATCTTCAGCGATCCGGGTTGCTCGCTATCTCGGGTAAGTTGGCCTTCGGTCTTCTCATATTCTTCATCTTCTGCTCTCTCTCACGGGCTCAATCGGGGTATGCACTAACAAAAGTCAGTTGCTGGAAACCATGAAACCCGCCCTGCTAGATCTGCCCACCCGGCAATCCAACGTATACATCTACCACTGCGACCAGCGGCCCGACGAGAATAAAACGGTGATGAGCCTTCCCCAGGATCTGTACCTGACGACGGCGACTGTTTGGACGGACCCCAAGCGCGAGTCCGGTCTTCGCCAGCATATCCGGGAGCGGTATGAGCGGGCTCTGTCGGTTGCTGTGGGAATGTTTGTCGTGGACTTGGATCCCAACTGGGAGGACGTTAACGTAAGTTTGTCTCTCCCCGAGTGATATACGATACTTACACAAGTACAGGCACGGGTAATCACCGACACGGCTTTGCAGAAGTTCCTGCTCGTCCGGGAGAAATATGACCCCCAGGGATTGTTCCCCGCCTATAAAGCGTTTGTGCGGGCGGATCGCAATGTCCGAGGTCTCAAAGGTGCCTTCAACGGGGCTGCCAATGAGGCTGCCAATGAGGCTGCCGAAAGGGCTGTAACCGGGGCTGCGAGGGACGCTCTGGATGCGGCTGCCAACGCGGCTGCCACGGGGCCCGCCAATGCAGCTGTCAATGTATCGGCCTGAGAGTCCTAGGGTGTAGTGTCGAGGCGAGAACCTGTTTGAAATTCGTATAAGGGGTTAGCAAGCTAATCAGAATGTAACAACCATGGCATTTCCTGTTTAATTGTAATATTGATCTGGCACGACTGGTCTTTTCCAGCCGATCATACTCGTTAATCTCACTGCACGTTGTACCCTAGGCATTCCATTTATCAAAAGAGCAAAACGATGTTCGATTCCTGCGCGCAGTATATACAATCCCGCGACCTTCTCTATGCATGCAGTCTATCTCTATCACGCTGGCGAAATGCATGAATTATCTGAAAGTGCCGGTAATGTGCCTCTCTGTGTCGCTCACGCTTGAGCCTTCTGGTGGAGAAGACCGAGATGTTCCTTGATACTCTTCAATTCTTTCACCCGGCTATCCTCATTCTCCTTCAGAAGCCGCAAGTGTTCCTGCTTGAGCTCCTTGAAGTCGTCCTCAAGCTTGTGGTGCCAGGGATAGAGGACGAAGACCTGGAAACAGAGGGCCGAGCTGGCGATGACGAAGTTCGTTAGGGAGAATCCGCGGGTGATGAGCATGGTGGCTGCCACGAGGGGTTAGTGAGGTTCCGCATTGCTGGAGTCAGTGGTTGGACCATACCTTCAGTATCTAGAACAGCAGAGAAGAGAGAAGAGTGAGTGTGTTTCTTCTATGGTTTATCGGTCGAAGAAGCGCGATTTGAATGGCAGGGTAAATGAACGGATGGAAGTGGTTGAGGGGAGATTGGGTGGTAGGGAAGAAAGGGAGGCAAGAGTCAGACAGAATGAACCACTGCCCAAGTATTTGCAAGGCGGATTTTCCACCCAAGTTATATTCTCAAGACCCGGCCCCTATTGCATAATCGGGCATCTTGCTGCAGTGCTGCTAATTCCCAGGCAGAGGCAGGGCTGTCGGATCCGAGAACGGGGATATTTCGGCGACCGTGAGTGGTGGATTTGCGGGGCACCACACCAGCACCGGCAACATCCGACCAGCCGAAACAATCCGATTGACACCCCGGTTTGAGAAGCCCTTATCAGATCCAGGATCCAGGGTGTGTACTTCTACTCATAGCCCTGAGCTGTATGTCTGAGGACTAATGAGCTTTGGTGTCCTGTCAACTTATTCATAAAGACTCAACGTCCGGAGGAGCCTCCGGCGACCCTTTCGTCTAGCTTCTTCCACATGATAACATTCAGCCCAAGATGCGAAGCCCAGATATCTCAACTTCAAGGCTATTGAACTGGGTCGTTGCCCTTCAGTTAATCCCCTAGCACAAGGGAAGTTCTCAAGCTATACTCGAAGCAACTCATTCAGCTCAATTTGTGACTGGCCTCCAGAACTCCGAGGATAAAGTACCACACTTCTTGGGCAAAATGTCTCCCAGGGCCAGGTAGAGTGTAGTTCTTATGCAATGACAACTATAACAGTTGAATCCGATGCCCACTTGGCGGCTGACTTGGTCTACGATAGCAATAGTATACGTACGTTATACTCTCACTCCTCACTTATCTTATCAGCTACGTATACTGTATCCGAAACCGTAATCGATAGGAACCGTTCCGAAGGAGATTCCGGACCCCAGGCGGGGAACGCCCAACCTCCCTCCCTATCCCCTAATCTACGTGGAACAAGAAGCATCGCACAAGCTTTTCCAAGTAACTTCAACGCCAGCGTCATATATTCGTTATCTAGGAAAAATACACCTATGCGATGAGCGCTACCCCACGCGAGCGCCCTCGTATCGACCACGCGCATAGAATCCCCAATTGAGCCCGGTCAGGATGGCAACAACCCCAAGCACCGGTGCAGTATAATCTAGAGATCAACGTACGTCAGCAACAAGATGATTAGTTTAGTAACGAGAACCGGAGGAAATCTTACTCATATTGCCACCCGTAAGCGGAAAGGAAGTCGGGAAACAGAGGAAGATCATGACGACGATGGTATAGACCACAGCGACAATGTTGCAGAAGTAACCCAGTCCCGACGAAAGGCCAAAGTGGCGCCCGATGGGGAGATAGACCTCCGACCGACGCTGCCAGATGAGCAATGCGATCGGAAGCGTGACGGAAATCTGCGACAGAATACTGGCGGTTCCGACAAACGCATTGAAGACTAGAGAAGGTGAGTCAGTCTCGTACTCACGACCCAGCGTGTGGGCCACGACGATGTTTGGGGGATCCTACCGGAAGAAGACGCTAGGTAGAGGAATCCAATCACGAAGCAGGCGACGAAATTGAGGCCTAGAGCGTACAGAGGAACGCCTTGTCGGTGGTCTAGCTGCTTTAAATACCCCGAGAGGAAGATTCCGTTGTCACACGCAAACGACCACGTCAACCGCGAGGCAGTGGAGTGGATTGCGCATGCAGACACAAACATGATCGAAATCATCACGACGAGGAAGACCGTCGCACAGGTGGTCGATCGGCTGGCCTGTGCCCATAGATCGTAGATTGGGAACCTGTCAAGATTGCGCTTAGCATCAAGACACTGGATTTAAGAATCCCGCCTTACCCTGAGGCTGCATCAACCAGACTGTCAAAGTCGGTTACGCTGTAGCACATGGCCAAGGCAAACGCAAAGGCAGCCACAGAACCAATGCTCACGGTCGACAAGATGGCACGCGGGATGGTCCGTGCTGGGTTAAGACACTCGTCTGCCATGTGCATCGTAGCGTCCAGACCGATGAGCATGTAGGACGGGGTCGACAGACCGGTTAGGAATACAATCCCGTTAGACCAATATCCATTCGAGGAGTTGACAAAATGACCCCAGACGGTGGCTGAGTCTGCATGAACAGCTGAGCGTGCGGGACAGACAATTGTTGTGATAACAAATAGGGCCAGAGAGACGTAGACTGTGATCATCGTTAAGATGTTTCTTTCGAAAAGCAATGGATCAAATACTCACAGGCCCAGTCATAGACCCAAACCGTCTTGGACAGTAACCCGACATTGTATGCCATGGCAATGATATGCACCGCTTGGTACATTAGGAAGTAATGCCAGGATTGTGGAATAAAGGTGGGATGATAGGTGAGAGCCAGAGCCATAATACCCTCTGTGATCATCAATGACAGCGAGGCAGCGATGGCCACCCATGACCAGATACCGATTATCCCACACAAGTAGGACAACCACCGGCGATGCTGTGCTGGAGCCAACATGGAAGTGAAGTAATACTGGCCACCAGCCGATGGATACACGGCTGCCAGCTCGGCCAGGCTGAGCCCAGTGCAGGACATGGCAAAGCACACCACCAGAATACCGTACAGTAGGGTAACCGTGCCACCTCCTGCAATGGCTAGGGGTAGACTGCCTGCAATAGCAATCCAACTGTTGGAGGTGTTAAACCCCAAGGCCATGATGCTGATCATGTTGAAATTGCGCTTGAGGCCCGGCCCTTCGTGAGACAGGGCGGCCACCGTGCCGACTTCCACGTCTTGCTGGTCATGTTCGGGCTCTACACTCTTCTCCATTTTTGTCGTTACTGAAAGGCATGGCTTTTGGCGGGGCGATAATTCCTCCATCGCAGCACGTCGCAGAGTATGAGCGGATCTACTTCATGTCAGTGTGTTGAGGGGCCCAGTCCCGGGTTCATATAGCGAGATCGGTTCATTCCGAGTCTGGTGGCGTCGCGGTCGTGAACGATAACATTCTTGGGAGAGATAAAACTCGATTCGCCGTCACTTGTGGCGCTTATCAGGATGATCTTCGTATCTGATAAAGCTCTCTCGGAACAACGTCGATTGATATCGGTATGAATCCGAGCCAATGCAAACGAGCCTACTGGGCAGAAATGCGATGAAGTATATAGCAAGGGATTGAGTCCAATATGACCATCAAAGGAATACCATCAAGTCATGGACCGCAAAGGAAATCATTGGCCGTGATTGGGGGGAGGGTGAAGAAATGGCAGACTGAATGCGTACCAAGCGTTTTGAGCAAGAGTGAAGGGTAGGGTAATGAGATATGCTACCAAGGTGGATGACGACTACTCCTTCCATCCGCGCCCAAGGTTAGCCCTTGTTGGAGCCAAACCCTGTGTGAAAACGGAGACTTGTGCTCCAAACCATTAGGATCGTTCATCAAAACAGGTCCCCAGAGGATAGGAAGATACGGACATTGTACTGTATAGGGTTTACTGCATGGACTGGCGGTGAGCGGGGAAGCATGCCACGTGACTGTCCGAAAAGGGAAGGCGAGACTATAAGTTCTTCCGCTCCGGTCCTTGCTTTCCAGCGACGCCGAGTCACGTGCTCTCTCCTCGTCCTCATCTTTCTCTACCGCCAACATCAACATCACGACGTATCGCACGCTTCCCGAATATCACCGCAGATATTCTCCCCGAGGTAATCTTAATACTCACTCCTGTTCCTTCTCCCTCGTTCTTTCACTACTTCTCAACGTTTCTGCCTCATCATGTGAGAGCCCATTCAGCCTACTCAGAGTACACCGAGGGCCCACCTCAATCTCGCTAAGCCACTGGCATCTTGATGGCGTGTTTCCGCAGTCCCCACCCCGGCGTCAAACAACGAAGGAGTGTGGTCTGTCTCAGAATTGGTGAAACAACCTAGACAGCCTTGAACCTTCCCGGCTGTTCAAGACCCCAAACCACTGGTTCATTCCCCTCAGTCGCTACCAGGCACAAGGTTTGCCCATCTCGCTTGGTGATGACAATCTCTTTTCCGACCTCGCCATCGCCAGTCCGGCATCATGCATCCCTCCCACATGCTTAAATAGATGCAACACCCCTCTGGCATCGGAGATCCATTCAGCAAACCTGTCTCTCCTTTCCTGAGTCGCTCCTTCGTTCCTGTCTGGACTTCATTGACTGAAGTCCCTTCCTTTCTTTTCACTTTCTATTCAAATTCAACACACTGCTGTGCGGTGCTTTTGCCAAGATGTCTCTTTCCAAGATTGCTACTCTTCTGCTGGGCTCGGTCTCGCTGGTCGCCGGTCATGGTTATGTCTCGAGCATCGAGGTGGACGGTACCACCTATGGAGGGTACTTGGTCGACACTTATTACTTCGAATCCGACCCGCCCGAGCTGATCGCCTGGTCCACCAATGCCACAGATGATGGCTATGTATCGCCCTCCGATTACGAGAGCGTCAACATCATCTGCCACAAGGGCTCTGCACCTGGCGCGTTGTCGGCCCCTGTCGCGCCCGGAGGCTGGGTGCAGATGACCTGGAACACCTGGCCGACCGACCATCACGGCCCTGTCATCACCTACCTGGCCAACTGCCACGGTTCTTGTGCTGATGTGGACAAGACCACCCTCGAATTCTTCAAGATCGATGCTGGCGGCCTAATTGATGACACGGACGTGCCGGGAACGTGGGCGACTGATGAGCTCATTGAAGATAGCTACAGTCGCAACATTACAATCCCCAGCGATATTGCCCCCGGGTACTATGTTCTGCGACACGAGATCATTGCCCTGCACAGCGCCGAGGACCTGGACGGGGCTCAGAATTACCCCCAGTGTATCAATCTGGAAGTCACGGGCAGCGAGACAGCGACCCCAAGTGGCACCTTGGGCACTGCGCTGTACAAGGAGACCGACCCCGGCATCTACGTGGACATCTGGAACACGTTGAGCACGTATACTATTCCTGGCCCCGCGCTGTACACAGCTGGCAGTACTGCGACCGCAGCCGCTGCTGCCGATACCACCGCCACTTCTGCTGGCACCACTGCCGTGGTCACCACCGCTGCCGCCGTCGTCAGTACCACCGTGGAGGCTGTTCCGACCGAGTCTTCAGCGCCTTCCGAGTCCAGTGTAACTACCTCGGTCTCTACTCAGCCCACCGCCGGCAGCGACATCACTTTCCGACCGGGCCAAGTCAAGGCAGGTGCTTCGGTCGACAACTCGGCTACTGACTCTGCTGGTGAATCTGCCACGACTGCCACGACTACCACGACTTCGGTGGCCACTGCGGCTTCAAGCTCGGATTCGTCGACCACATCCGGGGTTTTGAGTGGCGCCTGCAGCCAGGAGGGCTACTGGTACTGCAACGGGGGCACCGCGTTCCAGCGCTGTGTCAACGGGGAATGGGATGCGTCGCAGAGTGTGGCTGCGGGCACGGTCTGTACCGCGGGAATCTCGGAAACCTTCACCATTTCAGCCGCCGCCACGCGCCGGGATGCCATGCGTCGTCATCTGGCGCGTCCCAAGCGTCACTGAGCGGGTGACAAGGTGATAGGATCGGAAGGAAACTACCATCTTGGCCTTGTATATATAAGTTACCACATAGCTTGTAGCATAGTCATGCGTTGACCGCAGATTTGGTTGTGCTTTAAGTTGAATTGAGTGAGTGTCTTGCGTGTGTTGAGAGCCCTAACCCGCCGGGGGAATCCTAAACCTGACGGCCCACTTTTGACTGCAATAGTACTGCGATAGTGCACTGTCTCACAGACTTAGCGAGATTGACAGCTCACATTTGGTATGACTAACCCCGTTGGACACACACATTCCATGATTTCCATCCCGTCCTGTCCGGATCTGCATCTGATGACAGGCTGACGCAGGAGCCTAAGCGATCCTGCTTGCCGATCGCTCTGCCCGATCCCTGCAGTTGGCTGCTCACCATAGGCTCATCGCAATGACGACACTTGGGCCACACAATCGAACAACCGAACAAGGGATAGACTGGGATCGACTGGTGCAATCCTGCGATCTGCACCTGTCAATTTCCGTCAGATGGTCGGTTGGCGTTCCCTTGATCCTCTCCACATATTTCTAAGGGGGGGGCGTCGCACCCGGTGCTTCTTCCCGCGCACCCTCAATCACATCATTTTCAGTATCATTGACGGACAGGCCCTCCATCATGACTACCACTGAACAGCAACAACCGCAACCACCGCAACACCAGCTCCCCCCTCCCACTGGGAGCACTGGTTATGGGCACGCACAAGACCCAGAGCCCCACGGCCACCAACCGCCCCACGCTCCTTTGTCTCCTCTGGGGCCGGAGATTCCCCCTCCTGAGCACGAAGACTTTGTGACCGACACCGAGGTAGGTTTTGTGCCCGCGGCCCGGCCCGGAGTGTCCACCGGGGGATCCTTGGTTCATACGTTCACACTGCCTTTGCCCCTCCCCGCAGTCGATGCGCAGCGACTACGATGAAGACTTCATGGATACCTATTCGCTTTCCTCCAGTATCCTAGACTATCAGTATGAGAATGGGCGGCGATACGCAAGCTTTCGCTCGGTAGGTTGACCTCTTGCTGCAAGTGTCCCGGGGTCTGACGAGGGTATGCGACCGTAGGGAAATTACATGTAATTTTCAACCCCTTCGGGATGCGTGGGACGTGATTAACAAGGCCAGGATGCCGAATGATGAAGAGGAACAAGAAAGGCTGGACTTGGTGACTATGTCCCTTCGTTGTTGTCTCTCTGATAGATACTGACACCGCCAGACACATCACATGTGAGCGAGCTTCCTTCGCCTTTTCCGCTTGCCCAACCCTCTAAGTAGCAGCATGAGCTGACCACCATTTGCCAGCTACCTAATGCTGATGGGGGGCGAGCTGTTCAACGCCCCCATCAAGAACCCTCAGAAAGTGCTCGACCTGGGCACGGGGACTGGCAACTGGGCCATCGATTTCGCCGAGTATGACTCTTCCCCTCATGGTATTGGCTCCGGCTATACTAAGTGTGTGCCAGCCAGTACCCCGGTGCCGTCGTAGTGGGCAATGACCTCAGCCCTATTCAACCCGCCTGGGTTCCCCCGAACGTGGACTTCTTCGTCGACGACTACGAGTCCGACTGGCTCGAGAAGATGAATGCCTACGACTTCATCCACTCCCGCAACCTAGCCGGGTACCTACCCTCCCTCTCTCCTTCTTCTCCCCAACCCAAACTCACCTCAAACCCGTCAACAGCTGCGTCGTCGACTGGCACCGCCTCATCCGACAAGCCTACGACCACCTCAAGCCGGGCGGGTACCTCGAACTTCAAGAGAGCGCCGTCTGGGCGTGGAGCGACGACGGCACGCTGAAGATGGACTCGCCCTTGATGGAGTACCTGATGTCGCTGAACGACGCGGCGCACATGATCGGCCGGGAGCTGAACATCTACATCGACCTGAAGCCGTGGCTGATCGCGCACGGGTTCGAGGATGTCCATGAGCAGACCTACATCCTACCTTTCTCGCCGTGGCCGCAGGATGCCCGGCTACGGGAGATTGGGCGCGTGCAGGCCGCCATGGTCGAGAAGGCCGTCGAGGCGTATGGACTGCGACTGTGTACGCAGGTGCTGGGCTGGAGTCAGGAACAGACAAAGCTGATGCAGAATTTGGTGCGGCAGCAGCTGAAGGATCGGTCGTTGCATTCGTATACCAAGATGTAAGTGCTGTGATCTGCCGTGGGGGTAGGGGCAGGGGTGGGGCATCGTGGCTAATGACCAGATAGTAAGGTTGCGTATGGCAGGAAACCTTTGATGTAGCTGGGCAGCCACTGGGCGTGAGTTTGGTTTTCTGGTCCGATGAACGGGATTGCAAGACCGGGTGACCGGGTTATCGATCCAGAGCTAAGCAGAAAGAACGGGATATCAATCAAGTTAGAATTCGATTCTATTTAAATAGGAAGTTACAGCGTAAGGCAGGCAGAGTGAACCTCAACTCAATCTACCCAGTCCGCCCCGTCCGCCACAAGCGAGAGCACAAGGGACACGTGCCCGCGCGGCCCAGCCAGGTCGACAGACAGGCGCCGTGGAAGTTTTGCCCGCAGCGCGCGCACCAGACGACGGGCATATTCGCCTCCTCCGGATCGTCGGACTGGAATTGACCGTAACAGATGGGACACTTATCGTCCGGCCCGATCGCTCGCTGGCTCGCGACGGGGGCAGCATCCGCCGGCGTGGGTCGTGGCAGCCGGCCCCGGTAGGGTAGGAAGTGCTCCCCACCCCAGGGCCAGTGATCCTGCCAGGCCGGATACTCGACCGGATCGGCCCAGAGCTTCAGCATGGTCTTCCCCGGGTGGGGGATCAGCATGCGCAGGATCTGCACGTTCTCGGCGATCGTGATACACAGCATCAGGTTTGACGGGCGACCTCTGCGACCTCTGCGATGTCGGGCTAGTTCCTGGTCACCGAGTCGCTCCAACCCGCGCAGCACCTCCGTGGAGACATCAGAGGCGGAGGCGGAGGTGGAGGGGGTGTGATAGGTGGCAAAGGAGGTGCCCACCGTGATGTTGCCAGTGGGGAACAGTTCGCGGAATTCGCACATGAGCGAATCCTCACGCTCCTCCCTGGTAACATGGGTCAGGAGCAGCTCCGTCAGGATGCCGGCGAGCGAGCGTTCCATCCGGTAGAAGATCGCCGGCCAGTCCTTGTTGTTATTGTTCACATGGAGCGCCGCGAGGTCGGAGATCTGCGTGCGCCTGAGCAGGTCGAGGATGGTGTGGCGCAGCGCCGGGTTCGACCAATCCGTGCGGAGAATATTCACCTCGTAGTCGTAGGTAAAGATCAGGTGCACGAACCAGTGACCGATGCGATCGAGGGCTTCGCCCAGGATGAGCGACAGCGCCTTGTAGTCCAGGGCGTCCGGGTGGTGGACGGGCAAATTCTGCTCGGGGCCGGGGAATATGCGGCGTTCAGCCATGTTGCGTGGTTGGCTTTGTCCAAAGGTTGATAAAAGTGGGCTGGGGGGGGGGGGGTTGTCTTAGGGCTATTCAACGAGAGAACAAACTGATGTATTTATATAAAGGCTTGGGGACAACGAGTGCATGGGTTCTGTCCTCACACACCGGCGCATTCCGCTTGCTTGCTCGTGCTCTTTCAGTCATGATGGAGCTCGTCGATTCGCATAACGATATTCTACAGTGGAGCGATTTGCTTTGTTCGTGGTGCGTTTGTCACAGGTTTGTGGTTCCAGTATAAAGTCACGCCTTATGGACAGCTCAATCGCGCATGTTCGACATCTCACCACCATCATCATGCTTGAAACAGAAAAACAGCTCCTCCAAACACAAGTCGACCGATCGGCCTCGTGCTTCGGCCCCAGTGGGAGGCCTGCTCGGTTGCTTGGCTGGAGAACGCGGTCCTGAGCACCGCAAGTCCACCGTGAGCAGTCGCGCAAAGGATAACTCAGACCGTCGGCATGAGCCTTCGTCTGCCTCCGCCTCCAAGGGGAAACAGCCAGTTCGCTCCGCAGAGGGCTATCAAGCAGAGAAACCGGAGAGGAGGGCCATCGAGGGCATCGACTTTACGCTCATACTCCGGCAAACCCGCCCAGACCCGTCCATTCGGGGTCCCAGGTCCAGGTCAAGAATGCCCCAACCTCTTCGGCCGTTGGGCGTACCCAGGCTGGCCACTCGAATGTCTATGCACAAAAGGCGTTAACCCCTGTTCCCTCAAATCTTCAGACTACAAGGTCAGGCGCTCATACCAGGCTTTCTGAGCCTCTGATGTCGGGTGCCCACCAAGCCCAGCATCAGCCTTCCTCCGTCACCAACGATAATTCAGAAGAAAGTGGATTCAGCGCCAACTCTAGCACCGTTGGTATCTGCGGGTCCAAAATCGCGGACCGGGGTCAGGCCTCCCCCGCAATCAACGAGAATGGGGATGAAAGCGGGTTCAGCGCTACTTTCAGCACTGCTGCTGTCTACGGGTCCAGCCTTGAAGCCCGGGTTCAGACTTCACCCGAATTCAGCGAGAGCGGGGATAAAGAAGGGCTCAGCGCTACTTTCAGCACCGCTGGTGTCTGGGGCTCTAAAGTTGCGGACCGGGACGAACTCCGCAGCGATGAGGAATCCGAAGAATCCGAGGAAGTCTTCATTTACTATGAGGCCTCCGATCAAGACTCCGATATAGGGAACTCCGACCCAAACTCCGTGTTTTCCAGTGATGTCCCCGCGGGCGTTCAAGTGGGCGCCAGCATCACCAACGCAGACCGACCTTAACAATACCACAATATCAACGCGGCCTTGAATGACCTTGAGATCAAGGACAACTGTTGTCTGATCTGTCGCAAACGCTTGCGCAAGGACGGATTCTCCTGTACCGGCGGATGTGGTGGCACACAGTAGCACAACGACTGTCTCCGACTGGCGCATCCCAAGAAGTGAAGAGAACCAAGAGCCCTGTCCGTCTCTAGTGTGCGGGCAGGACATCTTTCAGGTGAACTGCGTGGTCTGTGGCCAGCCCATCTAGGACTACGAGTTCTGCCGTCCCCAGCAATGCGGAGCGTGGCTTCACGAGGTTTGTGTGGAACGCTGGATTGATCAGTGCTGCGAGTCGGGGTCCGGAATGGCGATATGAAGAAGCCCGGAAGCCCTAACTGGTAGCTCCCGTCCGTACCTTTAGTTTCAATTCCAACGGGTTTCATGAATTGTCAGCTTTAGAAATCAAGAATGCCCCGCAATACCTTACTTGTTTCTTTTAGTCATGCTCACTAATTCAACTTCGGGATCCGCGTTATTTGAGGATCCAACGATAGTAGAGATAAATACCAAGCTTCTCACCTGCATGTTGCCATTCATCACATACCCTCAACATCAGAAAAATGACCGCCAGAAATCTCCGGCTTCTTCAGCGCCAGACTTCTCCATCCACCGGCCTCTCCTACCTCACCAACGCCACGATTCCGCAGCCCTCGATCCAGCAAATCTCCCTCTTCATTCCGGGCTTCGGCTGTCCAGCCACCGACTACATCCCCCTAATCACCCACCTCCACACCCACGGCCACACCCTCAGCAAGGGCCACGTCCATGTCGCCGTCGACCTCCCAGGCCACGGCCAGTCACCTACCTCCATCCTACCCACCCCTGAGACCGGAGGAATCAACGAGCTCCTCGTCCAGCTGCACGCAGAACTGCTCTCCACCCTCCTCCCATCCTCATCCCCCTGCCCTAAACCGTCTCCAATCCCCACCACCCTCTACGGGCACAGCATGGGCACCTTGACCGTCCTCGACCTTATTGCCCACACCCTCACCACCGCCCCCTCTCCCCTCAAAGTCACGGGGATAATCCTCCTCGACGGCCCCTACGCTGGCACGACACCCCCGACTCCCCTCGACCTGAATACCCTCGCCACGTACGCCGAACACTATCGCAGCACCATGCCCGACCGCATCGCCCGGTGTTTCGGCCTGCACACCAGCCCGGAAACTGCCGCCGCCGTGCAGGAAACATACTCCCGCCTGGACTTCGCGTACCTCATACGGATGTCGCATTACTACGGGACGGTCGATGGGCGATTCGCGCAGATCCTGTACGCCCTCAACCGCCACAACGACCAGTTGGTGGCAACGGGCGAAACCCCAGTGCGGTTGCTGGACGTGCAAAGCCAGGAGGGCGATTTCGAGAGCGAGCGGAAGAGCCTTCGCAAGGGCGACGTGACGGCGCACGCGGCGTTTGTCCGGAGGGAACTGGATGGGCGGTGGTTGCGGGAGTATGTCGTGGAGGGGACGGGGCATTTTCCCCACCTGGACGATGTGGTAGAGGTTGGGGGAGTGGTTAGAGGTTTCCTCGCTGAGGAGTTGGTTTAGTGTTTGAGACTTAGACTAGAGCAATGTGATTCTGGAAGGATCTTCAACATCATACGTTCTGTGGTGACGGAGACAGCTAGAGCGTATACTTGAATCCGCGCAACCCCCCGATCACCAACTCCTCCCGATCCACCTTCTTATTCAGATAATGCAGTCGCACCGACAGCACCCCCACCAGCACAACGGACAGGCACGTCAGGCCGATACTAACCAGGATCCCCGGGCGGTACTCTGGCGCATCCTGCGAGCGATACACGAGCGATCCCGTCATCCCGCCCGACGCTCCGAGTCCCACGAAGATGGCGCTGCAGATAGCGCGCTTCCACTGGCCGCGGACATTGTTCGCCTTGCAGATCCTCAAATCAGCTACTGTACTCAGCTATTATGCAAGGGCAATGACTAACCTGATACGCCATCGCGGCCGGAATATTTCCATTCGCGCCGATGGTGGTGAAGAAGCATCCCACCAGGCGGGGGGCCACGCCGGTCGTGAAGCCCTAGTCCATTCCATTAGCTCATCACTCGTCCCTACACCCACACAGAAAGAAAAGAAAGGGGGAATACCATCAAAGGCAACCCAATCAAACTCAGCACCGAATTAAACACAATGATTGGACCGCGAATGCGATACCGATCCCCAACCCACGAGGTAGCCATCATCACAATCCCGGCAGCCGCATACGGCGGCGCAAATAGACACAGCGACACGCCCGTCGAGAACCCCATCCCTTGCTGGTAGATGATCGGCAAGAAGTACGACAGAGCATACGCAGTGGTCGTACTGCAGAAGTAGATCAACCCGAAGCCCCAGATATTGATGTCGAGGCCCGCGGCCAGGTATTTGCGGAGGTTGAACGGCTCGAGGGCGGAGTCGGAGCGATCCGCATCAATGCGGCGGATCACAATCTCATACTCGCGGGGCGAGAGGAAGCTGTTGCGCTGGTTCAGCATGCGGTCCGGGAAGTCGATCAGCACGAAGTAGGCGATCACAGCCAGGACGCAGGTGATGAGGCCTTGGATGACGAAGATCCAGCGCCAGGCGGTTAGGCCTCCTAGGCCATTCTATCTCCTGTCAGTTGGGTCTATCCAGGCTAGACGGGGAATGGGGAAGGGCCGTTAACCATGAAAGTAATTCCATACGATAGAAGCCCCGTGAACGCTGACGCCACACATCCCAGCAGATAGAACAAGGCATATCGTTTCTGGATCTCAAACCGCGTGTACCACGTCGAGATCAGATATACCGCTCCGGGGAAGAAGCCCGCCTCCAGGGCGCCGATGACGATCCGGATGCCGACCAGCTGGGTCCAATCTTTGACAAACCCCGCCGCCAACTACACCTTTCTCAACATTCACCGGATCGATACTTGCAAGAAGGAGAAACATACCATCACAGCCCCCCACACAAAACACACCCCAGAGATATACGCCACCGGCCCCAATTTCCGGACCAACACCGGCCCCAGCGCCTGGAAGCAGATGTACGGCGGAAAGAACGCGACGGCGATGATGCTCTACCGCACCGCAGCAACCAAGCGAATTAGTCTTTCCCCTCCCCCAAATCGTCAGACAACAACAAGAGGGGACTAAACGTACATATCTCATCCCAATCAGATGCAACTGCTTGGTCATGCCCGCCACCGACGCGGTCCCCAGATTCCCGCGATCGATCAGGGAGACCGTATGCAGTAACCCTAACATGACAATCAAGCGGCGGTCCACGCGATGGAGGATCCGACGTTCTTCCTTCGTGGCCTTCCCCGGCCGGGAAGAGACGGTGCCGTCTTCCTCGGGAGTCTGGACATGGTCGACGGGGGCTTTAGTGCTGGAGGTGAGGGACATTGTGGGGCTGGGAAAGCATCGCACGTTCGATAAGCGATGGCCCTACAACAAAGCTGGATGGGCAACATAGATATAAAGGGGTGTTCCCGGGGTACGCCATCTGCTGCTTCGATGGCGAGTTCGTGCATTGGTCTTCGTCTAGAGTTCAAGGCAACCTGCAGACCCAATGAAAGTCATTGTACTCGAGGAGGGACCGAGATGGCGAACGCTGGGGGCTTGGTCGGTTTCTGTTGATGTCGAGTTGAGGCCACCGGCTTTCGGCGTTAAGGTCCGGTGGCGGTCTTGGAGGGTGTGCTATCGCCGATGAGGCCGGGATACGTTAAGCGAGAGCATGCACAATGTTGTAGTAGGGTTAATGTGTGGTTTGGATTAAGGTAAGTGGTCTGAGTCTTTAAGTCATCAAGTAATCGGCTATCCAAGTTTGCGTGCTGGGTGAGAGCTATGGCCAATTTATCTCGACCAGGATAGTACAGCTGTCCGTCGGGCATTCCTGTGTTGTACGGTGCTAACTCTCTAACAATCACGTTGCTTGTTAAATCTAGGTACTGGTATTCGTTCCAATAGGTCGCAACGGGGAGACACAAGAGGTCCCTCTGAAGACAGGCTTAGGAAAGAGGCAATATAGAGCCGAGATAGTACTGTACAACCGGCGGACTTACACCTCTGCTCAGGGGCAGGGAACGGGGCGCGCCTGTGAATCTGGATGTTGAACTCTACATCCGTGATGACAATTAACTGTTATACTCTCCATAGGCTGCGTATACTGGAGGTCCAAATGAGGATATATGACATATATTGGTATATATCTATTATCAAAGGAAGTCTCTTGTGCGCCTTCCAAATCATGCTCATCATACGTATATATACATCACCCAGAAATCAGCGCATCAATACAAAAAGGGGTATGTGGGAACTTTTGCGTCGAAGAAGAGAAGGAAAGGCAGGGTTGAAAAGGTCAATGAACAAGTTCGCCGATGTGCTTTATCAGCTCCTGGAATCGAACCGGTTTGGACAAGAACAGGTCCACCCCGTGAGTGAGAGCTTCGTGGCGGACGGTAGCACTGCCCAGTCCGGTCAAGGCAATGATCACAGCGGGCTTGGCTGTCGGCATACTCGTCGGGCTAAGTTCTTGCTGTGCTTTCTCGAAGAGACGGATCTGCCGTGTAGACTCGAGACCATCCATGACCGGCATGGAAATATCTATGGCGACGTTAGCACGCAGGTCAAATGCCCAATGAGAGAATGTACTTACCCATGAGAATGATCTGAATCAGTCCGGCATTAGCCTTGAATGCCTCCAGGGCTTCCAAGCCATTGGTTGCCGTGAAATACGAGAGTTTCGCTTTCTTCATGAAGGCAACCAGCAATTTCAGGTTCACCTCGTTGTCATCCACAAGGAGGACCGCAGGCGCTCGTTTCGTCGTCTCGATCGCTAAGATCTTGGTCACTGAATCCCCCTTGCTGGATGTGGTCGTCGAGACCATGGTGGTGGAGGTGGTCAGCGCAATGTCCATACCTGACGATGTCTTAGTCTGTACGTCTGTGGTTGAGGCGTGATAGGCCGCTGTGAACTTGGTTGGCTGCGTACCGGGTTCCTCCTCCAGCGTGGCATCCATTTTGGCCGTCACCGACTGCGTCTGCTGCTGCTCGCGCCGCTGGATGCAGGTCATTACCGCCGTCGCTATCTTGGTTGGTCCACACGGCTGGCTAACAAACTCATAGATGGCAGACGAGGGGCTACGGTAACCGGTAGTGGCCATCTTCTGAGCCTCCTGTGGAGTGGGACATACGACGACTACTGGTGGTCGGCCCTTGGGCTCCTGCCCGGTGGTCAAGGCCTTTCCCGCCATGCTGGCCCAGGTGCTATCGACGCGACCGAAATCCGAATGCTGCACCAGGTAGACGTCGTAGAGCGGCGCATCACTCGAGTCCCACGACACCATGCCGACTTGCATGCCAAGGTGGTCTTGACAAATGCTACTGAGCGAGGTCCGCAACAGAGCAAGCCCCTCATCCTTCGCCCTCTCGGGCCCATTGAACCCAAGCAAACCAATCGACTTCCCCCGAGAGAACTGCTGCGCTTTGTGAATTGTGCGCGCCTCTCGATCACTACTGGAAGCCGGGCTCGGGCTCCGCAGCAGATCGACACTCACTGTTACCTCCGTACCGATTCCCCGAGTGGAATTGATGTCGATTTTCCCTCCCATGGTTTGCACCGCCTGATACACGATGCTAAGTCCCAAGCCGCTTCCGGGAGACAGGGGATCCTCCTGGGAGAATGGCTTGAAGATGTTGCTTTTGAGATACTCTTTGTCGATGCCCTGTCCAGTATCCTTCACACTGAGGACGATCCCAGCCACCTCATGCTTGAAGGGATCACCAAACGGTATCCGCTTGGGCTTGGTACCAGCAGAATTAGCTGATTTCAGAGACACCACAATGTGACCGGACCGTGTGTACTTCAACGCATTGCCGAAAATGTTCATCAAGATCCGTCTCCACACACCTGCCTGTGTTTCGAAGAGCCACGTCATTCCTGGTTCCACATCATAAATGACCGTCAGGGGCTCGTTGGTCCGGGGTTTCTGTGGGGTATTGCCCATTAGATAGTCGCCATCCTTGTCTTGATCGGTCAGTACAGGACCCCCTTGGGCCAGGAATCCGGTAGTGGTGGCAAAGCAGTGACCCGCAAAAACCGTGTCCATTACCTCCTCGAGGACCGAGTCGAGTTGAACGTCGGTGATGAGGTTGACAATGCCTTCGCTCGGTCGCTTCTTCGCCAGTGCTCGCCCGGAGTTCGCCTGTCGTCGGGCCAAGGCCGGACCTGCCTTCAACCGCCCAGATCGGGACTTGCGTGTGAATTGGTTGATCTTAGCGAAATCCAGCATGTTGTTAATAATGTCACGTAACGAGCGACCGCAGTTCTCGATGGTTTGCACGAGAGCAACCTGCGGTGGCGTCATGCTGGAGTCGGTCAGCAGCTCGGTGCTGCCTAGGATACCGTGCAGGGGACTACGGAGTTCGTGTGAGATGCTGCTGACCAGCGTCCGATTTGCCTTGTTGGCGAGCTCGATATCCAGTCGATGAATCTCAGCCATGATGCTGTTGGTAAAGGCATACAGGTAGGCCAATTCGCCCCGGGAGCTAAACGCCCGCGGGGAAGTCGTCCACGCAAACAACCCTGAAAACCATCGATTGCGACGCGAGTCCCACACTGGGAATAGAAGTACACTCCGCGCTTGAGGAAAGACCTTGTGCAAGGCCTTGCACTCATCTCGGGAGGTGAGCTTTTGCCGCTTGCTTCGGAGACCATTCTTACCGCCCTGAGTGGCCTCACGACGCCGATAGACAATATCGCGAGTCAGTGTATTCCCTGTCGCCCCATCACTGCCTTCGCTGGACGAGACCCATCCATTTTCGTCGACATTGAAGATCCCACCCCGAGGATGATGGTGCAGAAGCGACCGCAGATAGCTTTCGTGGAAGGACCCAATGGGAAAGCTCGCATCCTCCGGGTCGGTCGAGAGACTGAGGACTTCACAAAGCGCCGACTCATCGGTCTCAGTGGACGAGTGGCCGACGGTGGAGTGTTCGCTGTCACTACCAGACTCGCCAGAGCCGGAAGTAGTACTGATCTCCAGATCGGAATGGCGGGCCTCTCCGCTCTGCATGAGCCCGCCATACGAGCGCACACTCGCGTCAAAAAACACCACTCCCTCCACATCCAAGGATTCGCGTAGGGCGTGCGCCGCACGATTCAAGATTTCTCGGGTACCACTGGATAATGTCTTACTTAAAGGGCTCTTCTTGCTTGAGGCATTATCGGCAGTGCGACTCCCTTCATAGCCTTTCTCACCGTTAGCCATGTTTTGCGAAGTCGCATTGAGGTACGACCCTGAAGGCGAAGACGCTTCCTTGGGGGCGCTCGGCTCTTTCGATTCACGCGAATCCCGGCGCTCACGGGGATCCCGAGGCGATGAAAACCCGGGGGCCCGTGTAGCATGGTTCCAGCGCAAATGCAGCTGTTTGTCCGAAAGGTCCCGGTTGTCGGTACTCTTGCTACGCAGCCCGAGAGGCAAGGACAGTCCCCCTTCCAGAAAGCGTCCCAAACCGGCGATCATGTTGGCCCCGCGCAGGTTCTGTTGCTGAGAACGTACCATCTCAAGATGGTTCATGATTGCAGCGGCTGTATCCTTCATGAAGCGCAATTCCAGGTCGTCGAGGCCCGGTCGCGTCTGCCCGTCACTGATGGCAAAAGCGCCGATCACGATGCCGCGACGGCTGAAGATGGGTACGCCAGCGTAGAAGCGGAGTGACGGGGCGTTCACGACGTACCCGCGGTTCTTGGTTCGATCGTCCTTAGTCATGTCAGGGATGACTAGAGCAAAGGGACCCCCTCCATTGCTCGGTGACTCTTCACCGGCGTTGAGTTGTTCATAATCGCAGACATAGTGACAGACGCCATCACACTTCTGAATGGCACTGCTCCCTAACCAGAGAGCATCGCCATCCTTGTGGACGCGATCATCCTGAAGACTGAGGGTGCGAGTGGCTTCGGCGAGGATGTACTGAGTATGACGGTCGAAGAGGGAGATCATGCAGCGGCGAGCGTTGAGTCGCAAGGCACCGAGTTGAGCGAGGGCGGTTAGAGTGGTGTCTTGGGAGGATTGAGGCAACTCTTCTTCGGCTTCCTCGGAGGAGGGGGTAGTGGGCGGGCGATGCAGCAGTCCTGGGCGTTGGGGCAATTGGCAGTACCTGTCGAAGGAGAGCATTGTGATCAGTCTGCCTGATCTCGATGAGATTGATAAGAGACTACCGGACGACTCACTTGTAAAACTCCCGTTCCTGCGCCATGCTGGCGGGATCATGGATCACCGCCGCCTCGGACTCGAAGGACTCGGACATGGGCGCGGATAATGGAATAGCGGGGGACAAAGTGAATCAACACTGACGAACCACGCTCACCAAGCTACATCCGGGGCTGGTGGGATACGAGCAGAGAAACGAAAGTGGGGGGGGGGGAAGGGGAAGAGGAAGGGGGAGATCCGAAAAGTAGAAAAAGAGAGCGAGGGGAGGGGGGTGAAGAGGCGAAGAAAGAGAGAAAAAGCCGGGAGGGGGAGGGAGGGAAGTAGTAAATAGCGGAGGCAAAAGAAGGGAAGAAGTGAGAGGAAGAAGTGAGAGCGGAAGGCGGCAAGACCAGGCACTATGAGTACAGGAGTACAGTACGTACCAGCAGCAGCCGGCATAATTCTCCGGGGGAGAAAAGAATGGGGAGGCGGTCACAAGTTCTTCTCAGTTCTCCAGTCCATCCTAACCCATCCGGTCGCATCTACTCGACACATGGCTCTACCGGTATTTTACTCCTCAATCTCCTCAAATCTACAACTTTTACCCCCCATCTCCCCCATCGGGCGAATTGTCATCTCAGCCTCGACGTCATCGTGCCAACAATCCCCACCAATTAATCTTGCCGACCAACAGGGCTATCCAAGATTGTTCAAGATTGCTGGAAGTGGGCTGCACGAGGTGCCAATCAATTCCTTCTTGGTCTCCGTCTCTAACAATCTTTCTCGGTCTTTCGCAGTCTAGGCCCGGCTGTCAACGCCATCGCTCCCTTTACGTCCGCACCAAGTGGGTCTGTCGAATTCCACGCGATGTTTCTGCTTGTCGCTTCCAGCCAATCTGCGTACGTCCTCGGTCTCTAGAACCTGCTCCCATTGCCAGGGACCCCCGAAATTCGAGAGAATTGTGGCCGCATGCGCGACCGTCGTCGTTTGCTCGAGAGCTGCCTCCACTCCTCCTTCCCCTCCAAGATCTCTCCGGCTCACGATCCTGCTTTAGTCCATACGATCAACATCCGAGACCTCCCAACCGACCGAGATAGACATTTTAGACTACGATACACGATGAGGACAAGCACCCGATATAGATGAATCGATGAAGAGTGGTGGAGAGGTGTCACGATCGACCCGCGGGTGATCGGTGCAGATGATTGCTTCTAGTCGTCTAGTTTCTCGTCGATCACCTGCCACCCCGATCTTGACTTTCTTATCAACTCCATCCTCGACGTTTAGTGCCTTGACCTCTCAACCTTATTGCGCGGGGAAATAGTCCAGAAGTTAAGAAGTAGGGTAAACTGGAATGCAGTAAGGGCAAGGTGTCCTTTCTAGGGGGACTCCCTTGGAAATGTTCTAAAATAAGGTTGACTGGGAATTCTGATGGTCTCGTTGCTGCGCATGAGTGCATGACATACAGTTAAGTCCATACAGCATAGTGGTACTGGGTGCTTACTGTACTGTACATGGCTACTGTCCTCCAAAGTAATGCCGAGGTATGTGTTCTTTTTCCTTCTCACACCACTCTGCTTCGGCTGCTTTCACCACAATAGCTTTTTTCCCCTTTCCCTCCCACACTACGGAGTAGCTCTCTCCACTTCTTGCTGCTGCTTTTTCCGAGCGTGGCAGACGGCGTCTCGGACCGCAACGGGCGCAAACAGGCCAGTCACCGCCCGCCGTGGCTGTTTAAACGCCAACTTGACAAGCCACTGACGGAGGTGACGTTCCCCGGGGCCACGCCTCGCCGACCCTTCTAGATTCTACCGCCTTGTGCCGACGATGTCCGCGACTTCCGCCATCCTGTTCACGCAAGGGAGCAGGAAGCGCACTCTAGGAAAGTCTCGAAAAGAAGTAAGGATGAGGTGTATCTGTGATCATAGTGGATCTATATTAGAGTCTTGTAACAGTCACAGAGAAAAGACCAGATTCTAGATCTCCCTGTCTTCCCCCCCCCCCGGCTCCTTCCTCCTCAGCCCCATCATAACTCACGCCATCACATATTCCACGTGGGGAGGATATCACGATGATGATCCGCCGCCTCTAGCCAGTTCATCTTGCTCCAGTGCGCCGGTCGCTCCAGCGCATCCACAAAATGTCTTACCGCCAGTACCATCTGGGCCGCCCAGCGCTGCGGACTGACCCTACCCACCCCGGTGGCCAGCGGAGGGATCAGGATCCGCTCCATGCGATCCGTCGCACGCCCCCGATTCCACCCTTCTAGCTGTCCCAGCAGACTCCAGATACATTCGTACACCACCTCGCGATCCCAGCTCACTCGGTCGGGCATGCGCATCGTCGGACAGAGGGCTACCCACCGACATCCCCACTCGTTGGGGGTCAAAGACTCGGGGAATGGCACCAGCGTGCATGTGCCGGGGGGCACAAAGCCGCGCCAGCGCTCGTAGAGGACCTGCTGCGCCGCTCGCGTCAGGGTCTCGTAGGGATGGTCGGGGAGGCAGAATTTGCGGGTAATGGCATCGTCAAAGGCCCCGTCGAGAAGACCGTAGGAGTTGGCGGGGGAGACGATCAGGTCGAACGGGGTGGTCGCAGGCACGTCGCGCAGCGATTGCCGCACAATGCGAAACTGGACCTTTGGCTCCGTCGCGTGGGCGGGCCACTGTCGCGCCAGCGCCTCCTCGAAGGCGGTGACGGACTCTTCCTCGCGGCAGAGGAGGAGGAACTCGGGAATATCTTGAAAAGACATGGTCGATGGGGTGTAGAGTTAGTGACTCAGGCCTCGAATGAGGTGGATGGCGCTCAGAACATGATTATATGCCTGCCGTGGCTTTGCATCTGTCAGCCTTGTTGTTTGTTGTACTGGTGGAGTCGCTGTGGGCGGAGTAAGCCAGCCTTGCTGCTCCACCACAAACAATGCAAACACCTCTACCAAGCAGTTTCACCACACCATGATCATCATAGTCGAATCAAATGTAGTTTCATAGAGAGTGCGGCTTATGGCTTAATGTGTAGATAAGCATGTCAGAGTCGAAAAGAGCAGTTGGGATAGTAGCCTGGCTACTAGAATGTGCCTCACTTCCAATCGGGACACATTGAAATGCGTCCGGCGGGAATCCATACTTTATATATAACTCGTTATCGCCCGGCATTGGAACCAAGATCGACACAACCTAATTCAGAGTACATATATTCTTGTGCTGAGGCTATAGGACATCAATCGTCTCTTTTCTTCCTGAGAAATAGCGATATTTACTAGTGAAAGATCGCTCTCTTCCCTCTGCATGCGACTGCCAATTTGGCGCCTCAGCTCGGAAGGGAGCGGAACGATTCCGGTCAATACCGAGGGCGGAACATTGCTTTTCCTGGCCCAGACCACCGAGCATGTGACAGCGCGTCATGCGGCCAGCCTACATCATCAACAACATCAAGCACAGTATAAACGCCTACCCTCTGTGATCACTGTGCAAGATGGGCTCGCATTCGACCGACTCGCCTGGTCTGTGCATCTAGTCCTGAAATCTTTCTTCTTCATTCTCTTCCAGTTCTCGTCTCTACCGCATCTTGCCAGACACCGACCAGCTGGAATGACTGGCTTGGGGAGTGCATCACGCGAATCGGCCGTCGAGATGACTCGCATTCTTCTGATTTTTGCCATCTTGTGCCTGATCCCAGCTCTCGACCGAGCTCATACTATTCACTACAGACCTTTGCCCGTTGGTCTCTTGACCTTGAACAGTATGAATCTGAGCGAGGCTTGGTACGTACTCCGCGAGATTGCGTTGACCCAGGTAGGTTGACTCTCTTGAGCCTATATACAATTCCAAAATGCGGTTCACTATACGATACTGAACACATTCACAGGGCCTCGAACCGGTAACATGCACACGATTCTCAACGAACGAAACACAGACCTGCTGCGATGCTCCCCTCTCCAGTCCGTTGCTCCGTCATCAGCCTCGTCCACAGCCTACTACCGCTCGCCCTCCTACAACAGCGAAGCGCTGCAGCCTGCCATTCCCATTGAAATGGCAAAGTTGGAGAAGTGGCCTGCAGTGACACCCAACATGCCGTTGCCTGCAGAGCACTGGGTGTCCCGCTCGCCGCTGCACTTGACGGTGCTGCTCTGAGTCCCGGAGCTGTAGTATTCCTGCTCGTCTGATCAGTACCACTCAAGAGGCCGGCGCGGGATGCTCTACTCACCGTTCCATAGTGGACAAAGTCATAAGGCCACATGATGTACATGTTCTGTGTGCGCGGTCAGCATTCGCATTCCTAAGGCCTGGACGAGTCGGAACTCACCGGGACACCGTCGCCAGCATTGTTACCCCGGTTCAATGTGCCATTTTGTGAAGTGCCAAACTCTGCAAAGGCGGAGTTGCCGATCGGGTACGCTGCCAGCGCATTGCTAATGACTGTCTTCTCCGGGAAGTTCTGCGTCAACGCAATGTACGACATGTACGTCAGGGACCCGCCCAAAGAGTGGCCGGTGGATTCTAAATCATAATCCGGGTACTTTTCCACCAAGGTCTTGACCTCGGAGATGACCGTGTCGTGAACTGAGGACCAGGGCGAGTAAATGCCATGCATGATCTGGGCGCCCGACGGGAAATTGATGCCGGAAAGGCTGGGTGTCACCAATGTGGTGTCAACGTCGTTGGCGATGTCAGTGGCTGTAAATATTAGCATCGCGGACTCCCTGGAAAACTTGACCATGTTCACCTACCAGTGGTTGAGCCTCGCATGGCAACCGTGATGCGCTTCTTCTCTGTGGAGTAGCCGATGAAGCCCTGGGAAGGGTTAGCCCTGTGCCATCGAACTTCATGGTGCGGTTCCTGCCTGGGTATCTGTGACCAGATCATTCAGCTGCTTCGTGATGGTCACATCAAATGCGGTGCCGATACAGCCAGTGTATGCGGCGGAGGCAAGCTGCGCAGCCCGGTGAAGCTCCGTCCATTCAGCGGTATCTGAAAGAAAGTCAGCGTGTCTATTGCACAGCAGCCGAGAGGACGAACTCACCGGCGGTAGCTCGCTTTGTGGGCACAGCGCAGGCCACAGGGATCATGGCCACTCCGGCCAGGACGACGGACTTCTTGAGATGCATGGTGACTGATGAAGTGATAACGAGTGACTGTAGGGACTGAAGAGGTTGAGCTTGCTGCGAAAGAAACGAAGAGACCTAGCGACATCTTTTATACCCCCATGTAGGCCATGGCTAGGCCGTGATTCTCTGTTGAATTCTCCGCCATCGAGATGAAACATGAACTCGATCGCTGCACCTCGGCTGGATGAATTGCGTCGACTCCACCGAGAAGACATGTCATCCACGGATGTGATATGGGCCTCGGAATGACTTAAGCTTTTTGAAGAGATTCATTCTCCCATTAGCACGAACTGTAATCCTCGCTGGACGACTAGTATCACACCCTGACTGGTGCCCTGGATCCGAGCACAATCTTGGTCGAGTCGATGACACAGGTTTGAGGTGCCCAGTGCCAGTGATGTCGCATCTAGAGTGAAGATTTTACCGATCATATTTTTCTGACCCTGTAAATAGAAGCCGTGCCAGTGATTCTCCGTGCTGCCGTACAAGCTGCAAGCCTGAAACCGGCCCGGGGAAAGCGATGGTTGTTTCAGGGGTGGAGCGCCGCTCTGCCATCTCAATTTTGAGTCAATCTACCCTCCTCGATTCGCAGCCCACATTGCAACGACGATGCGCCGGCTCTTTCTCGCCCATGGACCCCAAAAGTTGTAACAATTGGATCTGTCTTAGCGGCTGGCAAAACTTCGGACTCTTGGATCACGTTGTTGATGGCTGTCTTTCAGGCCTCTTCCGTTCGGACCGGCTTCGAGCATGCTGATCTCCGCCGACGATCGCCGTTCGTAATGTTGCAAGCTATCTCAACAGAAATGAATGTATAAGGCTGTCAAAGTCCTACTTTTAGGTCTCATATTAGCCCCATGGCCTTCGATCCGCACATTCGGAAAGTCTACTTCCACGCCTCAGCAGGAATTTCCTGCCTCCTTACCAGCTCCATGAAAGCAATCGGTGGTAAAGCATGTTTCATGTGAACCCGATTGCACCGTCACCGGGCTTGGATGCCTAGATAGGAACTGTTCGGCCCTAGAGAAGGACGCCGGTTCGATATCTTGCATCCTGCGCGGTAATTGCATCAGCTTGGCTCCGATCTATCACCTCTCCGCCCGTGCCAGAGCGTGGGCTTCGTCCCTCGCGTTGACGTACTCAGCAGAATGCTCTAGTCCAATCCAGCCGATGAATGGATGCTGTCGACTTTCGAAACAAGCCATCACTTCTCACCAAGATATGATCGTTGTGGAATGCTTGACGGGCCATCGCACGTTCGATACATGGTTGACTAACACCCATAGTCGTGTGATCATCTCTTTAGCCGCATCTCGATTATCAACAATGTAGCAGCAGTTAAAGTACTACCCTACAGCGATCGTGTTTCTGCGCCTAATTGCTTTGATTGACTATGTGCCGTTCCTTCAACCCGGGTCTCCGCTAGCGGGTTACTCTGAACATTGCTATTGAGACGATAAGCGTCAACCAGGAATTTCATGGCCAAGTAGAGAGAGAAACGGGTCAGTCGCTCAACATCATGCAGGAATTCACAATTCCCTTCCTTTCTCGCGCCTCCAGATAAATCCGACCAGTGGTCTTCTGGTCCATAGCAGTTCACCCTTCCACAATTATGTCGCGACCGGAAATAGTGACATCAGAACCCTCAAACAGCAGTCGCCAAGTCATCCGTGCCGCAGGATTTGCCTAGTACGCGATCAACTCTCCGCCACCAGGCAAAGAAGCATTAGCCGACCCGAGCCACGAGTTGGCCGAGGACGACTTATTGTAGTAGATATTATACCCCTGGCTGATGACATTATTGAAAGAGGGATCTGCGTCGGTGAAATTCTGCAGATAGACACTCTGAGTTAGAGTCCAGTTCGAAGTGGCATCGAGCGAGACGCCCAAGTACCCCTTGCCGCGACCAGACACAGTGGCCCCGGTCCAGCTGGAGTATTCGGTCAGGCTCCAAGCAACGAGACTGTTATTGTACGCGACGATGTCACCTGTCAGAGTCGACTCCGACACGGTCACGGCCACCTCAGCCGGCTGGATGTTGGAATTCTCTTCGTACCCGGCAAAATGGTCGAACGCCTGAGTCACCTGCGAGGTGTTGGCCAGAACCAGAACACCGGAAGTGGTGTTCAGGGTGGTGGCAACCAGTTCGGCCTCGGCGATGATATTGCCGAACCACAACGCGGGCATGTCGGCCCCAAGAGTGGTCAACCTGGAATTTGTGAAGCTGAGCGAAGCGCCACTGCTGCGCGACGAAGAGGAGAAGAGGATGGTACCGGCCAGCAAGCCCGCTGTGAGGTCGACATTAGCGAAGACCGATTTCTGCACTCCATCGGAGAACAGGCTCGGAGCGTTCTCGGCGTGTCCGATCACGTTGGTGCCATAGGTCTCCCCCAGCGTGTAGAAGATGGCGCTTCCGATGCCAGCTGTGTGGGCGATGGCGTCGGTGATGTACAGGTATCCGGCTGGACTGTCTCCGGAGAATGCAGAGCTGCGCTCGCCGCCCGAGAAGTGGCGGACGTTATGGGCCACTAAGGTGCCGTTTCCACCGGCGTATAAGCCATGCGACACCGGCCCGGAGCTGTAGAGGTCGGTGTCGTTGACATAAACGGTGGTGCCAGTGCCGTAAGCATAGATGTTGGCAGCACCATTATGGACAGTCACATTGGCGTGGTCGATGTACGCGGTCGACTGGTTGGCGATGTTGATTGCCGCGTTGACGCCGAAGAAACTGGCCTGGTTCAGCCATGTGCTGTAGCCATACTTGATCACATCGCTGTAGGAGAGGTTCACGACTGCACCGTCCGTGCCGACGAGAACGCTGGTATCATTGGCGTCGACCGTTATAGTCACATGCGCCAGCTCAGCATCCTCTTTGGAGTAGTAATATGGTCCGGTGATGTTGTAGATCAGGTACTGCGCGCCGCCGTTGTCGGTGGTGTAATCGGCTACTAGTGTGTTGTCTACAGCATCGGCCGTCACATCAGCGGAATCGCTGGGGTCCCAGATCGTGATAGAAGCAAAGATATGCGGTAGATACGACAGAAGAAGCAGTGTGAGAGACGCCATGGCTGGCCTCAATGTCGGGATTGTGATGAGGTAGTGGTGGGAGGCATTCGCAGGCAATTGAAGGTACCTTATGTACTGTCACTGCCTCCAATGACCTAGGCGTCAAGAGCAGAAGTCTTAGCACATTAGATGAGAAACAGTGGAGCCGTGGCAGTGATTTTCACCACTGAGCAATGCTCGGGAGAACCCTGGAGACTGCACCATCTGCCCGAAGAGTGGGCCAGCATACTGTATTGTACTATACGTACATCACCACGCACGCCTTCTCTCTCATCTTCAACCACACGAACCGAAAGCGGCAGTCTTCAGTATTGCATTCCGAACCAGCTGTCGTTGTTGCCAAGCACATCAACCTGCCCCAGACATGCCGAACTCCAATGTGGAGCCGAGGAAACAAGGTCGGTTGGCATATTCGACCATGCAAAATCTCCACCACCACCCTTAGAACGCGGGGTATGGGGTAGGGCTAGCAAGTCTTCATTCAGCACAGGCGCTGCCTGGCTTCGTTAGCGCTTCATCTAAATTCTCGGTCTGGAACCCAAGAGCTGACGCGTTCGATGTTAGCTCCTGCCATGGATGCCGGGACGTGGACAGCTTCAACGACCGCAACGAGCCTGCTAATCTGTCAAAAGAATGAACCCCATCAAGACTATTCGACCTCTGAGTGTGGACTAAGAGATCTAGCTGGGTAGAGTATACGACTCATCACTGGTGAAGATCGCTCCATCCGACATAGACGTTTCCTCCCCCGTTCCCCCTCTTCAATTGGTGGGGTTGGAGGTTTGAGTCCATCGAAGTTTGTACTCGGTGTCAACCCACACCATCCCGATCTGATCATCAAATACCACAACGGCAGGGCGATTTCATGCGATTTCTTGATCGGCACTTGGCCTTCGGTCATCTGGGCCACGTTTGCAGTTGGTTCCTGGCTAATAGAGTACAGGTGCCTGTGGGCCCGGCTATACCACCTGCACAGATTTTCAGTGAAGGAAAAGCAGGCAGAGGAGTGCAACAAAGACCAGCAGCGATTTCCCGACATCTGTGCTGTGACATCTATGTTCTCAGAGCTGAGAGGAATCCATTGTAGCTTTGAGGAGTGAGTGACATTTTGTACGCGATTAGGGCTGGTTCGGGGGGAAGGGCAAATGCGGCCTCAAGACGGCTCGGGCCATCCGCTGATAAAATCCCCCTGAAACACGGAATCAATCTCGATTACTCAATTCCACCCCATGGGACAATTAAGGTAGATACAGTTGCACTTGCCTGATTTCTGGGGGAAACAGGCTACGACTACAGAGTACAGACAGAACACGGATGCTTACGCCCGTGAGATGGGGGCCGAACTGAGATAGATGATTGGGCTCCTTGACCCGCGATCGACAGCTGATATGCGGGAGAACAAGCAATGCTCCACTCAGTCACAATCGCGTAATCCAATCCTTCGGCCAGTATCGATCGCCATAGGGCGATAAGTCAATGCAATGGAGCCAGATGTCAGCACTACTGACATTTTCCGCCCCAACGCACAGGTTACCCGGCTGGGCGTGCGACGACCACTGCGCCCCTTTTATCACCGAGGAATCTTCCTCTCCTTCCTCTCCACCTTCATATTTCCTCTAATCCCCCCCCTCTCTCGTCCTGCATTCACATCCAAGGTCAACTGTGATGTGACCATGCAACGAATATCTCTCCTCGTTCTCGCCGTCCTCGACGCGACGTACGCAGCCAGTCCCTATGTCATGAATTGGTCCTCCAAGGCCTACGGGCCCGATGGCCCATGGCAAGCAGTGATGGTGGAGGTTGGCAGCAATAAACAACCGGTGGCATTGTACCCTGGTGCCACTTACACCACCACCATCCTCACAGATTCCATCTGCACCAACAAGACCGTCTCCGCCACGTGTTATGCTTCACAAGCCGGAACGTATAACGAAACCGCATCGACCTCAGCCCACCTTCTAAGCAAGACTTCCTGGGAAACACTGTACTGGGCGGTGGAAGGCAAAGGCATTGAAGAAGATCTTGGGGATCAAATCTCGTTCGGCCCGACCGTCCCCAACGTCAGCATTCAGGCCATCGACCAGACCTACCAGACCTATCCGAATGGCAAGGCTTACCCAGTGCAAGTGGGAAACCTGGCCCTGGGAGCCCCGTGGTCGACCGCGACCGTCGACAATGTCACCCTGAACATGATCACCCCGTGGCTTTATAACTCCGGAGGGGACAATGCCATCCCTTCGTACTCGTACGGCATGCACATCGGATCCGTCAACCCAGCGATCCCAGCCTCCCTGGTCCTGGGCGGGTACGATCAGAGCCGTGTCATCGGCGACGTCAGTGCACAGTCGGTCACCAGCACAAGCGGCACATTGCAGATCTCCCTGAAAGACATTAGCCTCGGGTTAATCGGAAACAATACACCAGCCGGTTTCACGAGCCAGGAGGGCTTATTCCAGCAAAGTGAGGGAGAATCCGCGGCCGAAGTGGTCACGATCGACCCCACCAAGCCCTACATGTACCTCCCGGAGGCGACCTGCAATGCGATCACCGCATCGCTCCCGGTTGCCTTCAACCAAAGCCTGGGCCTGTATTTCTGGGACACCAGCAGCAGCAACTACGCCAATCTCACCTCCTCCGCGACTTACCTCTCCTTCACCTTCAGCCTCAATAACGCCAGCAGCCACAATATTACAATCAAAATTCCCCTCGCGCAGCTCGCCCTGACGCTGCAAGAACCACTGGTGGAACAGAACCAGACCTACTTCCCCTGCTTCCTCTCGACAGATACCCCCGTCCTGGGCCGGGCCTTCTTACAGTCCGCCTTCGTTGGCGTCAACTACCACGAAGGCGCCAACGCCGGCACCTGGTTCCTCGCGCAAGCGCCGGGTCCTTCCGTCTCGGACGCAGTTATCACGACCATCGCCGTTCCGGACAAGTCGATCGCCGGCACCAACGCCTCGTGGGAGGCCAGCTGGGCCGAATACTTCCATCTCGACACCACCACTACGTCTCGAAACTCCACGGCCGCCAGCGGAAGTGGTGGTCTCAGTGCTGGGGCGAAAGCGGGCATCGGCGTCGGAGTCGGGGTCGGGAGTGCGTTGGTCATCGCCGCGGCGGTGCTGTGGATGGTGCGGCGGAAACGGCGCCAACGCCAGAATGCAGGCGAGAAGCGAAAACCCGGGGAGGGAGGATTTGTGGAATTGCCTGCGCGCGTGACGGAAGGGCCGCCGAGGGAGTTGGACACGAAGAAACAGGTGCAGGCGCGCGAGTTGGCAGGGGCGGAGCCGCCGCGGTATGAGCTGGAGTAGGCGGCACTGGGTTGAGCTGGTCTATGGGACCATGATTGGTGTTATGTAATGATATGAAGACATCAAGAATGAGAGACGGTTGGATGACCAATTTGTTGCTGCATTACTGGTGGATTCAGGTTCTTGGTTCGTGAGAAAGACAGCAAAGCATGCGAATCTGTTTTTGAACGTCCAATTGACTCAAGACACTCATCTTTGAACCATCGCAGAGGTCAAGAGGGTGGTAAGAATTGTCTGACGGATGGCAAAGGCAGCGCTCTAGCCTCCATAATGACTTCGGCGGTGACCTTTTACTTCTTGGTCCCTGCTTCAACAGACAATGCACTGGAATACATGAAAAGATCCTATCTTTGTTGTTGAAGGGTCATCCTCCGCCATGTGATGAAGACTGTGGAGGTAAACCCCATACAGGCCATGTCCAACAAGAGAGGCCCTCGTCTCCCAGAGCTGTAGATATAGAAGCCACATTCAACCCTACCCATAACCCCCACATCTCATCATCATCATCATCATCATCATCATCATCATCATCATCATCATCATCATCATCATGATGCATCTCAACCCGTTAACCCCCCGAGCCTAACTCCTCGGCGAGCTGCAACAGCTGCTAGCCTCCAACCACATCTGCAGCGTCGTGCTCGACGCTTCCAGCCCGCGCACCAAGCGTAGTCGCACTCTCGTGATCCCGGAAAACACCATCCTCATTCTCTGCCCCATCATTGAACTTTACATGCAAGTCTGCTGGCTGCTGCAACGCTTCCCTCCGGGCGACGGCAACTCCGCGCGAAGTGGCACCGTCTGGAACTACGAGTTTCCGGTGCAGCAGCGGGGGGAGGAGGAGGAGGAGGAGGCCACCGATCCCGGGTGCATGTTTGCGATGGCGCCGTTTAATGTGCGCGGCCAGGAGGTGAAGGCTTTTGTACTCCGGGTGGGGACGAGGGTGCCATGAGGTGCAACACAGTCGAGGAGATGATCTAAGCTTTTTTTTTTTTTTTTCTAGCTTCGATGATACATATTCTTCAGTACTAAAATGTCTTTCCTATGCTTCTATTTACCTTTGCGTGACTTGTTACTGAAAACAGGATCGGTTACTTTGCGGGAGGCAAAAGAACAAAAAAAAAAAGACACTGTTTTGAATATGCACCGAATGGGGTTTGAACCCACGACCTTCGCATTACGAGTGCGACGCTCTACCACTGAGCCACCGGTGCTTATCTAATGAGCATTACTCGTTCTTACAAGTTATATATTGTAACATCTTTCTCCAATTGCCCCCTTCGATTCTGAAACCGAGTCCGTCCTCGCTGCTGCCGACTGGCTGGTTGTTGGACATTTTGTGCTCGAGAGAGGGCCGGATCGTGCCTTATATCCGTTTCTGGAGGGGAAGGAGGATGGGGACCGGGTATGCAGTTCAGGAAAGGTGAGGAGTGAGAGAAAAGATGGAAGAAGCGGGGTGAGGGTAGAAGAGGGGGGGTTGTTGCGTCAGAGTTACAGAGCAGAGCTGTTGAGTGAATCGGCTCGACATGTCAGGCTTGGATGTTGCCTGGTGGCAGAGAAGGTCTGTCTCTCCAAAATATGCTTATATTCACCAGACGATGTCATGCCATAAGGGCGAAGAATTATATGCAGACTCTATCTAGTACAGTCGCATTACAAAGGTTAGTACTATAGTGATCTATATGAATTCACTTCGAACCTGATAGACCTTGAATGCTATGTGTTCGTTGTAGATCCTTCTCTTTGTCATTAGATATAGTATCTGAAGCCCTATGAAAGGGCCTGCTCTTTGACCGAGCACCGAATTAGTACTATCACTAATCTCCTTCCTGATTAGGTACTGGGCAGGAAGAGGATGTGATCAGCTTGTATGCCGATAGCCTCTCTTGCATACTTGGACGAAACGTTTCTCAGTGTGAATATTAGAGCTGAAAGTCGTCGTAGACCCTTGTCCTTGCTGCCTAGGCCAAGTAGACGATCACCTCATGTCACAGTGATACACTGACCCTGTCCGGGCGGGGGGGGGGGCGGCAATGCGGAACCTCTCTGGTTGGAGGTCTTGTGCACGGTGCACTTTACAGGCCAATTCATCCTACCACCGTATTGAAATCTACATAGTGAAGCACTCAACATGAATGATAACCCTGCGTGCCTTATCCAGCTAGTAAGCTCATCTAGCCGTCTCAATTGGAGGATAAGCTTCCGTGAAAAACGATACTGCAAGTATGGCGAGGTTGTTCCCAGCGTTGTATGCTTTGCGGACAATAACCGTCAGCTGAAAAATCTAGCATGCAGGGCTTTCAAATGAGAAAAAAAAGTCATATAGTATATTCATTACGCAAGACTGGACAATATTGAGTAAGACAGTAATTCAACATCAGATCCCCGCTACCTGCGCAGCCATATGCGCCATCACAACCACCGAGTAAACCAGTCCAGCACCTGCTTTTCCGAATCCTCCAGACAAGCCCTCTCCAAGGGATCATCGGGATTTCCCCTAACCGCAAACCCGTGCCTTCCCGGCCTGTACACCTTGTGTTGAATCTCCGGCAGCTGTCGTCCCTTCTGCCTCTCCTTCTCATGTACCTCCTCCACCTGACCCTTCATGGCAACGCTGACCCCCTGATCCTCCAACCCCCATCCGACACTCGTCGGGACCGCCAGATCCTCGACATCCTCGGGCAACGCGACATGACTGGGATGCAGCGCGACCACCGCATCGACCAGGGGAACTGTCTTCCCGTCTTGCACCTCAATATGATTCTTTTTCAGCCCAGCCCGGAGCGCGTATTTGCCTCCCCAGCAGAAGCCAACCATGCCGATCTTTCGACCGGCCGGGGTCTCCCGTCGCAAGTTGGCCAGGAAGTCAAAGCACACTTTTTGGGTATGTGCCTCGCGGTGTCGCCTCCACCACAGTAGAAAAGCTGGCGCAGCTGCTAGAATGCCCGTATACTTGGCCAGGGTGGACTGCTTGCTGGCGTCGACGGGGAGTAATACGTCTGCTGTCTTGAGAGGGACGGGATCGCCTTCAAAGAAGTCGGGGAGGTAGACGAGGTAATCGCCGGACTTGGCGTACGCGTCGGCAATGAGACGGTTGTTGGGGAGGGGGAGGCCAAAGATATCAGAGTAGACGACAATGATGGCGCGAGGGTTGGTTTGGTTGCCGGTCACGTAGACGTTGAGGCCGTGGAGCGGTTCTTCGCTGCCCACGGGTTGGCCGGCGTGGATGGTGCCTTTGATGCATTCGCAGGAGGGGGCGTCCATTGTGATATGTGTCTAGATGACTGAAAAAGAGACACTGTGAGTGTAGTGCGAGGAAGACTAGAGTGTGATTGTGCGATTGTGCGATTGTGCGATTGTGCGATTGTGCGATTGTGCGAATAGAGTGAGAGGATGAGGATGAGTATATTTATATAGAAGCTGACATCGGGTGGATCTCGCGTGGTTTTCGTCCCGTTCTCGGGGTGGAGGGGGGACACCCAACTGGGTTAGACTGCATCTTATCTGGATAAGCCCGTCCCTCATCCGTCTTCCGACAGCAACAACCACCACCACCACCACAACATGCAACTGCACCATGTCGCCCACTGCTCTACCCCCCGAGTCGCTCTCCGAAATTCGCGCGAATGCATCGACTACCCCTGCTAAGCCGCGCAGCTGTCTGGTCTGTCGCCAGCGCAAGGTGCGATGCGACAAACAGTCACCGTGCTCTAACTGCCGTCGCGGTAAGATCGCCTGCATCTCGCCCTCCACCACCGACCATTCCCCGAGATGGGCCCGCCGCTTGAAAGAACCTTCAACAACCAACCCGATCGCTGCGACTGTCACGAGCGACAATAGCATGGGAGTAACCCGACTGATGGATAGGGTGAACACGCTGGAGAGCCTGGTTCAAGAACTGAAGAGCCAGTTGGGACGCCCGCTGTCCCCCGAGCTCTCTGATAAGGCCAGCATGACTGGCAGCCACTCACCCGGCAGCTCAACGCGAGAGGACCATGCGAGGGAATCCTCTTCCAAGGCGGGCACCAATAGCGTTCACATCCAGCTTGGACGGCTGGTCCTGCAGGATGAGAGTCACAGCCGCTATGTGAGCAGCAGCTTCTGGTCCCGTGTTGACGACGAGGTGCGTTAGTGTCGGTGCTGCAGATTAACACGAGGCTTCCTCTGACAGACATAAAGCTTAATGGGTTAAGGATGGCCACCGACACCTTATTAGCCGACGACTCCGACAGCGCAGACCACCAATCCTCCGGCCAGCCACAGTCCGTCGCCGCGTTAGAACGGACGGCAGCAGAACGCCATGCATTCATATTCGGACTGGATCTGGATTCCGCCAATCCAGACCTTCGCGAGCTTCATCCCCTGCCGTCACAGGTTCCTTTTCTGCTGGAGACCTTTGCGGAGAATGTCAACTACTTCTTAGGGATTGTGCACATGCCCACCATCTCGAATGTGGTCCGCGAGTGGCGTAGGAGTGGCATGAAATCTCTCTCACCCTCCAATGAGGCCCTGCTCTTTTCAATTTACTATGCCACAATAGCCTCGATGGAAGATGAGGATGTAGGATCTTTCCCCCCGGTGCTGCCTCATGTCCGATGCTGACCAAAGCAGGTGATGACCAACTTTGGCGCCTCCAAGTACGAACTGAATCTGAAATATCGTCGAGGGCTGGAGCAGGCTCTGGCTAAATCAGATTTTCTGAATGCTCCAGACATTGTTCTGGTGCAAGCATTCACCATCTTTCTCTACCTCTCCCGTCGATACGACAGCCCTAGGTACATATGGATGATGACCGGGTTTGTGATTCGAATGGCTCAATACTTGGGTTTGCATCGCGACGGTGCTCATTTTGATCGCTTCACACCGTACGAAGTGGAGCTGCGCCGCAGAGCCTGGTGGGGTGTATGTCTATTGGATATACGAGCCTCCGAGGATCAGGGGACAGATTTAAGCATCGCGCAAGGAAGCTTCGACACAAAACTCCCCCTTAACATCAACGACGGTGACATCAGCCCTAACATCAAAGTAACCCCGTCCGACCGTCAGGGCTTAACAGACATGTCCGTTCCCCGACTTTCCGCACATATGACCAACATCATGCGAGACATGATGAGCCGTGGGATTGCGGACGGGGTCGAGGGCATGCAGGAGCAAAGCCGCTCAGTGGATGAACTCTACCGCAAACTCGACGAAGAGTACCTGCAACACACGGCCGGGTCCACCAGTATTGTTTCCTGGGTCGCCGTCAACCTAGTTCGCATGGTGATGGCCAAGATGACGCTGATTGTCTTTCTCCCGGTGTTGTTCTCTTCTCCCAGCGAAGAGCTGACGGAAGAGATCAGAACTAAGCTCCTGTGTGCGGCCATCGAGGTGGCTGAGTACAATCACGCGCTCAACGCAGAAAATTCCGGTCGCCATTTGCGATGGTTGTACCAAACGTGCACGCACTGGCATGCAATCGTGTACCTGTTGATTGAGATTTCACGTCGTCCGTGGTCGCCGTTCGTCGAGCGGGCGTGGGTCGCCTTGCACAGCAGCTGGTTGATCCCTGCGCCGTCGCCGACCGCCGGGAGACGGGGCATTTGGGTTCCTCTCCGGAAGCTGATGGAAAAGGCGCGACGACACCGTGATACTGAGCTCAGCCGACTGCGAAGTGACCACGAGGCAGTTACCATACTTGACCTTGAGGCTCAGCATGCGCCTATGCCATCTAGCCCTGGACTCTTGGGCGGAGGACCCGTCGACGAGGCTTACCGTCAACGATGGCGCCAGCTGGTTATTACACCAGTGACGAACAAATTGACGCCTGCGCTGGCTACTGTTGATGAGGCTATGCCAGCGACTGATGCCACTATTGCTGCCGATAGCGCCAGCTCAGGATTGAATGTGTCGGATACGCAGGCTGTCGCTCCTGTGGGGCCTACATTTGACTATCTGTACAGCGTGTCCGCTGCGGTTCCGGATCCTGCTATCGACTTCGCTTCCACCCCTTGGACGTCACCAGACGACATGACCCAGACTTTAGATATGAGCTTTGTGGATACTAGCATGGATATTGATGGCAATATGGACTGGCATAACTGGATCGAGTCGGCGAAGGGTATGGAGTCAGCTGCAGAAACTGGTTTTCCTTCATGGTGTACAGTTCGTGATGACAAGGATGTATAGTGCGACTCCACAAAGGCAAGGCCCATAATTTTTTTTCGATTTCGTTCGAAGGACTATAAGGGGTTGGCTCTGACTATGATTAATTGATTAATGCTTGATGATCACATGATTCCACCAACTGAACATTCTTGATGATGTCATCATCTTGAGGTCGCGCTATACCAACCTGGGTAAGCGTCGGTATCCCATCGCTCTCCCATTTGTTTTCACTCCCTTTACATATCACGAAGAGTCGAGTCTTTTAACCTGTTACCTTAGAGTTATGTTTATATCAGGTTACATGTGAGAAAACATCTAAAACACAGTTTCTGAGATATATTAGACTCTCCACTGTGTCAAGAGCGCATGGGTAGGAACCTTTCCCCCTGAATTTCCCTTCAACCGGCCATCCAATTCAGCTTCAACCTACTTCTGTGACTCTCTGTATCACCTCTGATATCGACCCGAGTACAATGGAGACAGAGTCCTTTTCTTGCTCGCACCCAGGCTGTGGACGAGCCTACCGGCGAAAGGAACATCTCAAACGACACCTCGCCACCCATCTTCCACCTTCTGCCGCAGCTTGTCCATTCTGTGACAAGAGCTTCTCTCGCAAGTAAGCACTCTTTCCAGCAAAGTTACTGGAATGATAGAAATTTGACTGATACAAAAATATCAGCGACACCCTCCGTCACCACGTCCGTCACAATCACAGCGACAAAACACTGAATCCTTCCAGAACCCTCAAGGCCTGCGATTACTGCCGGTCTCGCAGGACCCGCTGTGACGGAAACGCTCCGTGTACACCATGTCAGCAACGGGGGATACAATGTTCCCTGCAAAGTCATCAAGTCAGACAGGTTGTTCATGTGGATCCTTCTGCAACTGTAAAGGTATCTGCAATCACAGTTCCCCCCCAGGATCCATCGGTACCCGGCCAAGGTCCCATCGATACCCGTCCCTACCTCGAAGCGTACTTCTCTAAATTCCACCCCGTCTGGCCCTTCGTGCACCGCGCCACCTTCTACATGGTCCACGAGCCCCCGTTCCTCCTACAATCCATCACGATGATCGGGCTCTGGGTCACCGGAGACGCGAAGTCACAGCAAGCCGCAGTCGAGCTGCACAAACGGTTGAGCCTTTCCATTTACGAGCAAAGAGTTCGTCGCCCCCTTGAAATTCTCCAGCAGCCGTTGCCATCAACGCTGACCAATTCAGGGAAAATGGCAAACCACAGGCCCCTCCCGCAACCACCAACCGTGGCCAATAGCCACCTACCAAGGCATCCTCCTCAACATCATCTTCGCGCTGATCTCCGCTCCCCCAGACCCCCTCGACCTGCAACTCACCCGCAAACTGCCATCGCTGCAGTTAAAACTCCTTCTCGCGCTCATCAAAACCTGCCGCGCAAAGGACATGTTCTCGTACTCCACGATGCGTGCTCATTTCGCACAGGACACCGTGCTAGACGTGTACATCTGGCTTGGCATCGAGGAAGTCAAGCGCTTCGCGCTGGCGCTGTACAAGGTGTGTACGATGGTTCGAGTGGATGTACATGAGCCTCAGGACCATCCATTCGACCCCAACCTTCTCTCGTTAGCGGAGCTGCGATTTGCCATGCCCGAGCGGGACGGGTTGTGGGACGTGGGCTCGGACTTAGCGGAGTGGCTGGAGAGGGAGCATGTGAGCGACCACGGCGAGAGGAATCGCGAGGTGGATTGGATTTCGAATGCGGCGAGGGTACTGCACAGGGGGGGGGGTTGGGTTGGTTTAATTCCTTTCGGGTTTCCTGGGGCTCCTGCGGGGATCTTTACGTTGAAGCGGCAGTGTGAGGGTCCAACCTAACCGCGGGTCGCCGTGATGTCGCCAACTAAGCAGGACACAGAAAATGCGTGCGTGTTATGTCCCCTCAAGGGTGCATGACATATGGCGTGTATAGTAGTCTCCATCAGAGAGTTTTGCCGACAGCTGCAGGCTGAGTAGAAGTGGATACAGCCGTCACTTTTAGTATTCGGCCGGGACTTGAGACTCGTAGATCTGAACACTCACCGACACTGAGAGCCTGCGACAGGCCTGCGACAGGGACAACATAGCCGAGACAACTCGGAACAGCACAAGCACAGAACCATGGAAAAGGATTCTACTTTGGGGGCTAGATGAGTCCTCTTCGCTGCATAGGTCATTCACCAGACCAAATTATCGCTTTCCGGTCCACGGCAGTCATGCAACTCATGCCGGCTGGAACCGATGCGGACCACCACGAGGCATCCCACCCGAAGTGCCGTGTCTGTCTGTCACTTCTACAGTGTCAGACTGCAGTGCGCGCAATAACCCGGTTCGGGACGAGGCCCTGGCGCTAGTGACCAACAGCCCGGCCCACTTATGGAACTATCAGATGATTCTAGCCCGGGTAAAGGGTCTTGGCAGGTGAAAATTTTTCGACCGCAGACCCTGTCCATCTCTCGGTCTATCCTTCGTACAAAATGGTCCTGCTCGATCAATCGTGACATTGAAGTTCGAGATCAATCAACCAGGTGCATGTGGGACGAGAACCCTCCAGATGTGCCCACTGGTACGAGTGACGTGGTACTCGAAATATCTCAACATGTAACAAGGATCTAATCAGATGCTCCGAGTGATGAGTAATCGGATTACAAAGGGTCCGGTCAGCTTCGCTTGAGTGGAGACGAAGCATTGGACTATGGTACTGGAGCGTACAGAGGTAGAATCAGCCGACATGATGGCTTGGGATCACCTAAATCTGACCATCCCATGCCGATGCTGTGCTTTTGAATGAGGGTCTAAATCTTACATCGCAAATCGTCACCTCAATTCCCAAGCCCTGAGGATCAACCATAAAAGTGATGTATTGAATTTCTACCAAGCCAGCAGGGGAAGATCAGTGGCGCCATGCGAGTCGCTGATCAGCGGCAATTGCAGGCAGGAGGAACCATCTGGGAAGCAAGGGTCTGCTGCCATTCGCCGCGGTTGCCGGGTGGGCCAAGGGCCTTTCAGGCTATGGAGTCCAAGTGAGGTCGGAGATGTCCGTTCACGCAAAGCATCAGCAAATAAGCTAGATAGTATGTAGACCACGAGGAGAAGGGCAAGGAAAATTCTGCATTGTTGGCTGCCATTGGCTTTGAGGGGAAAATCGGTCCACCCGGACTTGGCCGGATGCAAAAATGCGAGCTGATTGGATCGGGTCTTATCAGATCCATCCATCCCGATATCTGATGCGCTTATCCTTGGGAGGGAAGTTAAAGGCACGCACTTCTGCTGCACACTATGCCCACGGATGGTTAGTCTTGCTGTGCAAGTACATATTGCCACGGTCCATGTCCTGGCTGTTCCAACTTCCACACATGGGGGCTAAAGGCTAGTGTGCAGGTTGCAACCACCCAAGAGACCGGCTAAGAAAGTTAAGACAGTCAAGAAAGTCAAGAACAGGCAAGCAAGTCTAAGGCTGTGAAAGGCAAACTCACACTAGCGCCGATTCCTTGCGACTGCACCACACCTTACGCAACCACCAACTCCTACCGTTACTTATAAACCAGCCTGATCCCCCCCTTGCTCCCCTTCTTTCCTTGTTGATCCTCACCTCTTTCGTTCCCTCTCCCACTTCCTCCCCCTCCTTTCCTCATCCCCCCGCAACCCCTCACCATGGGTATTGTTACCGACCGCCTCCGTGGTCGCAAGACCAACCATGTCGTCGAGGACTTGGGTCCGGCCGATGATCATGCTTCCCAGGACACTCCCTCCGAGGAACTGGCGCGTGCCGAGAAGGAGGCTCAAGAACACCCCGAGGAGGTCACTCGAGATGCCCCCATCGGTGTGAAGAAGGCCGAGGCTGCCGCTCTGGTTTGGACTAAGAAGGCTATTATTATCACTTACGCCTGGTAGGCCTTTTCTCAACTGATAGGGGCTATTCTTGCCGTTGCTGACCGTATCGCCTGTCAGGATCTGGGTGTGTTATTTCATGTTGGCCCTGCACGAGTACATCGGCAGCAATGTCCTCTACTACGCCTACTCCAACTTCCAGAGCGCATCTCAGGTTACCACTGCCTATATCCTGGCAACCATCATCGGTGGTGTGTTGAAGTTGCCGATCGGAAAACTGCTTGGACTGTGGGGACGCGCGGAAGGCCTTATGGTGTTTCTGGCCGTCTACATCGTGGGCATGATCATTCTCGCTGCGTGCAATGGCCCCAACAGCTTTGCAGCCGGCTATGTGTTTTACTGGATCGGGTATGATGCCATCTACCTGATTCTTGAGATCTACATCGCCGATACCTCGGGGCTCCGCAATCGAGCTTTCGCCTTCGCCTTCTCGACCACCCCGTTCATCTGCTGCGCCTTCACTGGCTCGTTGGCGGCCAACTCGTTCGTTGAGACCTCCGGTTGGCGGTGGGCGTACGGCGCCTTCGCCATCGTGCAACCCTTTGTCTTTGCCCCGTTGATCTACATCTTCAAGCACTACGAGAGCAAGGCGTACAAGCAGGGGCTGTTGACCCGCGAGTCCAGCGGTCGCACCACGCTGCAAACGATCGTCCACTACGTACATGAATTCGATGGTGAGTTTTCTGCCGTGTGCTACATCACCCAATCCATATTCCGCGTCTTCATCCCTGACTAACAGGATGCATCAGTGATCGGCGCGCTCATTCTGATGGCGGCCTTTGTCCTCTTCCTGCTGCCGTTCAGCCTGGCCAGCTACGGGCGAACCGAGTACCACAACGCCGCCTTCATCGCCGAAGTAGTGGTCGGATTCTGCTTGTTCTTCGTTTTTGCGGCGTGGGAGAAATGGGGAGCGCGAGTGCACTTTATTCCCTACGAGCACTTGCGCGATCGCACCGTGATCGGAGCATGCATGCTGGCCGCCGTTCTCTACTTCAGCTTCTACTTGTGGGACAGCTACTTCTATTACTTCCTGATGGTGGTGTACGACCTCAGCATCACGCACACGGGCTACATGACCTCGATCTACACCGTGGGCTCCTGCCTCTGGTCGCCCGTGTTCGGGCTGTGGATCCGCACCACGAAAGAATTCAAGTACTCGACCCTGTTCTTCGCGGTGCCGCTGATGATGCTGGGCGCGGGCCTGATGATCCACTTCCGCGGCCAGGACGCCGACATTGGCTACATCATCATGTGCCAGATCTTCATCGCCTTTTCCGGCGGAATGATGGTCATCGGCTTCCAGATGGCGGTGATGTGCGCCTCCTCCCGCGAGAATATCCCCATCATGCTGTCGATCGTGAGTCTGTTCACCAGCATCGGCGGCGCCATCGGCGCGGCCGTCTCCGCTTCGATCTACAGCAACACCTTCCGGGACGGACTGAAGAGTGCTCTTCCTGCCAGTGCCCAGGTCGATCTAGAGACGCTGATTGCGGGTGGATACTTGACGCAGATGAAGTATGCCCCTGGCACGGAGGTACGCGATGCCATCAACTACGCCTGGGGCTACATGGAGAAGTACCAGGCGATTGCGGCGACGGCGATCTTGGTATTGGCCTTCCCGTCTGTCATCATGTGGAGGCACTACAATGTCGATAAGAAGCAGAACAAGGGAACGATGCTGTGAACAGCTGCCTTTTCTGCTACGTTGTTGGGGCAGGGAGGGGGAGCTTGATCGGTGCTTACGATAATGTCTACTAATACCCTAATTGTTGTTTGAAAAGTTTTCTGTCCGTGACATTTCCGCACGTTTTCACGTCTTTATCTTATAATAAACATCTTAGCTGGTTTCTACCTTATGCATCGACCTGTCTTGAACCGAATTAGACCAGAAGATATATTCGAGAGCATCCGCCCGCGATTTCCAGTAGCGACCCACCCCCGGACTCTGACGTGCGGGTTCAGGTAAACTACCTATCACATGGATTTACAATTCTCATAAGTTTGAAAATAGTTGTATTGGGCGCTTACTAGATCTGTCTCTTTTGACCCTGATTTCCAGTCTAGGACGCGAGCGGGAAGACATAAACAACAACTCCACGCCAGCATTCCAGCTCCATAGCCATGGCAACGGTATAGTGGGGTGCACATCTTCCCCCGACGGTACCTGGGCCCGCATTCTTCGGATTCCATAACCGAGAACAAGCAGTGATTTTCGTGCTTCGAAGAATGCGAGCTAGCTGCTATCGATGGCAAGCCCCTGGACGATCGTGTGAATGTCTCACTTGATGTCAGGTCGTAGGTCAACATCAAGAAACAGCTTCCTGGGTCCAGTGCTGCCTGGTAGATGTCCTCGGTTCCTTTCTTCGCTGCATTGACCCTCATTTCCCCTCCTGAATATCACCCATCCCAATCTTCCTCCCCTCACCATTCACAATGAGACACTCTCTGATCCTCAGCCTCCTTACACTAGCAACAGCGAATCAACCGCCCCGGCCCGGCCCAACCGTCGATTCCAACCTGTACGGCGGCGACTGCACGCGCGAGCGGCTCCAAACCCGCAAGGAATGGCGCAACCTCGACCGCTCGCAGCAGGAAGCCTACCTGGACGCGGTGCAATGTCTGATCGATCTCCCCGCGGAGACAGGGATGGCGTACACAACGAGCCGGTGGAGCGATCTGCAGGCACTGCATCGGTATTACACCAACACCGAGTACGGCGATGTCATCCATAACGTGGTGCGTACTTTCTCAAGCGCACCGGGATGACGTCGAGTTCTATGTTGCTAAATCGCCGATGATCAGGGCCAATTCCTCCCTTGGCATAGATACTTGCTGCACATCCACGAGACGCTTCTCCGGGAGCAGTGCGGGTATACCGGTCCGATGGTGTACGCGCACCCCTGTCCCCTACATGTTACCCCCCACACCCACACTAAATGAATAATGGATAGATGGTGGAACGAACAAGCCGACGCAGACACAGGGGACCTCTTCCGCTCGCCCATGTGGAACGACGATTCCTTTGGGGGCGACGGCACCGAACCCGCCAACTGTGTGGCGGACGGGCGCTTCGCCGATTTGACGCAGTACATCGGGCCGTTCGACAACAACACGGAACGCTGTCTGGAGCGGGAGTGGGATAGCCCCCTGGGAATTCGGAACGTCAACAGCACGATGCTGGGCCAGTGTTTCGATTTGACCAGCTACACGCCCTTCTGGCAGTGCGTGGCCTCGTATCCGCACAAGGGGGTGCATCAGGCTGTTGGGGGGCTGGTACGTCTGTCTCTTTGTATGGTAGTGGGGTTGAGGCTGAGCAAAGTGATGGATGATGATACTGACACAAATGTGTACTGTAGATGGCAGACGTCAAGGCCTCCCCCGGCGACCCGATGTTCTTCATCCACCACGCCTTCATCGACCGGCTGTGGTATACCTGGCAGATGGTCGACCCGGATACCCGACTGTACGCGATGGGTGGAACCTCGGTCAATTACACGGATCTGCCGACTCCTCCGGGGGGATGGCCGGAGACGACGCTGGAGTATGAGCTAGAGTCATATGCGATCTTGCCGAGGGTCACAGTGGAGGATGTGATGAATCCCGTGGGTGGGTATTTGTGTTATGAGTATGATTGAAGCGTTGCCAAAGCATGGGTCTTGACTTTCACTGCGGGAAAACGGGGAAAACATACCGCACGGTCGTTCGGATATGCTTGTTCCGGTTACTTTGTATGGAAGGAAGACGGAATTGTTCTATTGTTCCGGATCACACTCGTATGAATCACTGTCATTGCATGATCGGCCGGGGTTAAGAACTGATCCCGGTTGCGGGCCGATACAGGCGATATGCAGGCTGCCGGACCCGGTGCCGGGAGACGGTACTAGTACGCAGCCCTCCAGTACGCACGCTCAATCTATATAACATCATCGAAGATCTTTTTGTTGTAGTTCAACATCGGACTAGAAGCATATCAACATGGCTCCCTCCGACTCCGCCCTCGAAGAGCAAGTGGTCACCGCAGACCTTTGCAACTGGGCCACTGCACTACAAGCCTCCGATATCCCCATCGATGTGCTCCAACGCGCCAAGCACCTCATCCTCGATGGTATAGCCTGCGGCTTGGTAGGGGCACACGTCCCTTGGTCGGAGAAGTGTCTCGATGCCATTGACGACTACGAGCCGGCCGGCTACTGCAGTGTCTTGGACTCCAACAAGGTCTGACCTCCGTCCCCCGTTTTCACGGAGCATCAAACGCTCATGCACCACCAGAAATACGGACCCCTCGCCGCCGCCATCCTCAACGGAGCATTCATCCAAGCAGTCGAACTAGACGACTACCACAGCGCCGCCCCGCTGCACTCCGCCAGCGTCATCCTGCCGGCCCTCTTCGCCGCAGCCGAGGTCCAATCGCACGGAAGCCGAAAGCAACCCCGACGAATCGTCTCCGGCCTCGAGTTCCTCATCGCAGCAGTGGTGGGCTTCGAGACCGGCCCCCGCGCCGGCGCTGCCATGTACGGGGCCGACCTACTCTCGCGCGGCTGGCACTCGGGCCCAATCTTCGGCTGCCCCGCCGCCGCAGCCGCGGCCTCAAAGCTCTTGAATCTTGACACCGCAGCCACCGAGTCGGCGATCGGCATCGCGTGCACGCAAGCCGGCGGACTGATGGCAGCTCAGTACGAGGGAATGGTCAAGCGAGTGCAGCATGCGTTCGCGGCGCGCAACGGGCTGTTCGGGGCGCTGCTGGCTCGGAACGGCTACCTGGGCATCCGGAAGGTGTTCGAACGACCCTATGGCGGGTTTCTGGCCATGTTCAGCCAGGGCAACGGCCGCGAGCCACCTTATAAGCCCGAGGAAGTGACCGCGGGGTTGGGGCAGGTCTGGCAGACGACTAACATCCGGGTCAAGTTGCATGCCTGTGTCGGAGGGTGTCACGGGCAGGTCGAGGCGTTGGAGCGGCTGCAGGAGACGTACCCGGATCGGTTCACCCCGGAGAATTTGCTGAATATCCAGAGTATCCGCGTGGCGCTTTCTGAGCCGGTCTTTGCGCACGACGGCTGGGTGCCCTCTGAGCGGCCGCTCACGGCCACAGGGGCCCAGATGAACGCGGCGTACATCGGGGCGGCGCAGCTGGTGTACGGACAGGTGCTGCTGGACCAGTTTGACACGGCCGCGTTGGACGACGATCGCGTCTGGGCGTTGATTGACAAGACGACGTGTGTCCATAGCGAGGAATTGGATCGACCGAATCATCTCTGCGGAGCGCGGGTGGTTGTGGAATTCGCGGATGGGGTGACGGTGGAGGAGACGGTGGCTATGCCCCGGGGGTTCGATCCGCCGATCACTGACGAGGAGATTCGCGACAAATGGCGCAGGCTGGTGCGGACGGTGGGCGATGATGCTCGCATGCAGCGTCTGGAGGAGGCTGTACTCTCGCTGGAGAATTTGAAGGACGTTTCTGAGGTGTTAGCCTTGATCCGCGGACGATTCAGTATCTGACCACGCTGGGTTTTCCCTTCTTTTCTTTCCTCCCTTGTGTCATTGTGTCTGTTGGCTTAGCTTTTGTCTTTATCCTTGTTTGCTTGTGAGTGAGGAGGAATATGAATCAAACATACCCCTTTTCCAACGGTCTTCGTATCAGCGCTGATCTATTGCCGATTGGGAAAGCAATACTGCAGACATGCAGACAGCCACCAGGCCTCGACCCAGCTTCATGTTGCTTGAATATCGGTCCCTTCCCGTGGTGGCATCTTTCAAAATCAATTTCTCCTACCGTGCTATTTTCCCAGCATTCTACAAATTTTCAGCTCGAGCATCAACGTCCATTCGTCGGACTTCACGCCGCAACGCCTGGATCATCTTGTCAGGCTCACTCAAGGCAGTCTGACGGAAAGATGCAGCCCATACGCAGCCCCGCCCAACCGAACGTGACTCAGCATTGTTCAATTTCAGATGAACCTTATAGCAAACCCCCACTTATGAGTATCGGCATGGCCGGAGTCATTCATGAACTAGGGCAAGAGCGGGTGGTCACGAAGGCCAAACAACATCAACCTGGGCGGACCCGCGACCTCGAGAACACCGAATACCTGAACCAAATCAATCGGGAAACTTTGCAAAATGAGGTTGAAGTCTACAAACGCCTGGTCAGTCCCCAAGGCATAATTACATGTTACCGAACATCCCAGCATGGCATTGAATTGGCCCGGGCGCAAGCAGGTCTCGAGCCCTATCTCAACGAGTATCCCGAGCGTGAGGATGCCTCGAAGCTGAGGTGGATTATAAGCCTGATTGAGTCTTTCGCGTATATAAACTCCTGCAACGTCTTTGTGAATGACATTGCTCTTCATAGTATCATGATTCTGGACGAGGAGCTCAAAGTAGCAAAATTTGGACAGTCGATCCTACTACCATGCGACGCCGATATGGCTGCGATCACAGAAAATGATCTGGATCCCACGATCGAGATCCTGCATCTCGGATGGATCATCTACTCCATCGCATCCTGGCACGTGCATAAATATTATTTCTTCGGTCCTGAGAACCCGGACCTCGGTTGGCCTGCTTCATTTCCGGAAGTTGAGCGCGTGCTGTGTAGATCGATCATCATGAAGTGTTGGTAGGGAATATATTCAAGTTATGGACCAGCTGAAGAATGAGGCACACCAGCTGCTCGCCGGTCAATGAGTGCCCTGGTACTGCACTGTCTGGAAGGGACTCATTCGATTCTCCCGCGCCCATCGTGGCTCGTTTGTATGGCTCTCGTTGACGGAACTGGCAGCACCATTACACAACCCATTCGTTGCGACTTCTATCACACGGCTCTTTCTATTACGCACCCTTGCGGCTGGAGGTGGAGCCCCAGGAGGAGCGTACAAATGGAGCCGAGTCCTGTGGTATGATACAGGCGCAGTGTAAGCAGGGACAACGTCTATACTGATATACGCAGGCTTGGAAGAGCTTCTCACTGCCGACTCATCTTCCTTGTCTTCCATACAATACTTGCCCCAGTATGGTGCATATACCTTAGTGGGAGGAAAGGCTCATTCTCTTCAAAGGACTATGCTGAAGGAGAGGTCATCGCACTAGAGCCTATCATACATGTACCAACATCATACGCGTAATTGACTCATAATACCTGCTCAAAACGCGATGATAGGCCAGTCTTCAGCTCCCAGTCTTTCCCCTAGTCTCCACCTCCACCACAATCGTCTCCCGATCTTCCCTCAAGCTCTCCTCCGACTCAGCGTACCTCGACTTGCGCTTTTGCTCCCTGCCATCGCGTCAGTAACACTCACACTACCGTGATGTGCTGCGTCTCTTACCTTCTATGTATCAAAAGAACCGAGATAAAAGCGGCCCAGAGCAGAAAGAAGAATGCAAACGAGGCCGGCCACCCCTTGCGCCAACGCGGGGCGCCGTTGGGACCTGCAGTCGGAAAGAGCAGCAAGGGCACCCAGATCTGGAACGAGTAGCCGAAGGTCATCATTGAGCCCTAGACTCGGGTCAGTCACTGAAGCGGCTTGAAAGGTGGGGCCCAAGGGAGCTGACCATGATGAGGGCCCGCTCCTCCGAGTCGTCTTTTACGATGGTGTTGACGGTCGAATAGAGGATGGGGCTCAGGCATCCGGACGTACCGAAGAGGTACCATGCAACGAACCTGGATGGGCTTGGGTTAGAGGCTAGAGGCTTGAAGAAAGAACCCGGAGCGGGGAAAGGGGCTAGGACTACGCACTTTAACCCGCGCGGAATATCCCAGATGATCATGCACAGCGAGGAGAACAGGCAACACGCTGAGGAGAAGGTGTAAAGGGCCCAGGTGGGATAGATTGCGGCGAGGGTCGTTCCCAGCCACGAGGCGACGATGTTAATGGCGTAGGTTACGGTCGGGAGCTTGTTCACCTGCGGCACTGAATAACCTTCGGCCTGTAACCAGAGGTTCATGTAGGAGACTGGATAGGAGGAGATTATCATGCACCTGCCAGAGAATTAGCATGACCTGCGGCGGGCTGCATACCAAAGAAAATGCTCACGCGTAGATGAAGATGAAGATCCAGATATGCCACCGCTTGAGCGTCCGTTTGAACACGTCGAAACTCATCTTTCCCGGGCGGCGGATATTGGCCCTCCGCGCCCGGTCCTTGGCCAGAGCAATGTCATCCTCGGTCAGAAAGAAGGTCCGCGGAGAATCGGGCACGCCGGGGAAGATGAAGAAACCCAGGATTGCCACGGGGATGGTGAAGATCCCGTCGATGATGAACAGCCAGCGCCAACCCGGCATGCCGCCCACCCCGGACAGGTTCGTGTAGGCGGCCGCTTGCAGGTAACCGCTAACCATGGTGCCTAGAGCGTTGCAGATGAACCATGTGCCTGCTCGCTTGAAGAGCTCGGGGCCCGAGTACCACGATCCTGGATATCATTAGCGTCGGTGGAGGAGGCAGTAGGGAGGAATACGGACCGAGAATGAAATGCGTTCCTGCGAACACTGGCGCTTCAAACATGCCCACAAGAACTCGAAGGGCATAGAGCTGGTGGACATTGGTGACACGACTCTGGGCAAAGGTGCAGACTCCCCATAGAATCTCGAGCGTGGGAAGAAGCCATCGTGCCCTAACCTTATTAGCGAGGGGAAGCTCTAGGAGAGTACGCGATCTTACAATTTCGGACGGGACATCAACAGCAGACCCGGGACTTGGAAGACCACATAGGCAGTGATATAGCAAGTGTTGAAGTAGTTGAGTTGGTTGCCATTTAGTTGAAAATCTTCCTTCAACCCACTAACATATGCGTTGCTGATGTTCGTCTGATCTGGGATTCGTTAGTCCGCGGGCAGACTGACGTGATGTTATCAACTTACCCAGATACTTGACGAAGACTAGACGACATTAGCAGGTGGTCCAGGACCAAGGAGCGAGTATCCTTACAGCAGAGACAGGCGAATATCAGGATTGACAAATCCAGCTTGAACAACAACCTACGAAGTTAGACCTGGATAAATGGCCAAGATACCTGAATCGCCGGACTCACTTGCGCTCATTTGCCGGGTAGTTCGACGGATACCAGTTGAAAACCTCCTTGAAAAGCCCCAAAGGCCCCAACCTGACACGAGCTGCGGTCTTGTCGGACATCGTAACGGGTCCTTGCTTGTGTCAACGAGGATGATCTTTCCGTGGTCGGCCTCCCACCGCGACATATCTGCCGACTGATCCGGGAATTTATACTCCAGCCAGTGACCATACAAATGAGGCAACAGAGACGACGAATTGTTGTTGAGATATTTGCCATGACTCCACATCCTCTCGTCATAGATGCATGCGGCGAATGCGACAGGGACAGGGGCCGGGAGGGGTTATGACTGCAACATTTTCGTGCGGGATGGCGTGCCGCAACCCTGGTCCAGCAGAAACTCAATCAGTTGTTATCTCTGACATGAGTCAAGCATGAGGTGGTTGAGTGGCTGGGGCGAGTCGAGATGCTCGATAAGGATGGCGTGCTTTGCAGTGCGGGTTCGCAATTCACTCAACGTGCGGGGTTGAGTTGATGTATCGGCACAGAACAGATTCTCCGATTTACTGCGGCAATTGAGATTTAAATGTAGTTGCTTTCGCACGCTAGATCTTGCTCAAATGCGCAAATACCATCAGTTTCGGTGAGCCTAGAATCTTGCAAAATGCCGGCCAGATTGATTGACAGATACGACCACGTCCCCGTGACGAAAGAAAATCGTATGTACACTACACTATTCCTGGCTTAACTTGCTGTACGACACGACGGTTCTGACAACGTAGTCCCCTGGGCTGAGCTCGTCACCCTCGACCTGAGTCAATATGACCAGCCGGGAGGTAAGGAAGAGCTTGTCAAGCAACTGGACCATGCCGTGCGACATGTGGGTGAGTATCCGGACATCCCCCTAGCAACAACACCACAACATCTTCAGCCCTAACCCCGCCCTCAAGGATTCTTCTACGTGAAGAACTTCAACATCAGCCAAGACGAGATCGACCGCCAATTTGCACTCGGCCGCGAGTTCTACGCGCTGCCATTGGAAGATAAGCTCAAGTACCACAACAGCGCCGATCTCGCGAGTGGCGAGTACAACGGCTACAGGCCTGCTGGCCACCGTGTGTAAGGTCGACCACTCGAATTGTCTCGAACATGGTTGACATTCTCCAGTCTTGGCAATGGCATCAGGGACAACATTCAAGTCTACAACATCCCCAAATTCGACGGACACCACAAGCGCCAGCAACCACCGGTGCTAGAAGACAACATCGCAGAGATCGAAGCATTCAGCCGGGTAAGCCTCCCTTCCTCCTGCATTGGCTACGCAAGCCACTGAGTGAATGCCCAGAAATGCCACAGCGAAGTCGTCGTCAAACTCCTCCGCCTCTTCGCCATCCTCCTCGAGCTCCCTGACGAGGATCAACTCGTCCGCGACCACCAGTACGACGTCAAGGGTGAGGACCACCTCCGCTACATGCACTACGCCGCCCGCAGCAAGGAGGAAAACTCCCAAGTGGCCAGTATCTACACCCCGGGCCACACCGATCTCGGCACCGTGACCCTCCTCTTCCGCCAGCCCGTGGCGGCACTCCAGATCCTCAACTCGGAGGGGGAGTGGAAGTGGGTGCGTCCGCAGGACGGGACGATCACCATCAACACGTGCGATGCCTTGACGGCACTCACGGGCGGGTTGATCAAGTCGAGCATTCACCGGGTGCATGCGCCGCCACCGGACCAGGCACATGTGGATCGATTGGGGGTTTTGTACTTCGCGCGGTGAGTTTGCACTCTTCATTCGTCGTGTGCCTCGTAATCAAAATGCTAATAGGGGGATACAGGCCCAACAACCATGTGGTACTAGACCCGATTACGAACAGCCCCCTGCTCAACCGGCTCGGACTCACCCAGAATGTGTTCACGGAGCTGGGCCAGCATCTGACAACGGAACAGTGGGTCAAGGTGCGGCAGACGCAGCAGCAGCGACGCAATCGGGATGTGAAGGTCTCGGATGATGGGAAATTCACATATGGGGAGAAGGACCTGGAGATTCTGCCTGGGCTGGAAGCCAAGATTTATAATTAGAGCGCACTCCAGTAGGATTTCAGATCTGCATTCACCTGCATGATGCACGTGACAGTGATCAGCTAGGCCGTATTTAGAATTTTGCTGTGATGTCCACGGTCAAAATCAACCCTTACATGCACGGGTTGCGCTTGCCTCATATCCTAACCTATCTTGAGCGGTGAGTTGCGGTGTTGCGGTGTTGCGGTCCATCTTTCCTCCTGCGAGGGCCTGAACAAAGACAGTCTCAACACACCTTCCGCTTCTTATATGTACGATTCTCTTCCTCTACATAGCCTTCCTTCCCTGCCAAAATGTTGCCACGGTGTGTGATTCCATCCCGTCTGGGCCGAGCGGCTAGAAACCCAGTCTTTCGGCAACAGACCAAACAGTTTCATTACGCTAGAAGCTCCCCAGCGACCCAATTGGGGTACCTTACAGCTACTGGTCTTGCCACCACGTCAGGCCTTTATTGGTGGTGGTCCTCAGGCAAAAGAGACGGCGTGCCCCAGCTTGATGCATCCCCTGCTGACAATTCAGTCGTTGAGCCTCCTTTCTCTCACGAGAAAGTCACCCGCATTCTATCCGAAGAGGCATACTCCTTTTCAGTGCGAGATATTCCCGGTATCGACCGTCACGATGGTGCCCAGCTCGCATCCAACAGCCCCTGCGAAGACCGGCTTACCCATGCCAAGTTCCAATCCCCGTGGCCTAATGACAACAATCCCTGGATGGCGTGGGCAGTCTTCGACGGCCATGCCGGCTGGCAAACAGCGGAGCTCCTTGAGAATCAGCTCATTCCCTCGGTGCGCCACAGCCTGAGCCAAGTGACGCCTGATTCGGACGGAAACAAGTCGCTAGCGGGCGAGGATGCAATTCAATGCGCCATCAGCAATGCATTCGTGAATCTCGATGATGCCATTTTCAAGGCCGCCTTGGAGGCGTCGCAGAGCAATGAGCCTCTACATCAAAGAGTTCGCGACCTGCTCCCAGCGTTTGCTGGCTCCTGTGCATTACTATCAATCTTCGATCCGGCCACCAGTGTATTGCACGTGGCATGCACAGGAGACTCGCGCGCCGTGCTTGGACAGCAACAATCCGACGGGAGGTGGGAGGCGATTCCTCTGTCCATCGATCAGACTGGTAGCAACGAGGGAGAGATTGCCCGGATCTGCAGCGAGCACCCTGGCGAGGAAGATATTTGCAAAGATGGACGCGTGTTGGGACTGATGTGCACCCGGGCCTTTGGCGATGGTCGGTGGAAATGGCCCGTGGAGCTCCAGCAGGACCTCCGGCGTAGGTTTTACGGCCCCGCCCCGCTCACCCCCAAGTACGACGTTCGCACCCCGCCCTATGTGACTGCCGAGCCCGTCGTGACCACTGTCAAGATAGATCCGACACGCCCTTCGTTCTTGATCATGGCTACGGATGGTCTGTGGGATATGCTCTCCAGTCAGCAGGCGGTCGATCTGGTCGGGAAATGGCTGTCGGGAGAGGCGAGGACTGAGAAAGAGAGCGGCACGTCCCCGGCAGCCTCAGACAAACCCTTCAATTTCGGTCATTTTCGGGACGGCGTGAACTGGAAGTTTGTGGCGGATCGAACGACGGTGCAAGATGACAATGTGGCGGTGCACCTGGTGCGCAATTGCCTCGGTGGCAGCGATCTCGAGTTGCTGACAGGGCGGCTGGCCTTTGGCCCTCCATTTTCCCGAACTCTGCGTGACGATATCACTGTGCAGGTGGTGCTTTTTGGTGTTCCAGGTTTGCAGAGTACAAACCAGGGATGAGCTAGTTTAAGATTGACCTCGTTATCAGCGACGATTCGGAATGCCTGGACAGGAATCCAGGCGACGGCATTCACTTCATACCTGATTATCAAACAGCGAGACTCATATTAGAGCATTGTATCGTATCTACAAAGAAATTAGTAGCATGGACTGCACTATATGCCACTGTCTGTTGATCAGTACCAGAACCTGTTGACATCGAAGATAAACCCTCCAAAATAGCCGAGGTCGTGCGGAGATGGTTTGATCGCCAAGCTTCAGTGGAGCCAAAATGTGGGCCTGGAAAGTCCCAGCTCCGGTGGAGAAGTCCTAAATAATCGAATGGTGTCATGAATTCTCCGCTGGCTCCTCTGGCCCCGTGGGGAACTGCTGTAGTCCACGGGCTGCATAAATAGGCCTGTCGCCCGTCTCAAGCTCTTTCCACACGCCGGAATCGAAATCACCTTCCTCAGCAATGCACATCTCCTCACTTTTCTCGGCTACAGCCCTGGTGGCTGCCGCTACAGGCGCTGTCCTACCACGCCAAGACGAGTCATACTATGGCTATCTCCTCTCCACATTCAGGGACGCCGACCCTCAAGTTTTCTGGTACCTGTCTACCGCCGAAGACCCCCTGGCATTCACTGCACTCAATGGCGGCAGCCCCGTGCTAGAATCGACCGTCGGGACCAAGGCTGTCAGAGATGTGTTCCTGACAGCTAACCAGGAGAAGTCGGAGTATTTCGTCATCGCTACTGGTGCGTATCGCTGTCCTCACCCTAAGAAGGTGCATCAACACGAAGCGGCTGTGACTAATGGTTGTAGATCTGGATATCAACGCAGACGGATTCTCTTGGGACGAGGCCACGCGCCGGGGCAGTCGAGGCCTAACGGTGTGGCGCTCGGAGAATCTAGTCGATTGGTCTGCGCCTACATTAGCAACGTATGGCCCCGTTTCTCTTCCCATTCCCCAAACCCTGTGCTAACAAGCAACCTCTAGCATCGAAGACGAAACCGCCGGTATGGCGTGGGCCCCCTCGGTGGTCTGGAACACCACCGAGAGCCAATACTACCTCTTCTGGTCCTCGCGCCTCTACGACACCACGGACACCAACCACACCGGCACCGCCACGCTCGACCGCATCCGCTACACGACGACCACCGACTTCGTGACCTTCGCCCCGCCGGCCGACTACCTCGCCCTGGACAGCGAGAACATCCCGCTCATCGACCAGGAGTTCCTGGCCCTCGGGAATGCGCCAGGCCACTACGTGCGGTTCCTCAAGGACGAGAACGTTCTCCATGTCTACCAGGAGACCACCACGGGGGGTCTCTTTGGCGAGTGGACCCGCGCGGAAGGGTATATCCAGGATGGGGTGGTGTATGAAGGCCCCGCGGCGTTTCCGGATATCCAGGATGCCAACAAGTTCCATCTGCTGCTGGATAATTATGTCGAGTATGTGCCGTTTGAGAGCACGGACGTGGCTGCGGCGGAGTGGGTGGCCTCGGACCGTACGGGGTTCCCGACGGGGTTGAAGCATGGGAATGTGGTGCTGGTGACTAAGGGGCAGTATGATGCTATTGTTGCACGGTATGGATCGTAGAGTCGACGGCTATTGCGGGGATGGGGATGGGGATGGGGATGGGAATGGGGATGGGAATGGGGATGAACACGGAGAAAATAGGCTGATCGACTGCGTTCCGTCGGGATTTTGCCGGTTGAGGTTAGGGCTCTGGTTCTGAGGACTTGGCGTGGAGGTTGACTGCCAAGTGCCATGGTGGAGTAGTCAAATGATGAGGATGTTGATAATGATGATTCCCTGCTTGCTCAAGCCAATTTTAGAGGCATCAACCATAATAACCAGATGGTGTTGGAGATAAGATCCCTGTCGCTGTAGTCGCACTGAAGCTAAGCTATATGCCGCACGATCAATCTGAGAATACTACATCTTCAGAAGAAATCCTTTCTCAATTTCGTACAGTCAAATACCGTACAGGACTGATCTTTCGTAATTGACTAATAGAGCGCACTGCAAGATAGAAACACTGTCTACAACCAGCAAACCCTACTTCACCCAATACTTCCTCGCCCACTCCGCCGCCGTCAACGCTCGCAATCCAGCCTGATAGTTCCACGTCTCCTGCAAATCCCACGCAACGCCCGTTCCCTCCCCAAAGACAACCTGGTACTTGAACAACCCATTCCCAGACTCCCTCGCCAAATCCGCTCGCGCAGCCTCCACCGTCCTCACCTCCCGCTTGAACTCCTTCCCAGTAACCCTCTCCACCAACCCTGCCAACTCGCCATAGCTCAACGTATCCCCTGCCACCTTCAGCACTTGATTCCCAAATCCCCCTCCCAATGACCCCCCAAGCGACACCTCCGCCGTAATCCTCCCAATATCTTCCACCGCCGTAACCGTCACCCGATTCTCCCAGCTACCCAACGCCCGCACAAGCGCCGCACCGGCAGCCACAACTCCAAACCCAGCATCAAAGAGAAAACTCGTGAACATGCCCGTCGACACTATCACCCACTGCGTTGCAGTCTGGGAGCGCAGCAAGACCCGCACATCCAGCTGCTCGTCGAAGAGCTCCTGCGCCGATCCCCGACCAATTACGTCATAGTCCACCCCGAACTGCCAGGGGATGAAGCGCGGGACCTGCGCGGCGAGGACGGCGCGCGCGAGCTTGAGCTGCACCCCGGGTCCGGCGGCGAAACCCGTGCAGCAGATGATGGTGTCATAGTTCCGGAAGAGCTGCGTCAGGTGGGACTCGGGGTCTGTGGTGATATCGCTGGGGAGGGAGTCGATGTTGAGGGTGTGGAGGGTGGCGGTGGATTCGTTGGCGTCGTTGGGGGAAGCGAGGCGCGAGGGGCGGAGGAGGACGGTCAGTTGTGTGGCGCCGCGGTTGGGATGTGCGGCGAGCGAGCGAAGGACTTGCGTGCCTAGTTCCCCGGCGCCGATGACGAGGATGCTTCTGGGGGTAGGGGACATGATGGCTGTGTAGTATATTTGACTGAGGAACTACTTTGGCATTCCTGGAATGGAGGAACTACTGGCTTAAATACATTTGTGGTGGATAATAATCACTGAGAAAATAGGGTTGGTTAGCTAACCAGCCAGCATCGGCGACTTTCCTACAGGATTTCTCCGCGCTGCCTCCTGCTGGTTAATCTACTTCTCACTCTACTGCGGCCACCCCAGATACCCATCCTCCCCGGACGTATAGAAGGTAGGTCGATGGTACTTGTTCAAAGACAGTCCCCTAAATAGTCGCTCCGGCAAATCCGGATTGGAAGTGAAATACCGCCCGAAGGCTGCGAGATCGATGCGACCTGCAGTCACTGCCGTGTCAGCAAACGAAACCCTAACTCACCACCGCCAACAGGGGCTAACTCACCTTCCTCTATAGCCTGAGCAGCAGAAACCGCATCATACCCACCAGCCCCAATAACCGGCGTAGTCTTCAGAATCCTTCGAAAGGGCCAGATCGACCGCTCCTCCACCCCCTCATCCTCCCTCTTTTCCCTTGCAATACACCCGGAGAATGCTCCCTCCTTACTCCCCAAATCATACCGCGGCTCCACAAAATGCACATACGCCAGCCCCCTCGCCTCCAACGCCGCCGCAAACGCCCCAAACGTAGCCACCCGATCACTATCCCCGGTGCCCTGGAGCACATGAAATGGCGCTAGCCGGACCGCCGTGCGCCGCGCCCCCACCGCGCACACCACCGCATCCAACACCTCCAAGGGAAACCGCAGGCGATTCTCAACAGCCGGTCCACCATACTCATCCCCCCGCGTGTTGATATTATCGTGCACAAAGCAATCAAGCAAGTACCCATTGGCCGCGTGGATCTCGACCCCATCGAACCCAGCAATCTCAATGGCACGACGCGCCGCCGCAGCGAACTGCCCCACCACCTCTTTGATTTCCAAGACGGTCATCGCATGCGAGGGAACGTAAGTTTCTCTCTCCGCTTCCTCGGGCCCCGCTCCAAACGAGACATGATATCCCCGGAGATGTGCAGTCGTGGAACTCAACGGCGGCTGGCCGTCGGATAAACTCGGGACGGCGACGCGGCCGACATGCCAGAGCTGCGAGAAGAAGGTCCCGCCGCGCGCGTGCACGGCGTCCGTGATGGGCTTCCAGGCTTGGGCGTGCGCGTCCGTCCACAGGCCTGGCGTGCGCGGGAAGCCCTTCCCCCGCGGGTGGATGGTTGTCCCCTCGGAGATGAGGAGGGCGCCGGGCTGAGTGGTGCTTTCAGCGTAGTAGGTTGCTGCACTGGGGTTTATGAGGCCGGTGGTGTTAGAGGCGCGCATGCGGGTCATCGGGGCGAGGACCACACGGTGGGTGAGGGCGAGAGCGGGGCTGGTGAAGGGGGTTTGGAGGGGGGACGGGCTGGGGGTGAAGGAGCCCATTTTGAGGTGCTGGGGTTTGGGTTTGGGTGTTGATGGTGGGGTTGGAAGTAGGGGGGTGTATGGACTTTTTTTTTGGCAGAGTGGTGTGGTTCTCGGGGTTAAATATTGTGCAGGTGTTTTCTTACCTGGAATATGGCGTGGTGGGGTCTTGTTTGCTGCTGCTTATCAATCCGGTTTTATAGAGGGCAGAGAAACCAGTTTTTATGTAGCCCGCAGTATGATTCTATTTTCTACTACCTCCTTGTCATCATCAGCGCTCTGTGGAGGTTGGTAGCCAGATATTGATTTGTAAGCCCTACATGACAGGGTTCGGGCGGGAGGTCTTCGTATCAAAACGATGGCCTAAAGTCACTTTTTAGTAAATCGACTCCGCATGACTATTGACTTATTATGAAATTGAATATCAATCATCATTTCAGCTAATACTCACACGGCATTTCACTGCCAGATGTAGTGATTTCCGTCCAAAATGTCTTCCCAGCCTCCTCTGATGCACCGTCCAGCCAGGCGAACGACTTCAACAACTCTAGAAGCTTATCCCAAGAGTCAATGCCCAGCACGTTACAATACTCTCTCACTCTGGCGACAAACCAAGTCCTGATAGACGGAGTAGCATCCGCACAGATCCCTGCCACCACGCAACACCATAGAAATATCTCGCATTCATGCTTTGTCATCTCGCGTCCCTGCAGCCGAACCATGTTCTCATAAATCTCATTTGTCATCGTAGCCCGTAGCCGAGACATCCTCGGAAGCGGCAGGACCACGCTTGCGCCATGTAGAAGGGCTGTACCACGACATACAAGATACACGGCAATCGACCGCTGCTGCTGCTCAGCCGTACAACCCGGTCTTTTATGCAATATAGCGCTGATCCGGTCTCTGTGATCAGGCAAGCTGCATAACCGGTGCAGCACGCTGGCCCGCGTATCGCCTATCTGCGTCAGGAGGGTGGCGCCGCAGCTCCGGCTACTGAGAACATGCAGGGCCTGGGTGATCTCATTTAGGTCCAGAAAGATGCGAATGAGACTGCCCTTGACTGGCGGAGAGAGCAGGGCGAGCTGCTGGAAGCCATGATTGTGGCGCGTAGCGTGACGCGGTGGCGTGCGGATGGAGAGGGCTTGCAGGGGAGCGCGGTGTAAGCATGGTTTCCCCTCGGGGGATATGAGGGGAAAGACAGGTCTGCGGTGTGTGTTTATAGCGACTATTAAGCTGATCTGGAAAATGGTATCATTTATCAATCTAAGTCCACGGGGGAGACGGGGTGGTTTACGGACATGGAAATAAGCCAAGCTAGTCCGTACAGCTTTACCGTTTCGAGACCTCCCCGCTCGAGAACAATATGCTGGACGGTCTGCCAGTGGAGCGGGTGGAACTCGCAACTGCCGTAGAACTCCATGAGTTGCAGGCTGCAAAAGGGTGGAACAAACGGGCTCGTTTCCGGTGGCTCGACATGGTCGAGGTTCTCATTGGCAGCGAGGTACAGGATACTCAGCAGGATGTCGTCGACCCATTTGCAACCGATATTGCGTTGGGTGACCGTCGATAACTTCTCTCGGATACGGATCATGACGGATCCTTTGAGTTGGAGTTGCTCTGCCGTGTCCAACGAGGCCCGCTTGGTGGCGCCCCGTATCATTGGTAGGGCGTTGAAGTGGAGGGAGGCTGAGTACAGCATCGATTGCACGACCATCGGGCTTCTGGCGGGGTGCAAGTATGCCTGCAGACTGCGCTCGGAGAACTCGCTGGGACGGGCCATAGGCCACAGCACATGTGTGCCTCATGCAGGGTTAGTGGGCCGCCACCTTCTCACGTTTTAAGCGGGACCTACAGTGATGAAGAAGGAGATCAAAATGAGGGGTTGTTCTGTAACGATCGGCGAGGAATGGATCAATGCGGCTGTTGCCGATTTCCCAGGGCTTGGTGCTAGGGGAGAGCTGGCGGTGATCAGACTGTATACCAGCGCATTGGGGACATATTGTTTCTCGGCGACCCGCGGCAAGAAGAGGCCTTAGTCGTAGAGCTCGTGGATGTCGAATAGCCTCGTCAGTGGGCGTTCTTGCCAGCGCTATATCCGGGTCTGCTGCAAACACTTCCTGGCCGCACTGACAGATGGGGATTCTCGGCGTCGTATACTGGTTATGAAGACTACCACTATTTACCGTCTTTGCTCTCTCCAAATGTCGTCGCCGCATCAGCTGTGAGCGAATCAGTGAGGTGTTAGGTGTGGTTCCTCGTATCTTCGGGCCGTGTACGAAAGTGTACGGCCGGGCTGCTCGGTCAGTAGACTTCATGTTCCCCCTGACATCTCTCCCACTTTGTATGTTGGTCGTACTGTACAGTTTTCGATCTGTGGGCAGATGAAATACTGATGGTAGGAGGGGTTTGAATAAACGTTGATGATAAGATCATTAGCCGGAAGAGGGAATATCTCCCTCTTGTTGATTGGGTAGAGCTCCCGCCGCTAGAAAATGTGCCAAGAAGCCCTAAGCATGAAGAAGCTGACAGGCAGGAGACGTTTTTGCTGTCGAGAATACTCAATGATCTCAGATACGAGGCGAGTGACAAAGAATGTGACCGAGGTGCTGACAAATAAGTCGTCATCGATTTCCCCCCCAGCTCAAGGTTCCGAAGCGTGCTTGGTGCACCCAATATAACGGGGATATATATACAGCTGTCATATCAGTACCTTCGTATCCCTTGATTATTACACAATCTACGCTCTTTCAAATTTCTATCCCATATCCCAGAATACCCGAGTCATGGCAACCACTCAGCTGAAGACGCTCGAGCTCCCCACCTCCAAAGCGCATGTCTTCTACCGCGAAGCGGGTGCCGGATCAGCCCCGGTAATTCTTCTCCTGCACGGATTCCCCTCGTCCTCGCACCAGTACCGCAACCTCATCCCAATCCTGGCCCCAAAATACCGGGTCATCGTCCCGGATCTACCGGGTTTTGGCTTTACCGAAGTCCCCGAAGGGTTTGAGTACACCTTCGACGCGCTGGCCGCGGTGATTTCCGAGTTTCTGGACCTCCTCGCCATCCGCCAGTACTCCATCTACATCTTCGACTACGGTGCCCCCGTAGGCCTGCGTCTGGCGCTGCAACAACCGGCCGCCATACAGGCAATCATCACGCAGAATGGCAACGCCTACGAGGCCGGGCTGGGCGCCTTCTGGGATCAGATCCGGGCGCTGTGGACCAGCCACAACGACGCGGCTGTGCGAGAGAAGCTCGCGACTGGCCTGCTGAGTCTCGACGCCACCAAGTGGCAGTACGTGGAGGGCACCCGTCCCAATCGCCTCGTAGCGCCTGAGTCCTACTCGCTGGACTATGCCCTGCTCCAACGCCCGGGCAACGCGGACATCCAGCTGGATCTTTTCTGGGACTACCGGAATAATCTGCCGCTGTATCCGGAGTTCCACCGATACTTTCGCGCATCGCAGGTGCCTCTGCTGGCGGTCTGGGGGAAGCATGATCAGATCTTTGTGCCGGCGGGAGCGGAGGCGTTCAAGGCCGACTTGCCCGAGGCGGAGGTGCACTTGTTGGATGCGGGCCACTTTGCGGTGGAGACGGAAAC